CATGTGTTACCTTGTCTGTTCTTGTCTGCCCTATTAATTCCTGAGAATTGTGTATGTGGTAATCATTCCTACCCTGACCTTTGTCTTCCAGTGATGTAAAGGTTAATTCCAGTAACCTTCTCTGGTAACTCATCTCTCTTATAGTTCTGGGACTAATCTGGTGGCATACTTTCTTGAACTTCATTTTGCACAGCTAAATGTGGTCCCCATATGTCCTGACTTTGCACAAGTTACATGTTACAATTCTTTATTTTTTTTTAATATTTTATTTTATATAAAATCAAATCAATATACAGTATACTGTATATTAATTTTGTTGATTGTTACTGTGTCCACATGACTGGTTATGCTAAAGACTATAGACTACCAAACATCACTCTGGTTTCAACATCTTTAAGAAGTTAGACACCATTTTTTTTTTTTACATAGGTGGATACGGTAGACAAGCTTTAATCTTCGTGATTTTCATTTGTTCCCAATACTGTATACAGAATATATCACCACTCAACAATTATATAACTGCATCAGTTTGGTTCAGATAAAATAAAGCTTCAGAATCTAAATCAGTTGTCTTGCTTTACAAAGCAGACAACTAAATTAAGCAATAAGTCTATTAATATACAGTAGTTACAACTACAACAATTATTTATGTATACACTTTTTTTTCTAGTTACTTAGTATCTTGACACAATGGGCACTTATCATTTTCTGGGATAATAAACGTGCTTTTATTGTAGGATATTCTAATCACTAGATACCCTTCAGGATGCCAGTATAGAGGCAGAAAGACATTGGATGATCGATGCCAAAGGAGTCAAAGTCACCGAAGATATAATCAGAAACATGTGGCATATAGGAACAATATACTGTACAGCAAAAAACAAATTTTTGTTCATCCTGATAATCACAACATTTAACTAAGAGATGAGTGGTCAAATGAAACAATGCAGTAAGGTGCCAGTCTCTTATTACATTAACTCTCCTATATGAAGGCCATATAAATACATCTCATAAGATGGTACATAGTAAGTTAATAATAACTAATTCCAATTAAGGTATTTTTTCTGGGAAATGGAACACCAATATGGCATGGAACCCATGAATATCTGACAGTCTTATACCTGCTAATGATAAAATACTGTACTAGTAATGTAGAATTTCTATGACCACAGGATGAGAGGGGTTAAAAAACTCTAAAGCCATGAGAGCACCAAGAGTCAACGATAATAACAAGTGAATATTGACTCATGAAATGAAACCATGTCAGAACACACAAAACTGCATGAAGTTCTATAGTAAAATTACTTATCTCTGGATAAAGGTGCCATATAAATGTATTGTACTGTATCTGGAAAAATTACAAAGCAGCAAATTCCATCGACAGATTTCAACTCTACAATAGTCTAGGAAAGTTGTAAATCTGTCCTTACCAGGAGCAGTTTCGTTTTAAGGAATGATTTATTTAGCTACCATATACAGTACAGTACAGTACATGCAAGATTGATATGTTATCTGTTACAATTCTTGTTAAAAAAATATGTTCTGTATGTTAATTAAAACCAAATGAAAGTTTACTTTCAAAGCCCATACATTAAGGAGAGCACTTACTTGTTTTAGAGAGCTATAATATAATTTCTGGGTTGGACTTTTTTTTTTTTTTTAAGATATTATTAAGTTAATAATAATTTCCTAGATTTAAACGAGTGATGTTTGTGCATTTATACAGTACTTTGTAGGAACTTCCCCTTGTGTTTGCCCTGTATTACATTACTCATATCACTGGAATTTATTGGCATTTTTGAATATAAGTAAATCCTTCTTGCACTTAGGTGCAAAAATATCTCTCCAAATTTTTTTATTTGTTTAAGCTCTTTGATGAGAACAGGATCAAGGAGTTACTTGGGTGGTTGTGGGAGTCCTTCAACTCTTCTGGACCTCCTGCTTAATCCATAACAGACCCATGTGCTTAAACAGGTAATATTGTAATTATCAATTAAATGCTTGGAAATAGCATGGACAATTGCCTTTGTGTATCTCTGATACCATTTAGATAAATTCTTAATGAAATGCTTATGCAGACCTGTAATATACCTTTTCTGATTACCTGTTAGTTGCATCAACCTTTACCTCACAGAAAGCATAATTTATTATAAAAAAGAAGGCATCAAGCTGGAAAGGTTATGTAGCAGTAGAACGCATAAATTAAAGTGATAGATAACCAAGTGATTTACTAGTAAGTACTCCATATTGTATTGTATAAGACTCTTCCCAGTAACCTAATTTAATCCTGTCTCTTAACAGATGGGTTCAAATAACCATACACTGTACTGTAATACACTTAGTCTGTTACCATTAACACATTTTAAAAACTTGCACCCATTCTTGTTATTAATTGTACGACCCAGTCTATATATATGATGTCTTTCTGTTGAAGCTTGGGGTTAGCCTCACCCAACTTTGCTGGGGAAATGATCTGAAGTACGAAACAGACATAGGCTTGTTGGGGGGTCAGCCTAAGTTATATACTTCAAGAACTATCAGCTTTTAACACCTCTACTTCCCATTCGATTTTCATGAAGTCTAAAATTATATCACAAATGTGTTTACTGTAGAATTCACTCTCATTTTCATGATTTATGCAAAAACTATGAATTGAATTAGTTTGAGTTGCAGTGATGAATTTATGAGTAGTAAAGACGGTTATGAAGGTAAAGGACAGACCCAGTATATTTGTAAGTGTATTAAAAAAACCTACAGCCTTTCTCAAGGTGCTGTACAACAGCACCTTGAGAAGGAATGTAGGTTACATCCAAAAATTTGGTTTTTAATATACTTGCACATAAATTGGGTCTGTCCTTTATTTTCCTTGAAGCACTATGGCATTGTAATAAGTTTCTCCAAAGATGGTTATGGTGATGTAATATATACAGAGATGATAGTATTGTAGTGAAGATGTAAGATAAGGAAAAGATACAGGGACAAGGGCATGATGAGTGGAGAGGGAAGAGCATTGAAATGGGGGTGATTGAGAAAAGGGGATAAAATGGGAAGGAAAGGGGTAAAATGGGGGGGGGGGGAAAGAGGGGTGAAATGGGTGGAAAAGGGGGTAAAATGGTGGAAAGAGGGTATAATGGGGGGAAGAGGGGTGAAATTAGGAAAAAGGGGTAAAATGGATGGGGGAGGGGAGTTGGGGTAGAGGGGTGGGAAAAGGGGAAGGAGAGAGGTGATGGTGAAATTGTTGGAAGAGGAAGAGGAGTGGGGTGAAATGGTGGGAAGAGGAGAGAGGGATTAGAGGGAAGAGGTAGGGGAAAAGGAGTGTGATTGGGGAGGGGGGGGGGAAAGGAGGAAAGAGGGAGGGAACAGGAGGGAATGGGATTGGGGAGGAAAGAGAGAGGGGAGAGGGAAGAAGAGACAGACACAGACCCAGGGACAACTGGGTACCCCTCTAGTACAGTACAATGTATATAAAGTCTAGTATTTAAGTCTCAAATGTAATATCCTTTTTCCATTATTACCTAGATTTGAGAGCCATGTCACATTGTCTCTTGACATGCCATATGTACTGTATGAGAAGTTGCCTGCTACAGTTATTATATTAAAGTTGTGATACTGTGCGATTTTGTTGTTTACTCTAGATAATATGCAGCAAATCACTTCAGTTAATGAGAGAAAAATACAGTACTATTATTTATATTACTACATAGAGGATATGTATTCTGTAGAATTCTATCATTTTAAAAGAATACAATCAGAGGATATGTAAGAGTGTTTAGTGTATCATAGTAGTGTAGAGCTCCTGTACATTAGTGATACAAATGTTGTTATTGTGCTAGTAAACGTACAAAATTGTTATTCAGTCTTCTGTTATGTAGCAAATTTTCCAACTGTTGAACTTAATTTTTCTTGGTCCACTCAACGGCTTGGTGCCTTCTTTTGATTACTTACTTGGTCCACTCATCTTAGTGTTATGTTGTGCATTTGCTCTCCTAATTACCTGACAGCTGTGTCTGTGTGTCTTACATAACTTGAAACAAGACTGCCAGACATGGCCACACTGACTTCTTGTCTGCTCTCTCCAGTAGTGTCTGACATGGGAGACTTGAATATCCTGTACAATTTATGCAGAGTAATAATTATCAATGGACTTTCATTCACTGTATAGTACAGTACCTGACTAATTTTCTTAGAGAAACTACAATGCCTTAGTGCTTGAATGAAGGCGAAGGAAAAACACATTATACAATATGTATAAATGTATTAAAAAACAAATTTTCAGATGTAACCTGCACTCTTTCTCAAGGTACTAATTTTCTTGTTGCATGCTTTAATGTGTTGTGGGAAAGTTAATATTCTTGTTGTTATCTGTTTCACTATTAATGGTCTAACATTGACCTGTCATTTTGTCAATTTTTGTGCCTATAGAATCCCCCTTCTTTATTCTTTTGACCAATGGAGACAGGAAGCTTGTCATAAACTGCTGTATGGTACAATTGAATGACTACAGGATCCCCATTCTTCCTTTCAAAATCAAAAAGCAGTTACCGAGTTGGAAAATAATACCTATAGTTCTCATTCAATATTGTTTTCATTGACAATAATTCATTTTCAAACATGTTAGATCACTATGTTTCAACATATCTAAAGTTGACTCTTCACATTTTGCCACCACCAATTAGCCTGATACATCATTTCAGTGAACACTGCTCTCCCACTGCTGTTTCCTGTTTAATTTCTCATCTTGAAATTTTAAGGCAATCTTCACCTTCCCACATTCTGGATTCTTAATACAATTAAGAGATGATTACTATATCTGTGATGACCAAACCAAGATGTTAAAATGTTTTAATAAAGTTTCATATCCTTTTCCAGGTGTTTTTAACAGTTGACTATCTGGGTTAGATTCTATATGAGGCTACTATCAAAAGGTAGGATGTTCCTGGATGAAAATGAGTTTAAAACTAGAGCAGCAATACAGCATGGGGTGAACAAAAACACTTAAGTAATTGATAATTTTTGTATTTTTTGAAATAGATACATTTAATTTAACTTACCAATAACTTCATTTCATCTATACTGTATATATTTAATTTAAATAAACCCGAATAAAGTCAATGTTATCAATAATCCAAGTAAGCTCGTAGATTATCCCCAAGTATCCCTTCCATCTTGGTAAATATTTCTCTAGTAAAAGCTTCAACATCAGTATTAAGACTTTCTAGAACCTCAGTGATGTAGGGCATTGTGTCTGCCAATACAGGTTGTAAGAAGTCTTCTCCCAGTGTTTCCATTAGTGCCTGGAAGGTTTGCAATGCTGCCAAAATTACCTGAAAGTATACATAAATATTTTATTACAGGTAATAAATATAAAATTGGTCATATAAATATGAAGGGAGATATTAAAATATACTGGAGTTTAAATCAACCTAATTGTAATGTGAATTATTCTCATATTAGAAAAACATAGGAGACATCTAAAATTAAAAACAAACTTCTTTTAAGATTGCAGTGAAAGAGTAGACAGACTAGTTGAATAAACAAAGAAACTTGCTTAGGGTGATATAATTTTAAGACAAAACACTTACTGACGAAGGTAGTCACAATTCTTGCAGATAAAAAAAAAAAATAGGAGATGCAGACGATACTAATGCCCTTCAAATTTATCTAGTTAAAATAAGTGCTTGTAGCACCAAGTGACAAATGGGATTTAATGAGAATAAATGCCATGTTATGGAATGTGGAATCGGAGAAAATAGACCACACAAAGCTTACAAATTATGTGGAAAGGAATTAGAGCTTTTAATAAAGAACGAGACCTAGGGGTAATTTTGGATAGTAAGCTGTCGCCAGAGGAACACACAAAGAACATTTTGAGGAGCGTATGCGTTGCTTTTAATTATAGGGATGGTGAAATACCAAAGAAACTTCATGACTTTTGTGAGACCAAAAGTGGAATATGCAGCAGTTGTATGGTGCCCAAATCTCAAGAAGCACATAAACTGGAAAGGGTGCAACGACATGCTACAAAATGGCTTCCGGAACTGAAAGACAAAGTTACAAGGAGAGACTAGAAGGGTTAAACATGCCAAAACTAGAAGATAGAAGAATAAGAGGAGATATAATCACCACCTACAAAATACTAACACGAATCAACCAAATTGACAAAAGATATTCCTGAAACCAGCAACATCACGAACAAGAGGACACAGATTCAAGTTAAGGAACCAAAGGGACCGAAAAACATTAAGAAATTTTTCTTTTTCAAACAGTAGTAGACAGTTGGAACAAGCTAAGTGAGAAAGTGGTGAAGGCCAAAACCATCAGTGGTTTTCCAAAGCATTATTTGACAGAGTACTGGGAAGACGGGACACTACAAGTGTAGCTCTCATCCTGTAACTACACTTAAGTAATTACATACATACATACACAGCATCGCGGCCGAGTGGACAGCGCTTGGGGGTCGTAGTCCCCTCAAGCACTGTCCCAAGTAATCGAACTCCTAAGGGCCCGGGTTCGATTTCTGGCTGAGGCAGAAACTAATGGGCAATTTCTTTCACCCTGGTGCCCCTGTTCATCTAGCAGTAAATAAGACTCTGGGAGTTAGAAGCTGCTACAGGCTGCTTTCTGAGGATGAGTGTGTACGTGTGTTAAGAGAGAAATATATGTAGTCATCATAATTGAGGAAAAATAGGTTAGTTAGAAAGGCGGGATCTAGGAGCTAATAGCTAGATTCTGCAGGAACAAACAGCAAATACACACACACAGTGCTTGAAAGAATAATCAGGTTAAGACTAGTTACACACGAGAGAATTAGATATGTAAACCAACACTAACCTGGATTCAGGAAAAGAAAAGCATGGCTATCAAACCTACTGGAGTTCTATGCTAAAGAAACAAGAGTAGGGCAGGACCATGAAGGATGAGCAGATTGTGTATTTCTGGACTGCCAAATGCCATAGTGTCCTCTTAAAATTAAGATTCTCAACTATTTAAATTTTTCCATTCTCCTCTAGATTACATAGTATTACATATATAATTTCCAACAGGACATGGTCACTCATTCCCAAGGGAGGAAGGTACTGAATATCAAATATCTTCTTTCCTGGTGAATATCAAATCAAGTATTGACTGTACATTCCCTTCCCTCATGACCTGCTTAATGTGTTGATACATGAACGTCTCCAGGATGAGGTCTACAAATTTGTCTGTCCATATGTCTTCCGTTTTTGCTTCATAGGCCTTCCAGTCTATTGCTTTGAAATTGAAATCCCCCGATACCAACAATACTGTAGTGATTTTTTATCGGCACCTATTGTAATCTCCCAGGACCTTCATGAGGCCCTTTCATTTGTCATCTAGTTCCTCCTATGTCCATGTATGTGTGATTTAGAAATATATGTAGTAGATATGATAAGAGGAAAATAGATTGGGAGTCAGTACATTAGACAATAGCTAGAAAGGCAGGGGTCCAAGAGTAAACAAATCGGTTCTGCAGGCATAAATACAAATGGGAAATACACACCATAGGCTGGTCATCATTTCTGACTCTAAGGAGGATCTGTCGGTTAAGATTCTTCCAAAGAGAGTCGTCTCCAACAGCGATGGCAAACTTAGTAATGCACGGAATCAGGTGATTGTTGACACGATTTTTGTAGGTTTCTGTACCACCAATGGTGTTCTCCAGCTGAAAGAAAATTTAATGTTTAGCAATAATAAGGTCATTATGACTGCATAGAATGAAAGTTTATGTGCATTTTCAATCAAATTATGCTAGGAATACAATATACATTGTTAAAACAACACTTTAACATTTAGAATTGATGTATTTTTTCCAGCATACAAAGTATATTCATTCAACTTAATATTTACTTAATTTTAGCTTCCATTTTATGTTTAAATATATTTTAACTCCATGCTATTCAATAATTAAAAATCATAAACATGGATTAAAATTTTATTTCCCGTTACATGCAAATGAATACCCAGTTTCCTAGTTTTATGAGGTGGAGAGGCCTCAGTTCAGAGAAAATAGGTGAAATATATACTGTAGTAAAAATATGTAGAAAAAATTTACTATAACAGAATTATTCTTCACACCACAAAGCATCACGATTTAGTTATTATTATCACATACCATCAGTCACCAGCAGCACCACCTCACTGCTTCATGAGGCCTTGTGAATTTAATTTACAGTATAAACATTCTTTCCCTCTTTACATACTGCTTCCAACCATGCTATGTTTACACTCATTAATTCCTCAAACATTCACCATATCCATCCACCACCTTCCTTGCCTTACTCTCCTCTCTCTTTCCTAAAATTCACTCGAATATACTCTCTTCGCCAGTCTACCATCATCCATTCATTCATCATTTTCACATCTCAGCATACTCCATTATCTTGAATGTTATTGATTGTTGCACTCTACAACTTTCCAAAACATTTTCAGTCCATACTAGTACTATCCTCCTTATACCATATATGCTTCTCAAGTTATCAACTTCTACTCCTATAATTCAGTAGATTTCAGGTCCATAGCATACCATTGTGTCACAACTATAATTAAGGATCAACACTACTATTACTTCATTTAGTGCTCTATATACTGTATATGCCTCAATACCTATCAGGGCTCTTATAACCAGGATTTTTACTGCACCAGCCACATTCACTGCCTGTCTCACTCTCAACTTTGATTGTACAAATTCAGATTTTATCAGTCACACTTCCCAGGTATTTGAACTGATCAACCTCTTTTAGTACTTCACCATAAACATTTATTTCACATAAGTTCCTTCTTTTTCTAGTACAGTAACTTTACTTTTGCCCTCAATACCTTTTAACAGTCTTCTCTTGCAAGCATCAATTAATCATCAACTAGTCATTTTAAATCTGTCACTTTCTCCTAAAAGAACCTTTAATGTACATGCATCAAATCTGACATCACCCAATAACCCGTATTTGACCTATGGTATACACAAAGTGTATATCCATCTCTAAATAATTATCAAAAGAAGGTACCAAGCCTGGAAAACTATTTAGCACGGTCTTTTGCAGAATACTCAGAAATACCCCAGATATCACTCAGGATACTAATTCGAGAACAAAAGAACATGACCGTCTTTAAAATTCTTACCGTGTTCATCCAACCTGTCCAACAGAGAACGTCACTTTTCGTTTGAATGTGTTACAAAAGGTCAAAAACTGTCGTACTGTACTAGAAAATGGAAGCGGCTCGCGAAAGTAACATACTGTCTCGTTTTCTGTTTTGGGTCCTCTGGTAGGATAAGAAGGACACTTTAAATTGACTGTTTTCTTGACGTTGGGAAACCTTAGGAGGACGGGCTGGTCCATCAATGATTAATTCCTCAGCAATTTCCTGTGCTCTTTTAATCACTATTCTATCCATTACACTTAGTAAACTAATACCCCTAAAATTCTAGCACTTGATACATTTTCCTTTTCCTAAATGCTCAAGCAGGGGCTTACGATGCATCAACAACATCTACAGCCTGCAATGAAAGCACAAACAATTAAGAAATATTAATTAACCATTAAGCATCTTACCTGATCAGTTAAAGGTCTGACCATGAGTTGGAATCTTTCTTGGTTGGTAAAATTAACAGAGTCATAGAGAAAGATTTTGGTGAGCGAATCCAAAACTGCATTAAGAAGGACAGATGTTTTGTTTTCTGCTTCATCTCCACACCCAAATACCTGAAATGCATAATTTTGTTTACAAAATAGGTATTCAGAGTGCACAAATCAATAGGCAAGAGAATAAACTACTACTTTAAAGGTCATGCAGAAAGTGGGATAGGGCATGAACAAGTTCAATCCCAAAATATTGAAGATGAAGCCAAAATCCATCAAATCCTGTTTCAAGACTGGGAAGAGACGAGAAATCCAACGAAGAGATGCGGCCATTTCAATCATGCTAGAAGCCACCCAATTCACAGTGACCCAACAGAGAAGAGGGGAAAAGAGTTTCCCAAAACACCTAACTCCACTAAAGGCCACAAGAAATAACCCAAAAATTACACAAAAGTCAGCAAAAGTGAACCAGAAGTCAGCAAACTACCTCCATTTACCTCCAAGCTACCCCCTCCATCACCACCCCATCAGAGGGGCAAGCTGTGAAAGAGCTAGTGAACACAAGTAGCGGTATCTTTCTGAGAAGAGTGAGAGCATTGCTGACGAGCAGAAGAGGAACAAGCAGGACGAGACACAAACATCCCAAAATCTGGCTCTATCAAGGGCCTACCCCAACCAACAACTGGCAAAGCCCAAGCTCTGCGCACCCACCTCTGAAAACGAGGAAGAAAACCCAAAGTGTACAACAACTGGTAAATGGGATGACATGAAGCTGGCAGAGGACAAGAACTGGGCAACAATATCCTCTGGAAAGAGTTAAAGTGAAAAGAGGAAGGAAGGCTAAAGACCAAGCCAAATCTAGCAACTGGACCAATACAGCCTGCCAACACTTGAGGTGGGTAGAGTGGAATGCTACAACCTCCTGAGGATGGGTGCATACAACTTGGGTAAACCCGCTGAAGCCACCACGACAGGTAACAAGGCACCCACACCTGACCCCAAGCCGAGTGAATCAACATCCTCCCTGAGCCAGAGAAAAGCTCCATGAAAACACATAACTATAGCCAAGTGCAAGCAAGCCTGCAAGTCATCCACCATGAGGGCTCCAGAAAGCAAAAGCAACCGAGTGTGAAGCTGCATCAACCCTAAGAAAGTGGGAGCAAACAGGCAGTCACTGTGTTTTTTTTTTTTAAACCTCATGCCACTTAAACGAGCACAAACAGCAGAAGCACATTAGTTCATCAAACAATACAGCTCTAGAATGGAAAGAGAGACAAAGCCGCATTCAATCCTTCAAGTAGATATACACACACAGCTACTAGGATCATGCAATGCAAGCTATACATGACCATACTTGAATGGGAACACAACTCCCACATTCCTGAGAACAGGATTTTGTACAATTATTTTCATATATAAAATGATGAGATTTCTTCCAAGAGGAACAGTGAAAAAAAAAATGTTTGCTATTATGAAACTGCACAACATTTCCTTACTGTGTTAGGTTTCTTAAGCGAGTTGTTACATTCAAGAAGGCTTGCAGCATGACTAAACAAACTGTCTGCCAGTTTGGCTTTGATGAACAGCACTTTGAATGTTCCAGCCAAGTGATCAGCAAACCTGAAAATAGATGGAAACTCATAACTTCTAAAATATCTTGCAAAGACAAGTGGTAATTAAAATTAATCAACTGGTAAGACATTCAACTTATTGTGATAAGACATAACAGCAATAAAATAAGTGAACTTTTTTTTACTTCAATATTAAGTAACTTTCCATAATAAAGCAGTTGCCATAAGGATGAGTCTAAGCTAAGATCGAGTCCCCTGCTCTGTCATGACCCAATTTTGTCCATCTATATTTATTGTGTGTCCTTTAGCTGTTTTACAAAGTGTATTTGGATCTAGCCTGCCATCCTGTAGGCTAGATCCAAATACACTTTCTTTCTGCATTCCTGCATTCTGTCACCCTAATCCAATGCTTTCCTTTCCCAGTTCGTTTGCTAGGTGGTCGAGTTGAATCAACTACATTTACTCCACTCGCATGATCTGAGGAAAGATGGTATCACAGTGCTCTCCACCTCGGCTATGTCTTCCTTCAAGATTAGGGCCTAGGATTCCTGGTCCTCAAATCAAACCTTCACCTTATGCAATCTCTGAATCTGCCTCATCCCTTCAAATGTGTATCACCTTGAGTTGGATGTCGTCTGTGAAATGTCTTTCTTGCCCCAGGTCTTCACTGTCTACTTCTACTTACTCATTTAAGTTCCTGAAGGTTTACTATCACACAATCTAGATTTGTTTCAATTTGTAGATGATTAAAGTGAGTAACCAAGAAAGTTCTGTCACGAATAGAGCATTGAGTGGAATGAAATGCCTCTTTCTTAGCAGCATCTTTGTTGCTCCTGTTCCCAACCCTCTCTCAAACTGGTTGCACTGGCTAGTGCTGTCACTTGATGGCAGTCACAGAAAGGGGTAGTACTAGTTATGTAATTTCAGAACATTTATTGGATATATTAGATGACCCAGTGATTGCTAAGAGGGAGAGCCAGTTGGTTTTGCGTGTTCTTGGATGTAATAACTAGTTTTCACAGAAAGTAGACTGAGGTATGTTCTTTACAATGCTCCCCACAAGACTGCTTGAAAAGTTACTTGTGTGGGTGGTGTTAACACTTTCACCCAGTGGTGGCGCCGGACATCGTCACAAAGTTTTGTCTTGTTTCCGCATGGGTGACACCGCCTGGAGTCTTGAGAAAAAGTATTTGTATAAATTCCAATTTCTATCCGATCTACTTGGGGATAGTTTACAAATGTTCGCCATGAAATTTACGTTTTCTCTAATAGCCGAAGAGCTTATTTGGGAGAACAGCATGGCAGTGAATCATCGTGGTAAAACAATTGTATTATTGACACGACGAGTATAATCGACGTAGTTTTTATATTTGTTGCCGGTCGAACGCATCCTTATGTGACGTTTTATACTTATCTTCTTCTAGAACATTATATTGCGAACACATTGGTACAAAAATGAAATATATACATCGAAAAATAATGTCAGGACAGTGAATTGAATACCTGTATACACTTTTCAATGCGGGTTTCGCAGATATGCCGCGGGTAACACTTCGGCCACTTTCTACACTCTTGTAGGTGGCCTGCGACATTGGTCCTATATTTATATGCATATGTCCATGTAGAGAATTTTATTGCGATTTCAGTGATACCAAAATTATCCCTGTAGGACAAGTATGGAGTTGACAACCCTGAAGATAAGAGAAACATTTCGTTGCTGTCGGGCACTCACGGCTAGTGATCGACGTAGTTTTTTATTTGGTGCTGATCTAACTTATGTTTTGGTGACATTTTATACTTATGTTCTTCTAGAACATTCTATTGCGAACACATTGGTGCAAAAATGAAATACGTACATCGAAAATTAACGTCAGGACAGTGACAAGAGTATACACTTTCAAATGTTGCCGCTCGATCGCCCGAAACGCCAGGCCCACTTGGGTTAAGTTTTTTTTTCATTCGCTGGAGCGCGAAAGTGTTAAAATATGCTCAGGACCTGACATACTAGCAATAATCTGGGTGGACTCCTGCCAGAGACAAAGGGAAAACAACCACAGGGGCCTTGTTCACAAATCATGATTTTGCTTGTGACAAGGTATACAAAACTTGCATATTCAATAAAGGGGATACAATTCTATTAATAAATGTGTACAGTTGGTCCCCAAATTACGAATACTGTAGCTTTAAAATCTCCCAATTTAGCCTGATGTTCTACTATACAAACCAATTCTGAAGTCCACCAATGACTTCCACAATAGTGCTTATAATACACTATTCCAGTTGTTTATTGAGGGAAAAGTTCTTCAATAAACAACTAAATGAATAATATACAACTAAATAAATAAATGTGCAGTAAATATACACTTAATAAACACACACACACACACACATACCCTCCTTATTCCATTGATGCCCTTCAGAAGATGGTGGAGGTAACTGGACTGAAGTAAAGTTACTTCTCATGTATGAACACAATTCCAGAATCTTTGATGTACAATTTAACTACACAATAATTGACTTCATATTGACATTTTTCAACCCCTTTATGAGACAAAAGTTAAACGTTTACAAGACATTCAACAAGGGAGGTTTACCTATAGAATGTTATTAGTCTGGAAGGCTTGTCTTCAGCCTCAGCAGCCCAGGTTTGTAATGAGCGGAAAATGGCAACGTTGTCATACTCATTGAGGCGAAGAAGTAATTTGCCCAAGGCACCAGATACATCTGTCTCGACCGCACACACGACCTCAGAATCACCCTGCACAAGAAATAACACAGTAATGAAAATCACCAAAATCAAAGTATATACATACAGTTTATGGAGGTTTAAACAACTCATTCAAAGTTCTAGGTATCTGATCTGTATAAAATAGGCATGAAGAATCTTACTGTACCTTGTCAGAGATCTATAACATGCTCTGTAATATATGGTTAAAAGTTGTTGCAAACCAAACATATGCTTTTTTTCTAGTAATGTGCATGTCATTTCAACAGCACATATCCAAGTAAGTTTGTAATTCAGATATCACATATACAGATAAGTTAGTAATTTGAAATGTTAAGTTATAAACTAGCAATAATATATAAAATACACTTCAACTCTGCTATATGGACACTGATTTCCAGAAACTTCACATCCAGTGAATATGTGCTTTCCAGTGGAGAACCTCAACACTATACAGTAAAATGGCTCAGAATGACTAGGATTGCATCATCGTGGAGTGGAATTCCTTCCTGTAGTGCCCTTTTCTGTACACTGTTATACTATTCAAACTGTATCTTGGTCCGACTCTGTGTATAGTTCGACAGTGTACTCAAACAATAATTTATACATACTGCCTACCTAGTGGCACCTCATGTTTTTAGTTTTTCTACCTTCCTCATTTTTGGTAAATACCAAGTCTAGGGTAGATGGATCCCATTCTCTGTCTCTTTTTGTTACCTTGATGTGTTGCCACAAGAAGTCCTTGTCTTTCCTATATTTGGTGGAAGGGATGTGCTTTGACTTCCCATACAATATTTGTTATAGAGTTTTTGGTAATCCCTACCATTATGTTCATGGTTAACACTGGCACCATACCTAGTATATGATCTTATTGGTAGGCTACCTTGAGTATCTCTATTTTCTCAAAGCTCCAATGTTGTATTATGATTAGTTTTTTGCATTATAGTCAGCTGATTACCTGGAGTTTACCGGGAGAGGATTCTGGGAGTTGTTCTACCACCCAAGCTCGGCCTGGGGCCAGTATGACTTGTGGTAACTCGGTCCGACAGGATGTTTGCTTGAAGCAGCTAAATATTGCTTCCTTGCAATATTTCTTCTGAACAGCTGTGAACCTCAGTGTTCCCTGATTGTGCCTATGGCACCACTCCAGTATGTTATGTTACTGTGCAAATTTGGGACTTGACCCTCCCGTAACTTCTATATACGTACACTGTATATAGTCTTGATACCTCTCTCATCTCGTTTCAAGAGAGAAAGGAGCATTTTCCATTTCTATTCCATTTCCCATCCACTAGTTGATGCTGACTTCATTTACCCAATCATAGGTTTTGCTGATACACTCAGTGGTGGTCTCACCACTGTTTACCTTTACTAGATATGTGAAAGAACTATAGGCAATGATCACTTTCAATGTCATTGTCAATCATTGGCAATGATCAATATCACTTTCTCAAGGACAAATTCCTAATTGAGACAATTGGGAGTATACCATAGCATCAAGAATTATGTGTAGCTATTGGTCAAGGCATCTGCACCACCCAATGAAAAGTTAAAATGGCTATTAAATGTGGCACAAAACCTTCCTAAACCTTGCATACACGAGTCATTAAAATTTTAGGCAGATATGCAAAATCATTCTCCAGATATCACATGAACATTGCAAATTTAGAAAAATTACAAAACACATAAGAGCCATAAGGTAGTCCCCTACTGGAAGAGCTAAATTTCATAAACCATAACAATCTATACATCACTCCATATCTTAAACTAAAGTGGTGTACCTGTCGAACAACTTCCAATACTATACTACTTCAACAATTTGACCAAATATGTAGCTAGCCTTCTTGTGTTTACTTTATTAATTCTTGTTTACAAAACCTGTTATTGTGATATCACCTTTACTGTCCTAAGATCCAGTGCTCCGGTGAAAAGGTTCAGCAGTGCAGGTTTGTGTCTTGTCAGTGTTTTCACATCAACGTGAGTAATGAGCATCTCCAGTGTCACAGTGAAACTCTGCAGAGCTGCAACCTCTGTCTTCGACAATGTTTCATATGCCTGTCAAAAAAATTAATATATATATACATACATACATACATACATACACACACAATATATTATTAGTGAAATATGTTATATATATACTGTATCCTGGAAGTTAAACAGTAAAACAATTAATGAAATTTTGATAATCCCTAACTTATAACCCTACTTACAAATGAAATGTCATCACATTCCTTCATTCCATGGGAGGGGAGGGGAAGAATTTGTTTTCAACCACATTATTGTGACTTGTTCTCTGCAAACTACTGTACATACTTCTATACATTTTAGTACCTCATTCTTACTGGATGCTCTCGTTTTTACACATGGTTACAGGAACAGGCGACTGCCGACTACTGTCAGCAGGTTTCAAGAGCTCGAAAGCTTTCCCATCCCATAGGTCATGGTAGGCCTTACCCACTAGTTTCCCTGGAATATGACCTGCCAATCATTTAACAAACAGGTACCGAATCACTGCTGAGTGAACAGGTGCAGTTAAGAACTGGCTCCTAGTCAATCCTCCCTGGCCAAGATACGAACCTAGGTCAAATCGCTTATGAAGGGTGGGGCAAATGTGTTACCTTTCACCACAGGGGACTGTTATACCTTTTCCCAAACCCACAAAATTCACTATAACTCTAAAATACTAAAGTACTAAAATTCAAAAACCCTTGAAATATGTGGTGAAGAATTTCACAAGGGTTTGCATATGATGTACATAAGGTAAGGTCACCTGTCACTTGCCACTCCTAGAACAATAAACTATCACCTAAAATGGGGCAGGCAGGGGGAGAAAAACTAAATCTGAAAACTCTTCAGTGGTTAACGTCCTCAGCTCATCCTCGAGGGACTTGGTTTCAATCCTCAGGCGGGACAGAAGTGAATGGTCAACTGATGCTTCTTTTTCACCTAGTAGAAAATAAGTACCCCAGGAGTAATTAGGTAATTGTTGTGAATAGCATCCTGGGAAAGGTAAGTAGCTGGCCTAGGGGTAACCTCGATAAGCCGATAAGCCTAAGTACAGACTTCCTGTTCCCAACAACAGGAAATTACGTACATTAGCCTTACATGTGTGAAAATGGTGGATACTATAAAAAAAAAATAGGTACAGTATATATATATTTTTTTGAGGTTTGAATGAATATGTTCCTTACAAATATTGTAAGAATTATTATTTGTATACTATATTTGAATAATTTTGTATTTTTCATGCAGATTTAGTAGACTTTTATTGTAGAAACATACTATAGATATCTGGAAATAAATTTCATGGCATTCAGCCAACTACATACTGTGCACTAGAGGCTGGTGCTATTTGCTTCAGACTACACTAAGAATAAAGTATTTGATATGCCTTACCTCTGTCAATTTAGGAATGAGGACTCGTGGCTCAATCTGCTTGACTAATGCATCTCTGACAATGCCCAGTCTCATAATCAGCCGAGACTCCTTAATGGCAGCTTTTTCCTTGCGGGCAGAGAGGCGACACACGGAACACACCAGAGACACTAGATATGGTGACAAGAACTGAGGCACATTTTCAAGTAGCTGTGTTGGGTAAAGAATGTTAAGAGTAAGATTAGTGAACACGAAATTTGCAAATGACATTAATAAAAAGACAAATATTCTTGTCTACTGGTTAATGTTTTTAACATTCCCACCCAAACAAATAGACTATGTATACTAATCCTTTAAACAAAATCTCAAAATAATATATTAATTTTGGTAACTAAATAAGAGTAAACAAACTTTCATAATACCAGCAAGTTCTTCCCTGAATAACTGCAGCACTCTCAACTTTATAAAAGATGTTTTTGTGCATGGAAAGAACAGGACTCACATATTTAAACTGACTGCCCATTTGTAGGATTTAGCCATTTGCCCATATTTTACAAACACACAGTTTCATGCTTTACCCACCATTACTTTATTTCTGTATGCAGTGTATACGTTTTCGTAGTTAATCCGTTCCCAGAGACGGTAGGAAAACCGAAACAAATTTTCCCATAAGAAATAATGTAAATTGAATTAATCCATTCCATACACTCAAAAATATTAACTTAAAAATACATTTTATACTGAATAATACTCATTTTGTACTAGCTAAAATACAGTACAATACCCCCGAAAAACATCAATATGAAATTCAATTTTTTTCATAGAAAATGGAGCAGCCTACATGACACCCACTGAACAAACCTTATGACATTTTTTTTCAAATTTTTTAAATTTATTTTATATTTTTTCGTTTTTTGTATTTTTCATAGAAAATGGAGCAGGCTACCTGACATACACTGAATGAACCTTTTGACATATTTTATTTTTTCAAAAATTTTCAATTTTTTAATTTTTTCTAAAAAAAATTCAATACTTTGCAACATTACAGCAGTCACCCCTTTACAACCCAGCATCATTTGCATCTTTTAAAAAGAAAGTTCAATGATTTGCAGGCATCAGAGAGCTCATAGATTGGGCTGCTTGTCACTTATCGCCTGCTTATCTTACCTTGAATAAGGACTCTTGTTGGTGTACGAAGACGGTGAGGAGGAGGAGGAGGAGAGGTGTTAGTGTTTGGAAAGGATGTCCCCTTCCATTATAACATCAGGCAGTGATAACTATTCTGGGGTGCTTTCTCTCCATTTTGCAGGCACGATTTAACACTTGTTAGACATTTTAACACTTGTTTGTAGTGAGACATTACATTGTCTCACTATTGTGGTGGACCCATAAGTATATAAGCAAATTACGACCATCGAGGCAAACTTCGACTACCAAATTGAATTTCTCGTAGAAATTTATCACGATTGTCGGTTTGGGTTCAATCTCGGCTCCCCATGCTCCCCCTTGCTTCAATAAACACACCAGATTCTGCTCCTGGTGTTCGGTGGCCCTCTGAAAGTCCAGAGGCCTGGAAATGTTATGCCTCTGGAAACAAGGCATCAGTGGTACTAAAGCCAATGAAGTGGTGAGCAAGTGAAGGCCAGCCCAGAAATACTAGATAATCAGCAATGAAAACATTATTTACAAACCTTCTGAGTTGCAGTGACAGTTGCCAAAAGTAGATGATCAGAGTCTTGATCTTCATTTAAAAATTTAATAAGGACAGGCAACAGCTGTCCTAAGAAAGTAACGGCATGGGCCTTAAGAGCAACCACAGATTCTGCCACCACCAACAGTGCCTGTGTCACAAGCTTCATCTCTGTGTCTGTAAACATAAAACAGCTTAAAAAATTTGAATAACCATCTGCTTCACAGGCCCTGACCTCATTTACAACTTTATAACAATAAGCATTATAACAATAATAACAAAATAATCAACAGTTTTATACATTTTGGACATAGTCTGAAGGTCCCTTTTGATTGGCTATCATAACTCAGGATATGAAAAGATGGTGTAATGAGTACAAAATATTGTACTATAATTATAATGTTATAGCAATAACGAGTTGAGGCTGCACTAATTAGCAAAGGTTCCTATAACAGGGAGGTGGGAAGAGTTTGTTGTGGAATGGTTATGCTATTGGTTTTGGGTTTGTGGTGTTTTGGAGCAAGATAGGGCCTTGCCTTTCAGCTACCTAGTGTTTGAATACTTCCAGATATTCTAATACTCGGTCATGCCTTCTCTTGAAATTGAGTATCTTTCATGACTTCTGCTTCAACCACATTCCATTTGTTTACCATCCACACTCAATGCAAGTATTTCTCCTTAATTTTCTTTTGAGTCACTTGTGTTTTCAGTCTCTGTAGCCTTTCAGCCTGTAAACCCCTTATCCACTAACAAGTATAATTTAATCAATTCTTCATTCTCTTCATTTACTCCTCTTGGTATCTTAATACTTTGCGATCATATCAACTCTAGTTCTTCATTCCTCTAGCATGACTAGGTTGAGATCTCTTAATCCATCCTCATGACTCAACTCTATCTCTTGTATCAGTCTCATGGCAAATATTCGGGCCTCCTCTATTTTCTTCTTATGCTTCATACGAATGAGATTTCATGCTGAAATTTTACATTCTAGGACTGGCTTAGCATATGCTTTAGATAATGTTGTGAATGATTTCTTACTTAGATTTCCAAACGCAGTTTTTACAATTGCCTATCCAATCAGTGTTTTATATAAACACAGTATATGTGCATCTTGATTTTAGTACTATATTGGCATTATATTCACTCCCTGATTCTCTTCCATTCTCTTCTTTTCTGACTATTCAGCAGTCTAAAATTTATTTACCATCCTTCTGATCTCTTATTCTCATATCACACTTCCCATTACTTCATAATTGTTGGAACTAAACTCCAATAACCATACCTGTGGCACTGCTTGTAGCTTATTAAGGTACTCCTGCAGAATTTTACAATAAACTTCAGGATTTACTTTTCTCGTCAGTTTTGTATCATCTATAAACATTATTATCTGAGATCTTGCCTCCTTAACTAGGTCATTCACATAATAAGGATGCTTACCGCTTTCCTAAACTTTGGCATATCCTCTTCCATGCTTTATGTGTCAGGTATTCTCTTACCCAATTTATCAACTTTACAAATTATTCCAGACTGTTTTTCCCTGTTCTGTGAAGGTGGAGTGTGTGTTGTACTTACCTAGTAGTGACAACAGAGAGATCTAGCTTTAAAGCCCAGCCTCAAACCTGGAAGTAAGAGGACTCAAGAAGAGGAAACCTGAACCCATCAGAGAACATAACTCTGGTTGGGTAAGGGAGATGCAATCCAGCTACCTAGAGATAACTCTGACACACAGCTGAAGTAAAATGAAAAGACAGGAAACATGCAAGGTAGGTGGCACAAAACACAATTGTGAAGCATCAAACAGTACTTCAATGAAAATTTATGTTAATTTGAAGAAAAGATATTCTAAGTAGCCTTTTCTAAGAGAACTAGCAAATAATTGATAAATTTTATATTTAAAACTGCAAAGTACCTGAATTAATGCTGAAATAATATATCAGCGACAGAACACGCCCTCTATGTAGGAATCAGACGTTTTACACAAACACTGAGATGAGCATAGACTGTATTTGCAGATAATATTTTACCTGTAAAGGCTTAGTCAAATCTAGCAAAGAAAAAGGGGAGATGGTTAAAGTTAGAGAGGCAAAGGTGTGATGAGGTCACCTCCCTGACCTCACCTCATTACTTCCATAGCCACCCTGAACTCACCCCTCCACAACCATAGATCACAAGTCAAGTCTGGCCTCGGGCTGGGCTTGGGGAAGTAGAAGAACTCCCAGGACCCCATTAAGCAGGTATCAAGACTGACAAATTCTAACATCTTGAATTTCTTGGACACCTAAAAAATAACTGAAGTGAACCCACCTTCTCTGCAGATGAGGTCCACTCCAGCAGATAAAACTGGCTGAACTGCTTCAACAGGAACTTGAGGTGCCACATATTTTGTAAGTAAGTGTAAAGTAAAGAGGGCAGTTTGTCTATTGTCTGATGGTTCTTTGATTTTCAGTGCCAACTTGAGCAAAATTTTGATGAATGGTTTTAAATGTGCTATGTTTTCTTTCCTGAAAAATTAAAGAAATATTAATGAAAGAGGACATTCTAATTCAGTAACTATTCATTATAATGAATAAAATTAACGATGGAAATAAGCAGGAAAATCTGGTTACGCAAAGAAAGAATGAATGCGGCAGTGCTGCCAATATTTCTGTTCTGTATTTCTGTAAATTTAGTTTGTAATGTTAGCAGTCATCATGGTAAAGCATAAGAAAACTAAAATAATTAATTTTATGACTAACTGATCACACAAAATTACAGGACTCCATGTGAATGGTTATTAACAAGAAAAGATCTACAAGCAATGTTCTTATGGTAAACTGAACACTTCTGAGCTATGTTACATTCCTGAACTATGATGTGTTCTTGAACTATGGTGTGTTCTTGAACTATGGTGTGTTCTTGAACTATGGTGTGTTCTTGAACTATGGTGTGTTCTTGAACTATGGTGTGTTCTTGAACTATGGTGTGCTCTTGAACTATGGTGTGCTCTTGAACTATGGTGTGCTCTTGAACTATGATGTGTTCTTGAACTATGGTGTGTTCTTGAACTATGCTGTGTTCTTGAACTATGGTGTGTTCTTGACCTATGGTGTGTTCTTGAACTATGATGTGTTCTTGAACTATGATGTATTCTTGAACTAAGCTACATTCCCGAACTATGCTACATTCCCAAACTATGCTACATTCTTGAACTATGCTACATTCCCAAACAATGGTACATTCTTGAACTATGCTACATTCCCGAACACTGGTACATTCTTGTACTATGCTACATTCTTGAGCTATGCTACATTCCCAAACAATGGTACATTCTTGAACTATGCTACATTCCTGAACAATGGTACATTCTTGAACTATGCTACATTCCTGAACTATGCTGCATTCCTGAACTATGCTGCATTCCTGAACTATGCTGCATTCCTGAACTATGCTACATTCCTGAACTATGCTACATTCCTGAACTATGCTGCATTCCTGAACTATGCTACATTCCTGAACTAAGCTACATTCCTGAACTATGCTGCATTCCTGAACTATGCTGCATTCCTGAACTATGCTGCATTCCTGAACTATGCTGCATTCCTGAACTATGCTACATTCCTGAACTATGCTACATTCCTGAGCTATGCTACATTCCTAAACTATGCTACATTCCTGAACTATGCTACATTCCTGAACTATGCTACATTCCTGAACTATGCTACATTCCTGAACTATGCTACATTCCCGAACTATGCTACATTCCTGAACTAAGCTACATTCCCGAACTATGCTACATTCCTGAACTTTGCTACATTCCTGAACTATGCTACATTCCCGAACTATGCTACATTCCCGAACTATGCTACATTCCCGAACTATGCTACATTCCCAAACTATGCTACATTCTTGAACTATGCTACATTCCCAAACTATGCTACATTCCCGAACTATGCTACATTCCTGAACTATGCTACATTCTTGAACTAAGCTACATTCCTGAACTATGCTACATTCCTGAACTATGCTACATTCCTGAACTATGCTACATTCCTGAACTATGCTACATTCCTGAACTTTGCTACATTCTTGAACTATGCTACATTCCCGAACTATGCTGCATTCGTGAACTATGCTGCATTCTGAACTTATCCACATTCTTGAACTATGCTACATTCCCGAACTATGCTACATTCTTGAACTATGCTACATTCCCGAACTATGCTACATTCTTGAACTATGCTACATTCCCGAACTATGCTGCATTCCTGAATTATGCTACATTCCTGAACTACCTTACCTTGCGATGATTTCGGGGCTTAGCGTCCCACAGCCCGGTCCTCAACCAAGTCTCCTATTACCAAGGGTAATAGGTTTACCAAGAGTAAACTATATCATATTTCTGAACTATGTTATAATCCTAAGCTATGTTATAATCTTAGGCTGTGTAATACTCCTGATCTATGTTTCCTCTATTGCTTCCCTAACCATTACATGTGAATACTTTAGACACAAGCATGGGAACAAATTATACTTAGAATAATGCATCAATTTTACATTAGAAAAAGTTATTGAAAAGATTCACTAGATAGCATAGCAATATAAACCTATGTTAAATTACATAAATGACTAACAAGTTCAAACATCCCTGGGTACTAATGTAGATTTAAAGGTAGAGAGTGTATCTGACTCTACAGCCAAGCAGCTATTTGCTATAAGATGAAGGAACAGAAACAGTACACTTGGCATCCTTTCTAAGAAATCACTGGGATTGCTTGGAAAACCCTTCATAGCTCTGCTAGCTACGGATTAGAAACTAATGACTGCAGGTGAACCTCATTAAGCATTGTCCCAGTTAACGTCATTTTGTTTTATGAAGTTAGAAAAAATAAATAAATTTAACATTAGACAGGTAAACAGTCTTTTTTTTTAAGTTTCCAACACAAAAGAGACAAAATGACATGGAACCCTATGGTACTTATAGAAAATGAAATACTGTACAGTACATGACGGCTAGCTTAAATATTACCAACAAACACTATTTATACTGTACTTGAAATTTCACTTTTGTTTACCGAAAATAATAGCACAAATTACAGTACTGTACATCAAAAATATATAATACTGTAATGTAAAATTTAATACAACCATACGACTTTAAAAAAAAATCATAAAGTGAATTAAGCTGCTGCTGATAGAAATGCATCTTGCCATCTGATTACAGACATGAACAAACAAGGTGTGAGAGTTCCGAGCTCGATATTATTAACGGTAATAATAAATTTCCTTGGACAAGAAGGCATGATGGGTAAATGATCTATAACAGGCAGTAGTCCTAATTACAGGCCAAAGAAACAAAGGAAGATAATATTATTAGAAAGTAAGCTAAAAGTACTAGGTAGGTATGACAAGAGTAAATTACATCACAATTTTTCCCAGTATACTACAAATGTAACCCTTACTATAACACTAGGCCTATGATGTTTTTGGTTTCACTTCCATGTTATTTCAGTTAAAGTCATGGTTTTCATGAAACTAACCTCAACATTAAATAAGTTTCACCTGTACATTGACTCCCCACCAGGAGGCAGCAGTGTTCTTCAGTTTGTTTATTCCATCCTACTGCATGGCTACTCCTTTACTAGAGCTATTATATGCATCCATACCTTCTCTTCTCTACTTTGTATTTCTTGTGTTCCTTCACATATTCCTACATTTTACTGCTAATATGTTCATGAACTCCCATACTAGCCTGGAGTATTTTTCTTATGTGTTATTCCTCCAATGTCACCTCTCATTCTTTTCTGTTAGCTATTACTATATTACTGCTTCTAGTCAGCAGATACTGAACAGAGGTTCTTGCCTTGCATGACACAACCAAGCAAAATGCTCTCTCTGAGCTAAACAACTGGCCTTCCCTATGATCATCTTGATATACAAGTTCTATGCTTTGCCATGTTTGCCAAGCACTGGGATGCAAAATAAGGAGTTTCAAGAATTCCACTGAAGCTTAACTGTAAAACATGAAATAAGCCTGGTGCTTAGAACCATGTTCCCAATGCACTTTAGCTTAGAACCATGTTCCCAATGCACTTTAGCTTAACCCTCTCATCCTATGCACAAAGAAAGACTAACAACCTCAGTGAAACAACTTTGGGAACACAAATTGGTCCTCATCCCCGCAGCACTGGTAAACGAATAGCTCGCTAAGAAAAACTACAATTGTTCACCAATGATACTAAGCTTGGAGAATGAAAATAACAAAAAACAAGACTCACAGATCCTAAATAGTGAAAAACCTGTCAGACTTTTCTGAAAATCGCAGACTGGTTTAAGACTATGAATGTATGAAGGACCAAAAGTAGCAGCAGTCAGTGTAGGTATCAAGTCAATTGGTTAGTCATGTAAAACATTCCCTTGGCAGTCATAGAGAGGGGAAGGGGGAAAATTAGGGAAATGAAGAATGAGGGTTCTGCAGGACTAAAATTTATAAGTAAACTATTGTGGGCTGGATTTACTATGAAGTACAAAATTACAAAATTACCTGAAGAAATTGGCATTTGGCTGAAGCTTTGCACAGAGAATTTCCATGGCTTTACAGCGAACGAGTGATAGTGAAGAAGTCAGAAGATTCTTGGTGACTTCTATCAACATGTTTGGTGGTAGTACTGCATTTATTCCATCTACGACATCCACAACCTTACGTTGCAGAGACATATACAAACGACCTGAAACAAAAATGTAAAATTAGACCATCAAGTACTATATTTCTCTTAAATATACAATTACATTTTGAGGGGGAAAGGAGAGCAATGTACGAAAAATAGATTAATGATATTAGATATGTAAATTGGTGGCTATTCACTACCTACCACACCCTCAGAAACACGATGGAAAAGTACTACTACCTTACCCCAGCAAATTACTTATTCTACAAAAGTACTCGAGATGCACCAGTGACTAAGTGCAAAGTTCTCTATATGGTAATCAGAAAAATTGTCAATCATTCATTATCCTATCAAACTGCTTACCCTTGCTATTACAACTTCTTGTGCATTGTTCACACTCAATCCATGCTTCATCACATATCTCCTTACATTAATGATAATTATTCTATTTAATTTTAGTAGTAGGTCACCAGATGCAAAACTTTCTCTTAGCATCTACAGTGCTGGATAAAACTAACCCCAAGAAATGTTAGGAACTTTCTTTAATTATATTATGATAACATTTTTGAAATAAAGAAGATAGTTGAAGTGAAATAAGTGGAATAAAAATGTATTATTCAGAGCTTAAACCCCCTCGGTCTTTCCCTTTAAATAATATCCCGATACCCACGAACATTGTAAAGTCCAGAGTCAGTGTGCCTTTTGCACACACTTTTCACCAACCATCATGATTGATCTTCATCTGGCCTCATTATAATCTCACGATCATTTAACTAGCTCTTCTTTTGGCCTTGTGTTTACTGGAGGACTGTAGGCACGAGCAATGATTTTTCTCTATGTGGGTGACTAGTTGACCCATCCCAGTTTGACCCCAGGGGTCAAACGTCATATGATTCATATGACTTTTTTCTTTTAATCACTGCTTTTTTATTCAGTCACAGGCACGACCTAAACTTAGCTTGTCAGTGACTGACAGGGTTAAGTTAGGGCACACTGAGAACACAAATCTTGCAATCAGGAAACGTCTTAAGACATAGTTCTGGGGTGGTTTTTCTGGAATGTATCTAAGTTTTCCCAAGTGGAATGGGGGTGGATTTTGTTTGATACAGTTTTGTAAGGATACCAACACAGAAAAGATAACAAGAGATAACACAATGTCTATATATTGCAAGCAAGACAACTGGCCAGAGCTGACACAGAATTATGAAAAAAAGCCCTAGTTATCCTGCAGGAAATTCAAAGACAGCAAAGAACTGTGAGAAACACCCAGGCAGCATGAAAACTATGGTACGAAACCATACACAGATACAGAAAGCAATCATACTGTCCTGAGTCAAGACCCCATACCTACAACACTCAGTTGAGTAAAGTAAGCAAAATAACTAGGCAGGTCCCAAGAAGATTACCCCAAAGCAATCTGAAGAAGAAATCAGAACATTAAAGATCCTAGCAGCAGTGAATGCTGGAGTATATATATATAAAAAAAAAAAAACTCACATGAAGACACACACATGCCCACAGTGCTCTAGGTAACAAACAAGATGAGAACCTAGGAGGGTTCCAGAAACTCTGTCCCAGAACAAAGACTGAAGAAGTGATCTGGTCACAAGAATTATTTCTTTAGCATGCTCTAACCACATCTCTAGATATCTGCACGAAGAAAGTTAACTCACACCTAGTTGAACACACTTGTATTCAACCTAGTTTCGTCCCTAGTTTGTGTGGGACCAAAGAGCCAGAGCTCAACCACCGCAAGAACAATTAGGCGAGTACAATACCAACCCAACACACAAGCAGACTCTGCCCACATCAGTTCGGTAAAGCTCGACACACACACACACACACACAGCTAGCTGATAAACACTTACATGAAGTATTCCCAAAAGCACATGCTCAAAGCCTATCTCAGAATTAATAAACTTGCACATGACTGAAGATGTTCCTTACTAAACTGAAAAGGTAACTGAAGTGAGATCACAAGGTGGGAATGGCAACTGGTAATTAGTAGTTATGAGTAGCAGAACAATACTTGGGGGTCACTTTAATTTCAAATATGGTTTAGAGAATTTTCCAGTCAGCCATTCCCTCTAAGTATGGAATGGTGAAACGCAAATTATAAATGATCCTAGTTGCATCAGATATGAGGTCACACTGATCCAGATTGAATTGTCTCTGGAGAGCAGTGAGATGTTGCCTAAGAAGCAACCGAGTGGCTCAGGCTCATAAATATACAGTAGTTAACTTTATGCTTAGATTACCAAAAATTAAAACAATTAGAAATACACAGCAAAACACCTAAAGCTAGTTTTTTTTGTATACAGATTAAAGTCCAGTAATTCTGTAATACATACCTCCAGGTTTATCTTTGTGGTGATCACATGACAGACTTACAGTGCGCAGGTAGCACAAAGTCTTCTCCAGAAGCTGCCTATAAAGCTCCTGTAATTCTCCAGCTTGTTCTTCAGTAGCTTCGTATACCTGAAGAAGTTTGTTCAGTTGCATGACAATAATATAAATTTATACACCACCCAAAAGAGAAAAAAAGACAGAAAGGCACACCATGATTAAGTCTTTACCATTAAGGACTCGTGCTTTTGGATTGTTAGTGTAAAATAAAATAAAAATATGGCTTTGAGTAAATATGAAAATCACTTTTCTATGCATTTATTTGGTTGCCCCTCAGGTATGACTCAAAGTATATACAGTATAGCCAGGTAGGATGATGTTCAATCCAACCCAAAAAGACAGGCAAACAAGTGCATTAAATAAGCCTGTCTAAACCCTCTTGGCATCATAAACAACCACCTACAGATGGCTCTCATAAATCACTAGACCGACTAATGGCTATGTATACCCTGAAATGGTAGCAACCTGAACACTTAAACGTTTCAAGGATGTAACATTTAAACATTTAAACATTACATCCATTCTCTTGAATGGATGTAACAACATTTTTTTTAATTTGTATTATTTTTTGTAAATTTTGAAGTTTTGTCTTACTGGAAATTTCAGATTACTTATTTTTGACTGTTTGCACACAATATATAAACAAGGATTTTTTTTAAATATTAACTATGAAATAAAGATTCTGTAACTCATCAAAATTTGAGTAATTTAAAATTTTCTGTAATTTTCTATATTATAAAAATTCTCACTTGGCAATCAAATCTAATTTTTGTTCTTCCCCAGAGAGTGCTAATTCACCCATGACACTCCTCAGGCAGCCTCCTCACACCCTGGCCATGATCAAGTTTCTACATCAACTCAGAATTTTTTTAAATGTTAAAAACACCACCCAATCCTATACTGTACATTCTTGCAAGACTGATCTTTCTATAAAGCATCGTTTGTACTCAAAAGTGAAGCAAAAATAAGATACTGCTTCACTTTTTGCAAAAGTGAAGCAGTATCCAAAGAAAAATGAATGCAAGTCCTTTATACACCACTGCAGTACCAACAAAGAGGAAAATGCATTTGGCCAGACTAGGTCCACTATGTGACAGGACTGCGCCTACCAGGAGCCGGTCGGCCGAGCGGACAGCACGCTGGACTTGTGATCCTGTGGTCCTGGGTTCAATCCCAGGTGCCGGCGAGAAACAATGGGCAGAGTTTCTTTCACCTTATGCCCCTGTTACCTAGCAGTAAAATAGGTACCTGGGTGTTAGTCAGCTGTCACGGGCTGCTTCCTGGGGGTGGAGGCCTAGTCGAGGACCGGGCCGCGGGGACACTAAATAGCCCCGAAATCATCTCAAGATAACCACAAAAAGAAAAGAAGAGCAGCATTCTGCTAACTATATTATATACTTTTTAAAGTTTAACTCTTTAGCTTTACTGTTTGATGCATCAGGTTACATCCCTGAGAATTGAAGTGTGTGTCTTGAGCAGAGTCAAGCCTGGGTGTGAATGGTAATAGGTCACAATTAGCAACTAGTTTAATAAGGTGAATAAATCCATAAGGGCCGTGATGAGGGTTCAAACTTACATCCAGGATGATCCCAGACGTGCCTTAATTGACTGCGCCACGACATGGATAAAGAATTGCAACCGGGATTGTTACTGCTCTCACATGGATCCCGCAGTCTCTCTGAGACACAATACCTTATACTTATGACATTCTTAGGATTGAGAGACAATTCTAATACCATGTCGTGGTGCAGTCGATTAAGGCACGTCTGGGATCATCCTGGATGTAAGTTTGAACCCTCATCATGGCCCTTATGGATTTATTCATTTGATATATCACGCTATTGTGATTTCTGTGTGTAGTTAAATAAGATTTTATATTTTAGATTCCAGTGAGCAGTCATTTTCACCTGCTTATGAAAAGAACCTTATATAACTACCAGCTGATGACAAGAGCTCCTCTTTATAACTTCCCTTAATTCTAATGTTCAAGAGCACTTTGCACACTTAAGACATCTAACTACGCAAAAAGAAAAAATTTTTTTTTTAATACAGTCTAAGCTTTTCTATAGCTATAACACCTCTTCACTCCAGTCACAAATGAAATGATTTCAACCCTGTGGCAACTATTTGCTCAAAAATACAAATATAGACTTACAGCCAACAATGATCACATTTTTGTACTATTAATTTTGTAGTGGGGCACAAACAAAAACAAATGTGAACAAGGCCTAGTGAAGCACATATATGTACTATAATAGGCCTAAGAGAGTGTATATTACCTAGGATTCCTTAGACAGGTTAGGTTAGGTTTTTTAATGACATTTCAATTTTTTTAGTATATCATTTGAGCTAACTCAATAATAAAAACAAACACTCAGATCTAACCGACCATATTTGTACATTTGATCAAATAGTTGCTATTAGTGCTATCATTTTAGGAGGATGGGTTGATGATGTTTATTACTCACTGATAAATATAGCTTCTAAATCTAGGTCTAGATTATACAAAATTTAATTATAATGTTACGTTATTATTATAATTTTCTCTTAGGTAAGTAATGCACTATAATTTCATGAAAATTCAGATACCTTTACAGGATTTTGCAAAATTTCTCTAGTAACAAAGGCCTCTCTGATTTTTAAGGTTTCTGTTAAATCAAATCCATATTTTTGGTTGCAAGGTAACGTTTATAATATTCAGTTGCTCCGACTCAGAAATTCGTAGAATAGTTCATAATTTGGACTACTCACCTGTCCGACAAATTTTTCAGATGAGAGAAGATGTGCTACAAGGCCAGCAATGGTATACTTCAAGTGACACATCTGCTTAGCAGAGTATGAATCAAAGCACATGATGTCCCGACCTTGCTGAGCAGCCTTGTCAGCCGATCTTTTTTGAACGGTCATATCCTCTGCAAAGTGCCACACACACACACACCATAAGGTAATTATTACATCACTTATGATTTACATAGATAATGGAATACATTTGTATTGCAATGGCAAGAAATTGAAAAATATGATATCAAGCTATTATTATACATGAGCATTTCAAATTTCAAATTTCCTAGATAGTTATATACAGGTATTCTGCAATACTGTAGTTTTGTAATTATTTTAGCAACGTCAATTTTTGACAATTTTTTTTAAACCATTATCAAATCACATAATATTAATTTTAAAACTTAGGTTAATATTGATTATTCCAGCATCAAGAGAGCAGTTGGAGCAAACATGCTCCATAATGAGTTACCTTTTTCCTCAGGCATGCTACTGATATGATCCATCAGCTGGCAACACGCATACACTTGGGCCAACATAGAAAACTGGCTACATAGTTTAAGGGCAAACTGAATATCATAAGGAAGGCCTCGTTTGTCCTCCACTTTAATACCAGCTGCATCAATTATACTTCCTCTCATGACATGGGCATCAGCTGAAAGAAATTATAAAATTCTTAAATGCAGATACTGTACAATGCTTTATTTTTTAAAGGCAAGAATGGGAGAAGAAGTGAACTATGAAGGAGATAAATTGTTGATATTAACATGTTTGTATGCAGATTATGCAGTGTTCTTTGCTAAGTGTAAGGAGAACAAGCAGAAGATTGTAAACAATTTTGACGATAAGTTCAAAACAAAAAGGTAGGCGAGTTCAGAAAAAGCAAAATTATAGTGTCTGGGAGAAGGCAACGAGATGTCATGGATTCTGTTAAACCTAGTGGCATGAGATATGGAAAGAGATAATTCATTTAAAGTACAGTTTCAGTTTCCATACTCTCATTTTTACCTAACACTATTATCTAGTGTTAGGTAAAAATGAGAGTATGGAAACTGAAATAAGAGAGCAGTATAATGAAAGGAAGGAATTTAATGCTCTCATGCTAGAATTTATTCCAGCATGAGAGTTATAGAGGGACTAAAAGACATTATAATACTCCCAGGCCCAATACATGGAACTGAAAATTGGGCTGTGTGTTCAAGAGAACAAGTACGGGAAAATTACTGTTTTGAGAATAGTAGCTTGTATATGTGGAATGTATATACAGTAATTATAAGAAAGTATTTGACAAGTGTGTTATGAGTGAGAGGGGTGAAGGAATGAAATGTAAGAGTAGTAGAGTGGGTGATGCTGGAATGTTAGTATGATGCTTGAAGATCATTTAACGAGAACATGTTACAAGGGTGATATGAGGGGGGGGGGGATCATAAGTTAGAGGCAGACAACCAGTATCCTGAAAGGGGAGAGTATAACAATATACGAATGAACAGGAAAAACGTTAAGAGTTTAATAGAGTGAAAGGCTTGTGAGAAAAAAACTGTCTGGAAAACTTTTTGCTCTGACCACCTTTATATGGAGAGCTCCAGGGAGGAGATTTTGAGACAATGGATTTAGACATCCCTAAGCATATTATAAGCCTGTATAGATTCTTAAAAATTCTCTATCACCAACATAAAAAGACAAAACAATAAAAATGTGTATCTAAAGTTTATCAAAGTATCTCACATACATACCCATGAGAGCTAAGATAATCCACAAGTTTTTGTTGGCATCAATTGTGGAGGCAAGTTGTGTGAAGAGTGCCAAGCGGCGGTGCTCTGGTAGATCTGGAAGAGCATCCACAAATACTTGGCAAACTTGTGCAAGTTTCACCAAGAGATTTTCTTCAGTTTCAGACTGTGGACAGTAAATTTGCTTATTAAAATGGCGCTAACAAAGAGTTTTGCAAGAAGTTTGCAAAACTGAGTCAGAAGAAAAGCTTGAAAAAAATGACAAAATAGATTTAAAGCAGAAGCTTCATACAACTCATTCACTGTGAAACTCATAAGCATGTTATAAATTTCCTAAACATATACTCATACAACCCCTATTCCATAACAGGTATTGAAATTAAATACCAAAGTAGTTTAATCACATCATGGAAAATATAAAACTAGTTTTATCACATCATGGAAAATACATCAGAACAAAACAAAATTTAGCATAATCTGTTTTTTAAACATAACAGCCTTCATTCCAATAACTTAAATACCTTAATGAGTGCCGGTACGATGCTTTGTATGGTCTGGTGTATAACCTGGAAGGAGTACGAGTCATCACGTCTCAGAAGTGAAGTGCCCATGAAAGTGAAGATGGACATCATATTATGCATCACTGCTTCCTGGAAAGAAATGCAACAAAAATGCTATAAATACATAATATTCATATATTGTATACAGTTCTCAATTTATGGACAGAAATTCTATCAAGAGGCATGAAGGAATGGTAACAAATTGGGTTCAAAAGCAATATGTTCATACTGTCCATCATTCAGCATTGACATCCAGTAAGGGTTCGAATTTTAATTGTGATCATTATGTGAGAATTTGTTGAGATCATTTAAAAGAGGCTTTAACCAAATGTAAGCAAGGCCATTTTGAATATGAACTGGTTACTTCATTACCTAGCTGTAAAATGGGTCAAGGGCTATCATCACAATACCTGGACCCTAGGTAGGGCATTCAAGTTACAACTCTTTGGATGAGTTGTGGCCTAATGTATAGACTGACTGACCTGCAGACAATGAGTACAAACCTGACTTCCCTATGAAATACATGAAACATATGACATAGAATACATATATACACGAACCCTTAAGAGCTGTGAACAGTTGGAGTGAACTGAAGGAAAACATAACAAAGAATAATTCAAATCATAGCTTTAAAGAGAGATTAGTGTTGTCCCAGAGATCTATAAGCAATGAGGAAGGTCCTAAGAGCTGATCCTCTCTACCCAAACAAATTGGTAAGAAGAGATAGGAAAATATATACTCTAGCAACAGAAGCATTATATTTACTGATGAAATTTTTGCTGCCAAGGCAAGAATAAGCATTGCACGCCGGTGTGTATCTGAGTTCACTGATGACCGAATACACTGAACAATCAGTTCAACGTTCAGCTGCACTTCTTTATTCACACCTGATGAAAAAATTATTATTATTATTATTATTATTTAACATCATTCAAACCTGTCACTACTCCTATATGACTACACATAATTATCCTCATTATTAATACAAAGGAAAGTTTAAAGTATAGTATTTATGATCTAAACCTACATGTAACTAAACATATAGAATAGTCATCCATTCCATTTTAATTAAGCTACTTCAAAATTTGCTTTTAATAGTACAGAGGGATAGAGGGAGTTCCAATTAAAAATAAAATTTTAATAACTTTTTGAATGCTAAAGCTTAGCAACTTATTATAACAACATGCACAAAGTTATCACAAGAACACGATTTATCTACGAGAAAATATTAAGGCATATCGATGGGATCGAACCCACATGTACCTGGCCAGTCTATTGATGTGGGGTTCGTAACATTTTATGGCCTCTATAATTATGGGTCTTATAATTATATGCACTCATCATAAAATTACTAAATGGGTGAATAAAAGTGAGTGAACTGTGTTTGTCATTTGGGAGTAAGCAAGCATGAATACACAGGCTGTTTACTTGGGAATATTTAGCTATCATAATTAATGATACCTAAAAATCAAAATATCAATAAACAAAAACAATTATACCTCACAGACTTATATTTTTCATCCTTTAAATATTTTTTTATTGTTGGTGCACTAACTTTAAAATTTCCCCCATTTAAATACCTATTAATTAGAGATTTAAGTTATTGTACAGTACAGTATTGTGTTTAACAAAAATTCTTTACCAAGATAACTCTTACCTTCTCCCAATTCTTCTTCTGACTTCTGCAGCAGATGCAATATTGCAGAAAGTATCTGTTGTTGCACCAATTCCGTAATGACTGTGTCTAGAGTTAGTGTGTGTTGGAGGCAATGGCACAAGGGGCCGACCAATAACCATGGTCGGCCTAGTGACGCCATCACACCGATAGTTTCCAACATTAGGCCAAGTTTCTTCCAAGCCAAAAGTTGGTTACTATCATTTACGTTCTTCTTTCTGTCAAAGAAAAATTAATGCAGATATGGTATCTAAAAGAAATCCCCTATCATCATTATATTGTACACATTACTAGTTCATTGTTTTAGTCTATAACTGTCGATGATTCCGAGGATCAACGTCTCCGTAGACCGGTCACTAACTAAGCCTCCTAGTTGGTGGTCTGGTCAACCAACCAGGCTGTTCAACATAGCTGCTCACAGCTTGACATATGAGTCACAGCCTGTTTGATCAGGCAGCCTTTGAAAGTATTTATCAAGTTCAGGTGATGAGTCACAATAACGTGGCTAAAGTATGTTGACCAGACCACACACTAGAAGGTGAAGGGACGACGACGTTTCGGTCCGTCCTGGACCATTCTCAAGTCGATTGTGAACAATCTCACAATCGATTTGAGAATGGTCCAGGATGAACCGAAACGTCGTCGTCCCTTCACCTTCTAGTGTGTGGTCTGGTCAACATATTTATCAAGTTCTATTTTGAACAATGGAAGAGGTCAACCAGTTATACCCTATATGTGTAGAGGAGTGTTGTAGAGGAGTGTTGAAAAGTCTTAGGGATTTGATGTTGATCGAGTTCCCTCTCAGTGTGTCTATTACACCTCTGCTTTTCAATGGGGCTATTTTGCACATCCTTCAGTACCTTCTGGTCTCATGTGGTGTTATTTCTGTTTGCAGATTTGAGACCAGTCCTTCTAGCATTTTCCAAGTGTAAGTTATTGCATGTAAATTTTTTCCCGTAAATTATTCTCTCTCCCACCTGCACTCTAGGGAATACAATTTAAAAATTTTCAGCAGCCCCAATAATTTGGGTGCTTTATTGAGTGAATTTTAGTAGTAAAAGATCTTTACATGCCCTCCATGTTACTAATTTCTCCAGCCTTGAATAGGGCTGTTAGTGGGTAACAATATTCCACTGTAGAGAACTAGTGTCTTAAGTAGTATCTTCATTAATATGACATCTCGTTTGAAAAATTTCTTATTATATAACTAAACTGCATCCTTAATATTCTAGAGTTCACATTTAGTTACTTTCTGATAATGTCCTCACACCACTGTTTAACTAATATTCAATCAACTATCTCTTGCATACCAATCACCTTTTTGTTGGATATTTTTAATATATATACAATTTATCAATTAATTTAAAATTAATCTGAATTTATTTTCAAATGTTTACAGTCAAGTTATTGCATTATCAGAATACAACTCGCTCACCAAATGAGACATTACATGCAAATGGGTGAAGATCTTCCCACTAGAGAATATACTGATCAGTGGAGGAGCCCAAGTCTACATCTCACTTCTAGTAACAATTGTTACACAGTACAAAGATGTACATAAATTATTTATTGCTAAGGGTATTACTCTCAATTCTGCAATAGTACTAGATCACATTGTTCACTAAGATATACAGTACACAGTACATGATACATATATATTTGTTCAACTTAAAATTAACAAGTAAAAAATTAATTAGGCCACGACTGAAAATAATGACGTTTCATTTTGTTTCAAACTATGCCAGATAATAAATAATTTAAAAACAAAAAGAATATAACTTACAGCCTCTTTTTCTTAACTTGAGCTGCTTTTATAGATGATACTTTATCAGCTAAATTTAACCCCTCAATCTGCTTGATAATAACAACAGCATCCAAGCTGACTTTCCGGAGACCCTTGCGGAGCCGGGCAGCCTCACTGGGATCATCAGATTCAACAACACGGCTGATGAGGACACTCCAGAGTCGAGACTGTACCTCTTCACTCTTGATACTGGTGAAGAACTTGCGAGTCATAACCTGGAAACAGACGCTACATGATCAATTCCGTGATGTAACAAATGCCAATGCCTTCAATCCTAAGCATTTAAACATAAGAAAAATAATTACCAAATTCTTTGGAAACAGGTATTCGTGAAGTGAAGGACATCAGAAAATTTTCAAGATACTGTACTAGAATTTTTTTAATTTGTTGTCTATATTATCCAAAGTGGTTTCAGGATATTTTGTAAGTTATATCCAACATATTCAGAACTGAACACTATTGTAATAAAGAAAAAATTAGTAGCCAAACTTTATACAAAAAATTAAACAATAGAAATTTTAAAGATTCTTTACAGGAGATTTTGGTATATAAATGTGAAAAATTACATTTTGTATCTCGTGTTAATAATTTTACTAAACAAATTGAGACGTGTAGCATTTCTGCTGAGTAACCCATGGTTGGGAAGCAACCAAACAGCTCTGGGACAGAAGATAAAATGAAGTCCAAAGAAACTGAAGGGAAATCAGTACCCCTGTTTCTTCAGGTAATCACAACCCCATTATATTTAGTTTGTTACAACTAAATAAAAATCGACTTACCTGCTTCATCAAGACACACTGTGGTGAAACAGCACCTTCATGAATAGCATCTTGAGATAGATCCAAGACTTGTCTTGAACATGAAATAGCCTTAAGGAAGAGCTCCCATCCATCTTTACTTTCTAAGACTTCTGACGTATCAGGTGTGAAGCGAAGTAAAATGTAGTAGAGTGAAAATGAAGAGACAATATCAAGCTTCGAATCTTCTTTCAAAATAAGAGCCTGATTGAGAATGCTGTCTGCCACAGGCAGTAGATTAGTAAGTATTTCCTGAAATTAAGAAAATTTTACATGTTTTAAGCTTTACACGTCTTTACATTTTAAGTCGTCATTGTAAATGTTACTTAAAAATAAAGGGCAAAAACAGTCTCCTTGAAAGGTATTATAGGGGTAATGGCTCATCTAATAAATGAATATAAGATGGAATGAACAAGAAAATTTATTTTGGATTTTAAAAATATATATACAGTATGTTTAATTGAATGAAGACAATCAACAAAGGTATTTTGGTCCATTCCTTAGTCTCATTCTCAAGAATGAGAATAAGAAATGTAATGAATACAAGAGTTCATAAAGTACAAGGCATTGTAATGAGTAGAGAGAGTATAATGAGTTCAGATTGTGTAAGGACGAGTTCTCCCATTCAAAGGCTAGAACAAAATCTACATCTAGCATTGGATTCTTGTGCAGGGAAAAGACAACTTCCACAGATGACAACAAAGACATTAGCAAAATACTGAGGATACAGTGCAATTCTGTTTTCAGTGAACCCCTGAACACATTTAGATCTATAATACAAATGTGTTCTTGTGAATGTGATACCAATATCAAATCATGTCAGATGTCACCCTAACCAAGGGGCCTGATAGCTGAGTGGACAGCACTTCGGATTCGTAGTCCTGAGGTTCCAGGTTCGATCCCCGGTGGAGGCGGAAACAAATGGGAAGTTTCTTTCACTCTGATGCCCCTGTTACCTAGCAGTAAATATGTACCTGGTAGTTAAACAACTGCTATGGGCTGCTTCCTGGGGGTATTTAACAAAAAACAATTTTTAAAGTCCTCGGGGACTTTAAAGGCCACGGCGACGCTAAGCCCTGAAATCATTTCGAGATAACCTCAAGATAAGATAACCCCACTGAACCCTGGAAGCCATAGACAGTATACCCATGCACAGATTCCAGGAATTCTATATTCAGCAAGAATTGCATAAATCCACAATCCTAGGCCCTAAACAATATTTAGAGACAAAACCTTCACTGTTACATAACACATAGGATACATAACATAACATCAAGGATAACACTACTGTTATCCTTGACATCCCACCACTCCATAAAGTATGTAGTCAAGCAAATGCAAAAATTTATAGACTAATAGAACTAACATCACACATCATACAAAATGTTTGAGTCCTAAGAAGTATGATCACAAAACACAAGAAATCACAACGTCTACATAACCCTGGACAGCATGGGTTGAAAACATGGTACTTCTGCCTCTCACAATTGCAATCTAGACCACTATGATATTGCCCTAAATGCCATGGAAGACAAGCAAAATGCCTATGGAACATACACAGATTTAGCAAAAGTTTTTGACAAATGGTGTTATTGCACACAAAATGTGTACAAAGGCAATTACTGGCAAAGTCCTCTTTTTTAATTTCCTAGTGAACAAAACCCAGAATGTAATGAAGACTAAACCACACACTAGAAGATGAGGAGACGACGACGTTTCGACTTGATAATGGTCCAGGACGGACCAATACGTCGTCGTCTCCTCATCTTCTGGTTTAGTCTTCATATCTTCATAACACAATAAAGTAGTTATCACAACCACAAGAAAAATTACAAGCTAGATAACAACACAGACATTCAAACGAGATGTCAGACCAATGATAATAATTTTTAAGACACTAGTGCTCTCTTGGGTGGAATATTGTGGCACACTAACAGCCCCATTCAAAGCTCCACTTATAAAAAAGTATACACATATAATTTAATAATTCTGAGCTGCATAAAACATTTGATAAGCCATACAAATGATAACTGACATTATTTACATAAGCCAATAACTACTTCAGGCTGCATAAATGGAAAAAATATCTATGGAAACTTCCATTAAACAGCCAAAATATATTATTCAACTGATGATTACTAGGTACGAGTACCTTCTTTCTCAATCATAACTTGAAAAACTAAAATTCTAAACAGACAATGAAGGAAAGACAACTTACAGCATCTGTGACATAACTGAGGACAAAGAGGAGAGGCGTCTTAAGGTGCATCGGTACTCTCTCACACACTACAATGTCAAGAAGGGCCTTAGTTACTTGCAAACCTCTGGACTTTCGTTTATCTCCAAATTCAGAGAGTACTGATGAAACATGGCTGAAAGAGATAATTATAACAATCACTATACTAAATATATATATTTTTTAAATAAACATACTAAAAAATGTTTACGTATGAAATGAAAATCATTTGAGTGGGAATATGTGTGGGAGAAAATATTGGGAAAGAAACTTAAAGATATTTGCAAGGGAAAAAACCAGCACTGAATGTAATGAAACTCCATTTTCTGGGTAAGACCCGGAGGCTCCCCGGTGCTTATCCAGGCTGATATTGCTATATTAGACTTTGGCATAAGTCATGTGAATGGAGTTCTTAGGCCTACTGGGGACCCTGAGCCAGAAGCTGGCCCCCTCAGAGAGGCACAAGGAGCAATGGCCTATAGAAACCTCCATGTGGTTGGAAGCATTCTATGTCTGCCATCAACAGGGTCAGGCACCCAGAAAGATAAGCGCTCCAAAACAAACCCCTAATCTGGTTAAGAAATTGCTACTGAAAGCTGAACTAGTAGATAGAACTCCCCATACAAAAACGAGCAAACGAGCATGACATCGCCACGTCATGCTCGTTTGGCCATTATAATTGCAAAAATTGCAATTGTGCCCCATAATTGCAAGAAAATTTTTAAATGGTCTTGTCACCATTTTTTTGTCAAAAAAAAAGATCACTTGCAATGATACCAACAATCAGAATCATAAACAACACCTCCAAATAACTTGAACACAAGCACAACCCGTTATTCCTCTGTTAAACTACCAGTTGGCTAACTACTCACTAATCTGATCACATCAACACAAGGATGAAGAAGCCAACTGCTCCTAAATGCATCCTGGTATTGCACGTACTTTCTCCCCAGCTCTGTAGAGGCTGATTCAATACTTAGTATTTACTTCAGGGCATGTAACCAGTTGTTTGTGTGGATCTGGCGAGTAATACAATATTAGATTCAGTATTGTTTCAATACTATATTCCCAGATGATGACCATTTGTAACAGACTAGCATCACAGTTATCTTCTCTCTGGTTGTCTGAAATGGTTCTTAGTCTAGCTTCTCTTGAACCAAGCACCTTTCTAGGTGGTACCTTTGAAAATCTCTGACCTAGGCCTTGGTATTTGGCCTGCTGTCCCAAGTTATACCTGTACAAGGAAAGCATTGACTAGCTTGTCCTTGCTATTTGTGAATCTCTCTCAGTCTCTCGAGGGTCAGCTTCCCATCCTATTTTAGTCATTGATGTTGGTCTGATAGGTAAGTCCGGCTCCTAGCTCCTAGCTACATTCTTGCTTGTGGCACAGTAGTACCTTCTCCTATACATTCCCCACCAAGGTTGATGCTGAAAGCTGATGCTTTGGGGAACTGTACCCCATTAAGTGACCCAGGAATGTTCTGACATTCAAAACCTTCATATCCACATTTATATACATGAACATCCTGTTTTTTTCCCAGTAAGTTCCCCATCTCCCCCTCCCTATAGATGCATTTTTGAGTCCTCTATGAGAGCTTTTAGTTGTCCCTTTGGGGGATGCAGATCGGCAGCGTTTGTTGTTTCTGTAAAGGGCGAGGGACCATGTTTTCTACTTGAATCCAGCCTTTCTAAGCCTGGACCTTCTGTTGTTGTTTGAGGTTTACCTATGGTTTCCTTATGATTTACCTGTGGTCAATTTCAATAGATCTATGAGGCTATTTGTGCTAACCACTAGCAAATACACACAACCAACAGAATCAACCTGATCCTCCACCATTGATAACACTATTGGTGTCCAAGAAATGTACAAGTACAGTACTTTATTAATGATGATGTACTACCAGGAATCCTAGCGAAGTATCCAAAATTTACTTACTGTAGGTAATGCATGCACCCAGCTAGGTGATAAGACCATTTGAAAAGTTCTTTAGTTCTTTGTCACCATGGGGCACAGGTCAACAAGGGCATGATGGGAGTGTGCTGTGTTCTGGGTAGACGTGGACTTTGGCTCAGGAAGTGACCAAAGGGCCGTTCATATAGGGAACATTTCATATATTCATCACTTTATTTTCTTACCTAATAAATATACAACAAGGTGCAGAGTTCAGCAAGAGGTAACCACACTGAACCAATACATGGGTCTCAATTTTACCCTGTCTTGTAATGGAGTATGTACAATTTTTGTTATTCAGAACCAAACGTTTACTGCATTTCTATTCTATTTCTTATACACATTCCTTTTATAAAAGTTATATTTTTTACACATTAAGCAAATTTTACCAAATGTTGTACATTTTACCAACTTTAACACAAAACCAAAACTAAGAAAAATTTGATTACAGTACCTTCCATCTGCAATAATTTCTTCAGCATGGGCAGCAATTGCTTCTAGCAGCAGGCTATGATTGTCTTGAGATAGCCTACCACCAATCACTCCTCCAAGCTTCTTAATACACTGAATGGCTCCATGGCGCACTACCTCACTACCATGTGTGAGCGCAGAAATAAGGGCTGGAACTATTGGCTGATTTGTGCCGAGAGACCATGCAAGTCCAGAAGACTGAGAGCCTAATAGGGTTGATCCCAGACTCAAGGTCCAAGCCTGAGAAAAAAAAAATAAAGTTTTTAGTTTTTACACAAATTATTATTCTCAAGAGAAACTTGATTTTAAAATTTGTTTGGAGAAAGTGTAACAATATCTAGAACATCATCAACACAAACAGTACAGCCTCAAAAACCTGAAACTCAACCCTCCAAGCCTTAAATTTTGAAATGTATACAATTTGGAATACTATATGTGCAAACAAATGTATTTTTGCGTGTTATTACCAGTTCAAAATTATGCAGCTCCAGCACAGTAAAGAATAAAAAGAAAACTGAGAAGATCCAAAGATATGCCAGAAGGTACCAGATATAAAAGTAAAATGAACTATGAAGATATGATAGATCGCCTATAATTAATGACACTGCAAGAGAGAAGAACAGAATCACAAAATGATTACAATATACAATATATATAAATGATACCAAGAGGAATAGGCAAAGTGGATAGAAACAATCTTTTCCAGGCGAGGGGCAATAACATGAAGGATCACAGGTGGAAGTTTGAAAAGCCAACAAGCCATAACAATTTAAAAATGCATGTGTCGTGTAAGTGTAAATCTTCTGGAATGAGGTTGAAAAAAAAACAGGGTGAAACGAAACAACATTAACAACTTCAAAATCAAATATGGCAGAGTACTGGAAAATCAGACAGTTTAAATGCACTAGAATATACAGCATAAGCATGGAATCCAAACCTCATGAAGTATAGAGGTTCGCAACAAGGCTTGGACCCAGGTTAAGAGAACTAAGCCTAACAACTCTAGAATACACAAAAAAAAGAGCAGAGGGGATATGACCACAACACACAAGATATTAAACAGAACAGAACAAAGTGGATATGAACAGCCTTCTTAACCGAAAAAAAATATGATACAAGAGCATCAATAAACGTTTGAAATGTGAGTGAATCATAGAAATATAAAGAAGCACTTACTGACCACCCAAGTCCATGGTGGTCAGTAAGTGGCATGCACTAAACGAGGGTGTCATGACTGCCACGACAATCCACAATTTAAAAAACAAATGTGATAGAACTCAACATAATGAGATTTAAAAACAAACCACATTAAAAAAAAATAAGAGGAAAGGCGTAAGAAGCTAGACCTCATTCCCCATAGTTATTGATAAGTAACAGCATTACAACTACCACCCCATAGTGGGGCTGTGGCAGAGCACTGCGGGCGACTGCACTGTCAATGCCCATAAATTGCCAGACTTCCTGGACATTACATCACTGCCAAAATATGTCACATATAATTTTTATTCCCATGAACAGAGAATGCATTTTAACAATATTAAAACTTAAAATTTTTTTTAATTTTTTCCTATGCACCATGGGGGTTGTTAGGGAATAAACAGGTGTGCAGTCCAAGTGTTAAACCTGACTAAATGAAACTGCAGACAGGAATGAAGTGCAAGATAGGAGACTAATGTTCAGGGGTAAGATGTTCAAAGGTCTACGTATAGGACCCTCACAACTGGTGTAAAAATTACCTGTAAAGCTTCATCTATTACATTAGAGAAACTTAGTGAAGAATTCCACCCCCAAATGATGGCTAGGAAATAATACATTCTTTCTGACGTTCCCAAGCAGTCCTGGAGAAGAGATCAATTATATAAATTATACACAATATTTTGCAACAGAACATGAGGGAGAATAAATGTATGGATAGATGGTCAAAAATGCATGCTCATGCTGCTGTACTTACTATTAACTTTTTATGTTGCACCCTCATGTATATACAGGAAATTACACATTTTCACTTTTCATTAATGTATATTTATTTGTTGTTTAACAACAATAATAAATGAATAGCATCATATGAAAATGCACTGCAATAGTATAACAATTCAAATTTCAGACAATGTACCTTAAGAACTGTGGCAACAATACTATTCCTGTGAACATGTCCAGTTTCTTCATATCTCTCCAACTGAACTGCTCCCTTCATTGCCTTTATCAAAATCAGCAAATTTCCTTCACCATCCAACTCCTGTGGAAAAATCACATATGTGGGAGTTTGAGTGTAGATATAAGCAACAGGAGGATAGCAAACAAAAGTCACACGTATCACAAGTCTGTGTCCCAGCTTAAGTATGCAAGGGATAGAGAAATGTATTGGTAAATTAAATATATGGCAACCTAGAAGAAATCTGAAGAAGGGAAGAAGAGAAAGAGTTTGGGAGCTAGAAAATAAGTAAACAAAGCTGAGAGTTGATGAGCAGGTAAAACTCACATTTTATTTGATTTTAAATACAGTACCAAAAATTGTAAAAACATTATTTAATATATTAATCAATCTAGTTTTTAGGTGATATTCCTCATTAAAATAATGTGGCAATTTTAACTAAGATTACTTCTAATGATTTACTGTTAAAATCTCTCTCAATACAGTATTTTATCAATAAAAATCTTTTCAGAATAACTTTGCCAGTCACAGCAACACGGTCGAAAGTAAGTAATGTGAAAAGATTGAGAGATATCAAGAGCAAGTAGTGGTGGTGGTGGCCATCTCAGTACCTCCATGCCCGGGTTCCAGTAAGGCGAAGAATTGCAGCAGTCAGGGAACTTGAAGACTTGAGTAGCCTGCTTCATACACTGGGTGAGAAAGGGAATCGGCAGCAACCCTTCCATTACGTACACTAAATATTCTCCAAGATCATTTGGAGTGGGCTGTTCCAACGTCTCACTTTCTTTATACTCAGAACACTGTAAGTATATTTCTTAATTACCCAACATGTAAACAAGAATATGATCAACACATACAAGATACTGAGGGGGAATAGAGATGGTTGACAAGGAAATCCTATTTTAAACTGAAAAGCGGTAGGAAAAGGACACTAGTAAAGCTGGATATACAAATGAGTCATTAGGATATAAGGAACTTCTAATACCCTGTAAAGGAAATCAGCAAGTGGAATGAAATGAAGAAAAAAATGTCAAAGCTCTTATCATTCACAACTTTAAGAAAAATTTGACAAGAATTTCAACATGAAAGAGATGTATTTACCACACCAAGTAAATAGGATACTGAAAATTCTGAATCTGATTCTAAATTAAGCTACCCTCACAAAGGAATGAGTTTCTAAACAAACCAAGATTCAGAGATATGGGAAACAATACCAATCACATTTTCAATTATTCTCAAACACTGCATCAATAGAGGTTAATTATGTGTTCTTCTTGTAATGGTTAACTTACTAATTAAAGTAATAAGCTCTTAAAAATTTTAATATTTCAAATTAATATAAATTAAAGAAAAACAAAGCTAACCTGCAACTTAGCTTTTACTGTACCAATGTAGCTATAGCTACAGAAATACAAAATGACAAGCAAACAAATTAATTTAAACACATACTGTACCTTGAACATATCAAAACTAATTAGACAAGCATCCAGAAGTCTATGCGCCATTTTCAAACGCAGGGCCTTGTCAACTTTTAACTCAGACAAGCCACAATATAATAATATCATGGACATAAAATGAGATACCAAGCAGTCTTGAAGCCCAGTCTGGCTCTCAACATGATTCCACAAGGCTACATGCTCATCTTTGGACAATGTTCCTAGGGCTTTGGGCAAGACATTCCACATTTTCATGTAGTAATCCTTAGTCTTACAAGAACTGGTATCCAGCAAGAGCAGCCTTAGTTCACAAGATAAAGAAGACAAAAGAGAACTCTTCTCTGCCAGGCTGGATTTCAAGACAATTTTGGCCGCTTTAATATCCTTTTTACTTTTGGGAAAAAGAACATAGGGTAGGCATATGTAAAGCACACTCATTTTCAAGTATGCATCATATTTTTCAACCAGGGTCTCTGAAAGTACTCTTAAGCATGCCAATTTGACCTTGGCCCATTGGCTTTCTTGGTCCCTCGATTTAGCTAAAAGTTTCTGGCACTCAGTTACTAAATATGAAGCATCTAACATTCTCAACCCCTTTATGAGAGTCAGTGCTTCTAAAACAATATCTGGGAGCTCATCACTCAGCATGTTTTTTAAATGCATCTTGATCATTCTAGCATCCTTCTCCTGAAAAAACAAAACGTACATAAGAAAGATTTATAAATATATACTCAAATAAAAATCATTTGGCAATTATGGTTGTCAACAAAAGCTGACTCCAAATTCCAATTTTAATTACAAATTGCATTCAATTGTTGTCCAAGAAAAATGGACTAAACAAAAATGTATACATTCTATATATAAACACCCCCCCCCCTCCCCAGAACTAAAGTATGTTAATCATGTACACTGGGGGTGTATGTATTCAAAAAATACAAGTGAACAAGTAATATTTTAACTGTACAAGTCAAACTTTCAAGAACTTACCTGACCCTCAGAGACTCTCTCCACTAAATTTTTCACTGCAGCCAGCCGAATGGCATCATCAGGATGAACTAAATGAATCAAACTTGTACTTCCACTGGCGTTTGTCATTATTTTTTGTATTATCTGAAAAAGCAAATAGTATAGCTATCTTTTCTGTACGAGATCTCACTCATTCAACATCTTTTAAGAACTTTGTTTTACAACTTACACACTCTTACGTGAAACAACAGATCTTCACAGAAAAATTAAATCACAAAGCATAGACAGACAAATAAAGAACAAATCCACAAGGGCCAAGACAATTTATAAGAAATAAAATTTACACTCCATACACAGACAAATAATATTTTTTCCATGAAACAGATGTGTTGACTTCTAAACACCTTGTCAAAAATTCTAATATGTGATATAAGTGTGACTGGTCAGGAATTATTAATTATTTTTTGCATTGCTTTACTTCCTACCTTCCTTGTTTAAGTGAAATATAAAGTACCTGTATATACAATGTATGTATCAACAGGATGGCATGTGCCTCCTGGCTTTTCCTCTATGTTATATCATATGCCCAGGCTAATAGTATTTTGCACTTTTTTATAAACACTGAATTCCCGGAATGTGACCATAGCTGAATGCTTGAGCATACTGTACTGTACTGGTTATTTCTTTTTTGAAGCATGTTGCATTGTTTTAATATCCAATATGTGACTAACAATATGTGACCATAGCTACTTTCATAAAATAGCACTCATGATCTAATACTTCCATTGTGTCCACCACATTACTACCATAAATTCAAACTGTTCTTTCAGGATTTTAATAATGACTATCATCCTTAGTGAATATACCTCTTGTGAAATACAAATACAGTGGAACCTCGAGTGACGAGTGGCTCCATCTACAAGTATTTCGAGTAACAAGCGAGCCACTCGCCGAAAATTTGTCTCGATTGACGAGCTTCTGCTCCTTTAACAAGAACACCATGTGGTGCTTCCTAGCGTTCCCGTTAGTTCTCGAAAATTCTCGGATGCCTCTGACGATGAAAAAAAAAAAAAATTAAAGATGCTAATGATGCTGGGATATAAAGAGGGGACTGCTGTAATGTTGCAAAGCATTGACTCTTTTTTTTTTTTAAGAATATTTTTTAAAAAATTAAAAAAATTTAAAAAGTACAAATGTTAAAAAAGTTCGTTCAGTGTATGTCAGGTTGGCTGCTCCATTTTTCTATAAGAAAATGAAAAATAACAAAACTGAACAAATTTGAAAGAAGAAAAAGATTTGTTCAGTGTATGTTAGGTAGGCTGTTCCATTATTTAAAAAATCGAATATCATATTGATGTTTTCTGGCGGTGGAACAGATTAATTTTATTTCCATTATTTTAAATGGGGAAATTAGTTTCGAAAGACGAGCGTTTCATATGACAAGCTCGGTGCTGGAACGGATTAAATTCGTTAATCGAGGCTCCACTGTACTTGCAAATGTATCTATTGTATCTGTATCTGATTTTTTCTTATTTCTTGAATTATTCTTATTTTTTATTTGTTTTCTTTATTCTGATATGAGTGTTTTAGTTTTTGGCTCTATATCTGTGATTTCTTTGTGAAGGTTTGCTTTCTTGTCAAATTATTTGCACTTATTTGTTTTCATCAGTAATTATCTTTTTTCGTCTATAATTCTCTCTTTAAAGATACTGCAAGCTGGCTGCAGCTACTATAATTATGTGCTAAATAAACTAGCATGTGAAATATTTTGTTAATATTCCAAGGATAAACATCTCCAGAGGATACCTGATCAACCAGGCTGAGATTCACACGTCACACTGCGAGTAGCAACATCAGCAAGGTTGACAAGACCACCAACCAGGAAGCCAGACCCTGGATTCATAAAGCAGTTAGGCAGCTGTTATCTTGAGGTTATCTTGAGATGATTTCGGGGCTTTAGTGTCCCCGCGGCCCGGTCCTTGACCAGGCCTCCACCCCCAGGAAGCAGCCCGTGACAGCTGACTAACACCCAGGTACCTATTTACTGCTAGGTAACAGGGGCATTCAGGGTGAAAGAAACTTTGCCCATTTGTTTCTGCCTCGTGCGGGAATCGAACCCGCGCCACAGAATTACGAGTCCTGTGCACTATCCACCAGGCTACGAGGCCCCTAGTACTTTTATCACTGTATCACTATCACTTTATGTACTGTTACCTGTACATCTTTTCTCAATCTTTGGCAGCTTCGTTTACAATTTTGTTTACTGCCCGAAACGCTTTGCGTAATAGTGGCTTTAGTAATTGTATGTACTAGCTCTATCTATAAATCCATCAACTTTTGTATCTTACCTTGTATGTATGTACCTTACCTGAATAAAAAAAATTATTATTTATTATTATTAATTATTAAACAGTTAATGAGTTCCAAAGCACCAGGAGGCTGTTTATAACAATAACAACAGTTGATTGGGAAGTTTTCATGCTTGTAAACTGTTTAATAAATGTAACCAAAGTCATCAAAGATTGAGGAAAGATGTACACATTCATAAGTACTTGCATAACTGCTTCATGAATCTGGACCTTGGTCAGACTGATTCCCAGATCCAACAATAGGAAAACAACAGGTAGTACTTCTAGATAGCCTCAAATTCCGAATGTCTTAAGCTAAATTATTCATGGTCACCCTTAATGGAAGTGAACTTACTACAGGAACAAAGATCAGATATAAATGGATAGACTGAAAGCCCTGATAACATTAAGAATTATCTTCTTACCTCCTTATACTGCTTTCCAGTTGGTGAGTTGTCCTCCAAGTTGACCATACGAGCCAAAGCCTGACTGTGACCTTGTGGGTGGCTTGCCTCCAGCCCACCTAATGTCGTTGCAAGTTTCAGTGTTTTCAAGGACTCTAATGCTTTGTAATTGTTTTTTACAGCCTCAAACAAAGCCCTAAAGATAAAAAGATCAGGTTATGATAAAGAAAGAGAACAGTTAAAACACTGCTCTAATGTATGTATGTAAATATTGAGAACAAGCCTTGGGATGCAGAAAATGAAAGACAAAAAGACTGACAAGAGGCAAAGAATGGCCACCAAGCTAGATGATGATAATATAAGACAGGGAAGAGAGAAAACGGCACATATCAAGAAAGTGTATACGTAAATTCAGTGTGCTCCCCACCAAATAATCTAATCTAACAATTTAGAAATTAATATAATGTACTGTACTGCAATATACTTTTATTAATTAAGCATTTTGCATTGAAGCCCCACAAACATTATACTGTATATATGATGTAGTAGTAGGCATCCATTAGTTTCAGGAGACTATGGAGTTGCGCTCTGATGTCGGCCTGGTCTGGAGTGGCCTCACCAGGGCGCAAAGCCAGGGTAGGTTGATGCGGGGGAGAAGCTGTTACACAGGCAGCAGGTCCCCCCCCCCCCTCCATGGCGCTGCAAGTCTCCAATGGAAAGGCATACACCAATACAATTGGTTCCAGCGCCGTCGCAGGAACTGTGAGTTCCGGGGATGACCTCGTAGTTGGTGAAGAAGGGCACAGGGATCTCCAACTCCGGAGACCGCCATGGTCGGGGCCGGAGAAGAACCACCCCATCAAGGGTTATAAACGACCCCAGCCTCATGAAGGAGAGCCTGGGCTGCACGACCCTCGGGAGGTGCGGTGATGTACTACATTACAAAGTACATAACAGAGTTCTATAATAACATGTAACTATTAAAGAGGGCTTAAAGCACAGGTTTCCTCATCTTCACAAATGCTAATTCATTGTTGACATTGTCATACAATTAATTAAGAACAAGTGTTATCTTGAGGTTATCTTGAGATGATTTCGGGGCTTTTTAGTGTCCCCGCGGCCCGGTCCTCGACCAGGCCTCCACCCCCAGGAAGCTGACTAACACCCAGGTACCTATTTTACTGCTAGGTAACAGGGGCATAGGGTGAAAGAATCTCTGCCCATTGTTTCTCGCCGGCGCCTGGGATCGAACCCAGGACCACAAGTCCAGCATGCTGTCCGCTCGGCCGACCGGCTCCCTGAGTGTGCTCAAATTCATTAGATATAAATGTTAGATTTAACAAATGTCTTCAGCCCATAATGAATGAAATATCAGTATCAACTTACTGTAACTATACTCACATTAAGAAATAGTAATGGAAAGTACGAGATAATTTTTTAATGCAATATCAATGTCGGAATAGGCAGCATTTTTGGAATTTAGGATATAAAAATTTATTTTAAAAGTTCTATTGTAGATAAAGCACTCTAGCTAATTTTGACAATAATGAATCTTCCTGGATAATGAAACAATATGTCCAATGAAAATGCCACTGCAACAAGTCTCTTAACTATTTCAATGTAAGATCAACTCCATTTTTCTTATAATGTTACACTTATGGACAAGAAAAAAGTGCCATTATGAAACCTAATGTAGGACTTCAGTCACAAGAGGACAAGCAACAGAGCAAGCATACCTCATAATATTAACACGATGGTTTAATTAGTACAGAAGGTGTACGGAGTATAGGGACTGTAGTAATTGCCGTGGTGTAGTGAGTAAAGGGTAATGAATACAGGCTACGGTACTTCAGTACGTACAGGTTGGTATAATGAGCACAAGCTGGCTGGAGTGGTACAATTTTGAGCGTCTTACTAACCAAAGTAAGACGCTCAATTTTGAGCATCTTACCTAAACTTGACTAACCAAACAAAGCACACTTCAGGAGACTATCAGGCTGCCAAGAGTGTACATATTATCAAGCAATTCACAGGATGCTTATTGGCAAATTCAGAAGCATCCAGAGTTAAGGTAATCCTGTAGTTCTGTGTAGAGAATACTTCATACCCTTTTTCAGGTTCTACAATTCATATTGTGCCAGCAATAAGTCGTGCCTGTAGGCAAGCTTGTAAGTCAGATTCTCTTTCCAGGATACATTATTTTTTCAAAAATTTCTGACTTACAAAGTCAGTAGCTACAAGAATAAAGATACTTTTCAAACTTTTAGACAATTAGTTGGCTTTATTTGTAATTATTGGCATTGCCATCACAGGTGATGACATTAGAATCAATGGCCTCAATGTTAGAGAGAGAAATATATCTATGTCTGGCTAGACACGTACTGTAGTTTTAACAGTTTGTGATTATCCTTGTTAAGTTATATGCAGATAGATTGACATCAAACACTGAACACCCACCAAATGACCTTTAGGGCATCTGAAGATGACAACGGTGTCGATTCCACCCGATGGACAAGTACTGCAAATTTCTTGGCTTTTTCTAGATCACGTAACTTGCAAGAGTCACTAAAGAGCCACCTGAAAAACACCAATGATTAGCTTTTCTTCCACCTTACTCTTATTCTGATGAAGAATGCATCTTTACTTCTCATTTGACCATAGGCAACACTACTTTTAGTTAACAACACATAAATGATTATCAGAACATAAAATTCATTAGAAATGTTCAGAAAATACAAAAGGATAATGAAAGTCCAAACAATTATTTGACAATTCTACATAAATCAGTCTCTCTTGTGATCTACAAAAAAGAATCTTACTAACTTACAAGCAGAAACTAGAGTAAATCTTGGAAGGAACAAGAATTTCCCTCAGCTAGCAAATGATAAATGAAAAATTCAAAAGGAAAACCTAAAAATGTCAGTGTATTAAATAAGGACAAAAACTGACAAAGCAAATTTAATAAAAAACAGATCAAATAAAAGGATCAAGTGAGATTGAACTGTAAGTAAAACCTACAAAATGAACTACCAGTTTGAAAGTTGACTTTACTTCACATTCAATACAGGGTGTCTCAATAAAATGCATACACACTGAAATGTTGGAGTCATGTTCATTCAATACCAATGGATCAACATTAGCTCCAGCTAATGTTACTCCAGCATTTGCTTGCTGGGCTGGATGACTGCAAATAAATGTCATGCAAATTAACCCAGGTTAAATTTAATCAGCATCAGCATTAGTTAGCAATGAACTACGTATAACATCTGAATTATGTACAAGTAATTGTTTTCAATTTCATAACTGAATTACATTTTTCCATGAAAAAGAAAAGAAGAAGAATTAGCAGTAATCAAAAGTGTGTATATATTTTTTTAAGACACCGGTAGTTATTCCATAAGTGAGAGAATAAAAACAGTGCAGAAATAAGGATATCACACGACATGGAAAATAATGATGAAAGAATACAGGACAGAGGGAAGAGCTCTTATGGCACCAGAATAGGATACAGGTGGTGGAGTGACTATGAATGATTATTTATCTTTGCCAATATACATGACCTAAAAAAATGATAAAACACAAATTTATTTCACATCTACCTAGTAGATGGAAATGTAACTTTAGTAGCATTCACAGAAATCAAACATTGAATATAATAAAATACCTCTTTCTGCTGCCCAATTCAATAGCTCCTGATGCTACAACCTGGTCAAGGTACATCTTTTGTCTCTTTTCTAGGGAGTACATTTGGAGATAGTTTATCCCAATAGTTTAGGTGCTTTATGGTGGTTATTTGTGCCATGTATGTTTTCTATATTCCTTCTATTTCAGCAATCTCTCATACTCTGAAGTTTGGAATGAGTACTGAGCAGTACTCGAGGAAGGTCAGCACAATTGATTTGAACAGTACAAGCACTGTGATGGGGATCCTTGGATTTGAAGGTTCTCCTAATTCCTCCTATCCTTTCTCTAGCTGACACTATATTTACTTGGTTATGCTCCCTAAATATTAGGTCATCAGACTTCACTATTCCCAGATCCTTTGCATGTTGCTTTGCTACTAGGGGCAAATTTGATTGTTTTGTACCTTTGTATTTTTAAGGTCCTCATTTGTCCTCATTTAAGGTCCTCCTTAAGACTAGGTACCAAGTACCTGGTCTTTATCACTGTTAATCATCATATTTTTTCTGTTGCCCATTCAAAAACCTTGTTATTATCAGCTTGTAGTTTTTCAATGTCTTCTACCTAAGTAATTTTCATACTGATTGTTATGTCATCTGCAAAGGATGACATGAAGCTGTGATTTGTATTTTTGTCTATATCTGATGTGAGGATAAGGAAAAGCAGCAGTGCTAGGACTGTGCCCTGTGGAACAGAGCTTTACACTGTGCTTGGACTCAAATTTTATTTGATTGACTGTTACTCTTTGCATTCTGTTTGGCAGAAAATTTAATATCCATCACCCTACTGTACCTGTTATTCTTATTGACCTCATTAAGGGCTGTCACTCCATCTTATCTTGAGGTTATCTTGAGATGATTTCGGGGCTTTTTAGTGTCCCCGCGGCCCGGTCCTCGACCAGGCCTCCACCCCCAGGAAGCAGCCCGTGACAGCTGACTAACACCCAGGTACCTATTTTCCTGCTAGGTAACAGGGGCATAGGGTGAAAGAAACTTTGCCCAATGTTTCTCGCCGGCGCCTGGGATCGAACCCAGGACCACAGGATCACAAGTCCAGCGTGCTGTCCTCTCGGCCGACCGGCTCCCCTTGGTCACATTTATCAAATGGCTTTGCAAAGTCTGTGTATACCACATCTGCATACTGTTTTTCTTTTAAATCATCAGTAATTTTGTCACAGTGGTCAATAAGCTACGAAAGTCATGATCTTCCTGCTCTAAAACCATGTTGACCTGGGTTGTGGAAATTATTTGTCCCCACAAAACAGATCTGATCCTTCATCACACTCAAAACCTTTTATTGTGTGGGACATTAGTGTGACTGGTGTATAATTCTTAGCCAATGCTTTGCTCCCTCCCTTATGTAGGGAAGCTTTATCAGTTGATTTAAGCACTTCTGGTATCTTCCCAGTGTCCAAACTCTTCTTCCACAGTACACAGTGCTTATGCTACTGGTACATTGAATTCCACAATTCTGGACCCAGGGCTGAATGAATGCCGAGCACGTTGTCAATTTCTCTTTCAAAATCTAGAGTTCATGTTGATATCAGTTGTATTTTCAGGGGCTTGGATATCACGCATAAAGAAGCTATCTAGATCTTTCACTTTCATGCTGTTTATTGGGGTGCTAAACATGTCCTCATACTGCTTTTTCAGAATTTCACTGATTTCTTTGTCATCCTCTGTACATGAACCTTCCCTTTTAAGTATGTACAGTATAGGTCCAATACTGATGGAGTTTTTTTATTTCAATTTCCCAAATGTGATGTAAAAGCAAGAGTTGCTATGAGCAACAGCAGAAAGATGTAGCAGTAAGGAAAAAATACTTGAATTATACAAGGAAAAATAATGGTAAAAAACAGTGACAACTCTATATATACAAATTTACCTTATAATAATGATATACAAACATAATAATCTGCCTTATAAACATAATAACGATATACAAACCTTATATAACCTGTAACATAAGCAGACAGGAAAGGTGCAACACTCTTTGTCGTGGCAAGTTCTTCAATTCGTTTAATAATGAACAATTTATCTTCCAGGGCCATTATTACATCATCACTTAGGGTGTCAATCTTCTGGTGGTGTGTCAAAGCTAACAAGCAGAGAATGCACTGCTCCCTTAATGATTCTGGTGGATCATTTTGCTGCAGAGAAAAAGAGTTATGTTGCTTAGTATCTACAGACAATTTAAGAATTACATTTTTGCTGATAAATCCAATTCATATGAATATGTTCATGTAAATGCTACACAATCACATTAGTCAAGTAATTAACATTTATACTTCACTCATATCACCCCTAAAATTTTGCCTTTCTTGAGTGTAAATCAGTCCTGCCACCCTGTGGTGGCTGGTTTGGTCAGGCTAGCAAACAAACCATTGTGAAGCCTCACTTGGGGTTCACTTGTGATGTCAAGAGAATACAGTAGGGCCTGGAATCTTCATGGATGTACTATGTTCCTAGTACCACATAAAAGGAGACATTGGAAAAGATCCCAATGGTGCCAGTCCCCAATGTCATCTTTTATGACTTCATGAATTCTGTATGTGACATAGTGGAGTCTGGCCTTCAAGAGAAACTAAGTGTCCATTGTTTTAAAATATCTTACAATTTTTTTTTTTAAATAAAATTATTGATTGGAAATTAATTGGCATCACATCATTTTGGTCACTAATGAGATTCATTTCTTTACAAACTGGCAGCAAAAGAAAAGCAAAGAATTACTTGATAAGTAATTTTAGGTTACCTAAGAATGGTACCACATCATTTATTTCTTTGCTTGCCTCATAGCTTCAAACACCCTTCTCACACTTACCAAGAGATCATGATATTTTATCCCATGGCGATTATTATTCATGAATAATAATTGCTATATTAACTCACCTGGATCATTTTCTTGAAAATATTGTCAAGGAAATCTTGAGAGAGTTTTGCCTTGACAGATAACTGAGCAATTATAAAGTACATTCCAGCCACCATTTCACCTTGTGAGGCCAAGCATTTTGGCAACAATGTTGCAATATATGATAAGTGTTCTTCCTTCACCTGAAAAAAATATAGCACATTAAACATTGACCAATAGTCATCACCTTCTATATTCTGCTACATGATATTGGCCCAAGTATGGCTTATATTTATCACATTTACATTTGAGGGAAACTCTAATAAGAATCAATATTACAGTAATACCATTTTGCAATTAGCATAACTATAAAATCAATTCTCCCCGAGGGCTTCACCATTCTTTTTTCTGATTATCTTTTCTAAAATTTTGCAGGGATCACATTAGTGACACTAGTCCTAAGTTTACACAATAAATAATGGAGTTCAAATAAATGTTCAAAAAACTCATACTGGTGTTGCATGATAGGCTGCTTAACATTTGTAACTATTCAGTATAAAGAACATGATTTAAGGGAAAAGTGGCTCAAAGAAGTTGTACAACTTCCAGATGCAAGATTAAACTTGATTAGATCCTTAACAAACTCTAGTTACAAACGAATGTTAAATATTAAATAAGCAAGCCTCGAGAGTTAGTCGAGTGATGTGTAAACAACCAACCCAGCTAAGACAGTGTTGCTTGCAGGCACATGTCATGGTGGGGATGACAAGGCATGATAAATGAGGATAGAATAAATATAAATAAAAACACATCAAGGAAGAAATTTAAATATTAAACACAAAAAAATTCTGAGGAAAGTTTTCAAAACTTTGGAGAAAGCCTAAGATTCAGATGAATTTTCTATAAATTTCCTGTATGTTATGCATAGAACATACAGCTTGTATACATTCAAATAACACAGTTTTCCAAACTTTAAAATCCAGTCTTGCCTGAGTAGATACATTATAAAATAAATACCAGTTACAAATTGCAATAGGTTTGCTCCATGAATTTTTTTTTTTTAAGAGTTCATAATAAAGTTCATAAAAATAATATGAACTCCTTTTACACATACCTCATCAAGCAGACACAGTCCCCCAACCACGGTTGTAACGTAAAAAGAAATGGCAATTTTTAGGTTTCCTTCACTCTTGTGCACCTGGGGAGAAGAGAAATACAAGCTCAGGATCACACTTAATGACTCATTATATTAATGCTTTCTTAAATTTACTGAAGCAATTTCAAAATATTGAAGAGCACTTCTTACTAAGTCTAGTATATCATTAAGATGTTTATAATTTGTAAGCATTATTATTAAATAATTAAAGTGATGGTATGATAAGCCAATATAAAGACTGGTCAACAGTCTTTCTAACCAGCCTATAATGAAGGAAAAAAGTCTAAATTGATAAATAATAATGATTGCATATAGTACAGTATTTGAGAAATCAAGATAAGACATGTTTTGTATAAACAACCTATTTTTAGCCCATCAAAAATTGTATTAGGTGTTTCGTAAGAGTTACCTGGTTTGTGAAATGACATATTACCTTGAGCATGTTAATTAAATATTCTGCCAGGAATCCCCTGAAGCCTTGATTGTGGTTCCAACGAGTAAACACAGTCTGCTTAGGTATTGGTCGGCCTTTCTTCTGGGCTCCTCTTAGCCAATGCCATTCACTTGTTTTATCGTGAACATCGATGATTTGAAGAATTCGTATAAACAATGCAGACTCATAGTAGGGAAATATGCACATTAAGAGAGTCTTTTTATTCATATCATTTATCATAAATCTGTTGAAAGAACAGTACAAAATAAGATTAAATAATTTTCAATAAAGAGAAGCCTTGTGTTTATATTAAAAAATAATTCACTTTAAATAAATAAATGACCAAAATATATTAGTACTGTACCAAACAGAAAAAGTATTAACAAAAATTGGCTTCAAATTCAAGTACGTACAGTAATGTAATCACTTTTTCATATTATCTACTGTTTGGTAGATAATAGCTACTCTTATATATAGATAATAGCTAAGTTACTCTTTATCTATCAATCAGTGATACACCACATACATTTATAATCAAGTTATAATATAGTACAAGTTCCATATGAGAGCTTTAGGCAACCTGGAAGACAACAAACGTGGTGCCCATGTACAAGAAAGGGGACAGATATGAGGGCCTTAAACTTTCGACTTGTGTTACTAACACAGGTCGTAATCACGTGTAAAATACCTGTACTGGAAAAGATAATAAAAAGGAAAGTGAACCATTCAGTGAGGACTAACTTTGTAGCTGAGAGACAGTGTGGATGCTAAGCAGAAAAAGGCATGCTTGATGAACCTGACCAACTTCTGTGACTTGTTATAAAAAAAAAAAAAAAAAAAAGGCTAGTGGTAACTTGGTTTAGATCTTAATCCAATACATTTCATGGCTTATGTAAATGACCTTCTGTTAAGTCATTCAATAATTAACTGTTTGCTTTCCAAGCATTGTTCAGTAAATTATAATTTTCCAAACCTTTCTTAGAGAAATCGAGTTCTATGATTCACTATTGTGGGTAATTCTATCGCAGTAATGGGTTGATCTAACTATTCCTGTGCTCCCTACCCCCTTTAAAGGAGGGCAAGTTGGATTTTGGAATGGTGGTTGCCTCCAGAAAATAGAGATAATCACAGGATTATCTTGTCAAGCACAAGACGAAGCTGGACAAAGTTCAGAGGTATTACACCAGGCTAGTCACAGAACTACGAGTCATGAGTTATGAGGAAAGGTTGAGTGAACTGCACCTCACATCGCTGGAAGACAGAAGATATCGGGCAGACAAGATCAGCACATACAAAATTCTCAGGGAAATTAACAGGGTAGACAAGGATGGATTAACATGGGTGGTACCAGAAAAACTAATGCTGAAGAGCAATAGATCAGGAAGATCAAAATTACTGGCTTTTTAAATTCCCCAGAAGGGTGAACAATAAATTTAGAAAATTTATAAATTTACTGTAAAAAACTTAATCCAGTGAACTTGCCTGTAAACCAGCCATTCAAGTGCCTTCAGAGCAGACTGTTTCTCCAAGTATGGAGACAACAGAAGAAGAAACTTTTCAATTGATCTGTCGAGCAATTTGTTGGCAGACTTGTCCTCCACTGCACGTTGCATATCCTTGCTTGTCTTACCAAACAAAGAGTTTTGAAACTCCCGGAAGTCACTGTTAATCTCAACCAGATCTTCAAAGCCACTCCTACCTGTAAATTATATTAAAACATGATTTGTGTGAATTATATCAACACCACACATACAAATGCATGTACAAATTTAAACCAATTACAAATCAATAATACATACAGTACTAGCTCGAGGTATATGTCACTGTTCAAGTGACTTAAGCCTCATCTGCACTATATGCTACCTCCACAACCATCTTTATTACGCACAACCATCATCAATGACACTTTACTATATCTTTCTCACTGCAAATATCTTCACACCCAACCCATCTCTCCCCACACATACCCTCCCCTCATAACCCTAAAAACATCCCACCCCCTCTCTCCCCCTATGTACTCTGTACACTCTCCCCATCTCCACCTCAAACACACCCTTTATGTTTCTCACCCCCACATGTACATTGTACACCCTCCCCATATCCACACACACACACATCCTCCCTTGTCTTCCCTCATCATTGTAACCATTTTCACTACACACAACCTTCACTACCCAGACACCACCGAGTACCCCATTAATCTACTGTATAGATTCTAGAAGTTCCCAATACTTGATCATGCAGAAAGTAATAAGCTGAATTAATCTGAGGATGGTATTTAGCAAGATTGTAAGATGGCATTAAAGGGGGGGGGCATGAGGCTGACCCCTCCACTCTGACCCCCCCCCCCTCTTCAACCACAGGTACCCATGCAAAGATTGGTGAGGTTAGTCCCGAGTGTATAGCCACCAACCACAACCACACAGATAAACAGACACCCCTTCTTGTATAGTAATTCCCAAATGGAAAGATTTTAAAATCTTTCCATTTGTTTATTAATATAAACAGTTGAAGCATGAATGAACACCAAGGCAGACTTGTGCCAGCTAGTTGGGCATGCATATCATTAACATAACCCTAGTTATTAAACGATTTGGCGGGTCGTATTCTGGGGAAAATTAGGATAAGGACGTGCCCGAAACGCTATGAGTGCTAGTGGCTTTACAAGAATGTAAGAACACTTGTATACATAAATAAATAATTAAAGGGCCCATGTATTATCATTAAATTGCATTAATCACATTTTGAAATAGACTGCTGATTATTCATTATTTTTGGGGAAGATATTGTTAAATAAAGTTAGGAAACATATAATATGGAAATTATCAAATTTAAATCCTGCTGCCATAAGCACATAATACATACAAGGCATGAGACTAGCAAAATATGTCAAAAATTTTAACTAGAATAAAAAATTAGTTAATACACCTTCATTCTTTATATACTAAATGTATTGATATCCACCACTGTGCTACATAATGCTATTAGACGGTATTTTGGGGGAAATAATATTTTGAAGCCAGATATGAGTTACATTGAGGTAATGTTAAGGTTATGGATAGGTTATGGTTAGATTATGGTTAGGTAAAGGTTAGGCTCAGATGAGGCTAAGGACAGGCTAAGGATAGGTTAATGTTGGGTTAAGGATAGGTTAATGTTAGGTAGATTAAGGTTAGGTAAGTTCTGACCCTGAGAAAAAAAAAGGAAAGAAAATTATTTCATGGTATTACAGTATTTACAGTCTCTGGTGTGTCTAATGCCATGAACTCATAGCCTTGTACAAAACAAACTTTGAAACTGTTTAGTTCATATTTCGCAATTCCTCCAATATCATCATGACTGTTACCCCACTCCTAATGTTTGGATTTTGATTTTTCACATGCAATTTACTCCTAATAAATTTATACAACTGCCTAGGTTCAATCCTGTATTTGTCCACTATTACACTTTCTACAATCCTTTCTTCCTCCTTTCCCAGTCATCCCCCCACCAATTATTAAAATGTTTCTACAATCAGTGGGATACATAGCCCAATAACAATAAGAATTTTCTATGCACCACCATACATGTCTTGAAAGTTTTAAGTTGATACAATAAGCAGTTCTCCAGATATCATGCAGACCTCAAATTTTAAAACAAAACTTAACTTTACAAAATTGTAATATATCACTACAGGAATTATTTAAAATAATACCTTGCAGTGATAAATTATCCTTTGGAAACTATAAGGTATCCTTACTGGGATACCTAATAAATACTGTAGTACCTGCACGGAACTTCACTCAACTTACCAATATCATAATAAATATCCCGGCCATATTTAGCAGCTTCCGATGGATCAAAGAGAATAGATCTTCGTAACCTTTTTTCATCCAAGAGAGTTGTTTGTGGAGCTGCTAACTTCTTTAATTGTGCTTCTAGTGAGGTTGTCATTGTTGTGTATGATGCTTTCCCTAAAGAAATATAGAACAGTAATTATATCATTGTCAATGGGAAGCTTCAAAATACAGTACAGTATTTACATTACAAGGCTCATTGCAATTAATGAAAATTTAAACAGGTACAATTTTTATTGATAATAGTTAGGATTCCAAACAATAAACACGAGTACATCCAACACCAAGCATACATACATTTTCTGACATTTATTAAGCCAAGTTCTTTACACAAAAAAATCAGTGCTAGCAGGCGGTTTTAGTTAATAGAAAACAAAACAAATCTGCTATGAATTTCTATATGGATTACTACATTACTACAGTATATGGATTTCACTGTGGCCACTTCAAAACCAGGATATGAACTCCCAAAATTTTATTTTTAAAAGTGATTCAGTAACAAAATCAGTTCATGTTTTAGAAGACTCCATCTCACTGACGTCTGAATTATGGAGAGAGCACAGTACAGTACTGTACAGTATATGCAAACCACATCCAAAAAATGAAGGACATGTGATAAGGCATTAAAATATAGCTGCAGTGCAAACACACAAAAACTTGAGTACTGTATAGGTGTACTGTATCTCACTTATGAAAACATGAACACTCAGCATTAGGAGCTACTACCGAACATTTTGGTGACCAAGTACAGAACAATACAATATCACTCAAGTTGTGCCACATAAGTAGAGTATATAAATGTTACAAGTAATTAACTTTCGTTTGCTAAATAAGAATGTACCAAGACGGTAGCCCCACAATTTGTCACTGCGGACAGGACGTCTGTAATTAGGCTTGGATCGAGGACTTCCTCCCCCCACCCTAGGTATAAGTAGCAACCCACCCCAGGATGCAACCCCCACCAACACCTGCCTAACTCCTGGCTGCCTATCTACTCAGAATGTTAGGTGTACAGAGGCTTCAGATACAGTACCTAAATAACAAGGTGATAAAAGAAACGTTTAGCCCTAGGATTTCCAATTCAATAATATAATACAAAAATAAATTAAGCAAATACTGATAAGACACATCACAATCTTGCCCAGAATGCTGTGCGTATTAGTGGCTGTAGGTATAGTATATACTAGCTCTATCTAGATTGATTGATTGATAAAGATTAAGCCACCCAAAAGGTGGCACGGGCATAAATAGCCCGTAAGTGGTGGCCCTTTTGAGCCATTACCAGTATCAAGAGCTGATACTGGAGATCTGTGGAGGCGCGACTGCACCCTGCGTGACGGGAGATGTCTCCCGGACCAAATGGTCTCTATCTAGAAATCTAACAATCTGTTTGTAACTCATCTTGTATGTGTGTATTTTTACCTGAATAAACATTTATTTATGTGTGCGGTGCAGCCACACACTAAGGGGTAAGAGGTACTCAACACCTCACCGTAATAAGTTTAACGCCTTTCGGGCGAAATATCTAAAAAGAATTGAATGTAACAATATTTCAGTGATAACCCACCTTGCTCATCAGTAAGTCCCAATGGTCCCAGACTACTCTACTTCACCAGAGTAGAGACCATCAGGCTCACACAGGCGACACGTGCGGCGGACACTACACACTTGTCACACACCACGGATCACACACACATACTTTTACTATTTCGGACACAAAATATATGTTCCGTATATATATAATTGCTCAAAATATATAACTTCAAACCACAATATAAAGCTATTAACAGATAAAATCCTCTACTTAACCGGATATAGTTATTAAATGAGGTTCAGTGATGTGATGAACATAATCCGGGTTTAGTGAGAACGGCGTAAACACTACTCAATATCAGAGTTGCCAGATCCTAAGTGCTTAAAGTAGCGAGCTGACTGTCTAAAAGTAGCAAATTTGTTATAAGAGTAGCCCAATTTTTTTTATTAGTGATTGATACGATTTTCAAACTAATATATTTTAACACATAGAGTATACTACACGATTTTAATGATTATATTAATATTATCTCTGCAAAAATGTGATAATAGGATAGCTTACCAATATTAACATTTTACCTGTTAACATTTCTCAATTTTGCCAGAAATTACCTACTTAAAATTATCTGTTAGATTAAGGACCTGCCCGAAACGCTATGCGTGTTAGTGGCTTTACAAGAATGTAAAAATATCAATTCTATGTACTCTCATAAACCCAATGTACCTTCTTGTATATATATATAAGTAAAATCAATATAAATAAATAAATATTTGCTGTATGATGCATAATGGGTGTGGAGGCCTTCCACGTCTTCAAAGTTGAAGATTATCAAGATCTTCGTCTGCATCCACAACCTCGTTCTAGTATATTGCAGACTCATATTTAAGCATTGACATGAGGGGGTTTAAATGATGAGCACCAAGTTCCCTTTTCTTCAAAATATGTTTTGTTTCTCAAGATTGATGTCGAAAGCTCGTCCCATTCGATTTCTCGGTTTAATTTTCACAGATGTTACTCTTAAAAATGTCCGTTCACCCAGGGCATTACTGATTGGTAGGCTGCATATTTTCAGTGCAAACTCAGCGAGGTCAATCAGTATGGGATCGCCAGCAATGTTCTTGGCAGTTATTGCCTTGGTCCAAAATGACGATCCAGATGTTGGAAGATGTCCCTCACAAATGTTGGACCAGTCAATGGTTAACAGTAGCTGGGCGCCACTGACTTTCAATTTCATTAAGCTTAGATTGGTCAGCTGGTATCAATGGAAGTTCTGAAAATGGTGGCCGTGTGTGGCTAAGGCATATGATTGGTGACAGATTTTTCACTTTTTTGAAAGTTTCAGCATTACTAGGAATACGAGAAAGAAGCTCTTTTGCAAGCTTTCACTAAAATAATTATAGCATCTTTCTTGAATATTTTGAAACTTTTCATGGGTTATAAAATTGTTTTGTCTGTTAGTGGCCACCAAAGTCCACTTTCTCCAGGCGCAGATATATGGAATTGTAGTCCAAATTAATATCAAGCTTTGCATGATGAGGATGAACGATTCTTCTGAGCATTCCAAGAGTGAAGTTTTCTAAGTCAGTGTGAACGCTACACTGATCTGCTTCATTTTTTGATAAAGTAAATTCATCCTTTCAAAATCATTTAGAATTGGTTTGAGAAATGTGAAATTATATCTTATTGGCGGGATCAGAGTACATTGAAAATAGTTGCCTTGCAACATATTTATCACAAGAGTAAGAAGCGATGTGAATGGGATTTGTGCACATTACATTATAGAAGCATAAATAATTATCATTGAGTTTCTTAACATTAATAGCCCAAATTAGCACAACTTGCCTTTCAATTAGCCCAAAAAGCGAAATTAAATATTTGGGAGTGCAGGGGCTCTCAAAATTAGCCCAATTCGCTACTTGTAGCCCAATCTGGCAACACTGCACTGTGGCGGCCGGGGGGGGGGGGTTTGTTTACATTTATTTATTTATTTATTTATGCATATACAAGAATGTACATAAGGAATGTGAGGATACAAATATGGTAATTACAATCTTGTAAAGCCACTAGCACGCGCAGCGTTTCGGGCAGGTCCTTAATCTAAGAAAATTTTAAGGAGGTAAATACTTGCAAAAATTATAGACAAAAAAATGATAACAGATTACATGAAATTAAAAAAAGATGAGAGAAAATTGTAGGTACAGTATATTAAAGCACATAGGTAGCTGAGATTGATTGCAATGACAGCTTGAATGGTAGTTGACAAAAAATTGGTAGGCACAATACAGCAGAAACAATATAAGATTGGTTGCAATGACAGCTTGAATGGTAGTTGACAAAAATTGGTAGTCACAATACAGCATATGGCTAGCACATAGAAGAAGACAGCAATGAACACAATGATAAGGTTGTTTGATATTACATAAAAATTAGGAGATTGGGTAACACTAGGTACAGAGCAAATTTAAAGCTCAGTGTAGGAAACTAAGAAGATAAAGTTAGGTACTTTTTGGTAAGGTACCCTGAGCCCATTAATGTGCCTCTGTAACCCTTTCCACTACCGCCCACAAAATGGGTATGGGGCGCATAATAAATGAACTAAACTTAAAAAGCTAAAACCCGTCTACACTAGTGCTTTATTTACATTGATAAAAATTAACCAATCTTATAAGGATAAATGTAAGACAAAAACATTCTATGTGGATCTTTTTATTAAATTTGCTAAAATTTGAGCGAATCACTACTACGTTGCAGCAGGGCTCAAAAGAAGTTCTATGCCTATATTTACCTGAATTTACATGAAGGCCACTAACACTCGAGTGTTAGTGGCCTCGACGAGGACAGGAAGCCGACGGCTTGCTCGACATTTGTCCTGGTGATTTCTTCAAGATGGATTTTAAAATTCGTCAGTTTTGGCGTTTACCGCGTCGGCGGGTAAGCCGTTCCATGAGTTTTTAATAATAGTAAAAAAGCACTATATTTTGAGTGGGGAGTTCAAATAAACATCTGGGCCTCTACCCTTCAGACTAAACTATTATGTTACTTCATGCACTGAAATGTGTTTCCAAACTTGATACATTAATTGTAAGTTACTCTTTACCATCCATAATTGCGCTCAACTCTTTCATACATAACTGTATCATGTTCGTATCTGAAGCTAGACACAAATACAACAAAATTATTAATGCTGGTAACAGAGTCCATTTCATGCTGTTTCCATCTCATGTTGGCCTCCGAATACATGATAAAGCTGATGAGGTTTGCCAAGAATCAATCTTCAAAGGAAAGGAGTTGATTATAATCTTGGATTGCCTATAAGCAGTCTGAGAGCAATAATACACCAAGAGCTTCAACAAAACCTTATAGACCTGAGACAAAGTGAAGTCGACACCAGTAATTCCATCTATCATCATACTATCATACAAGAAGAGCAGCACATCTATGGCTCATCCAATAAAATCAGCAGTCTCCCAGATGTTCAAGTTCTTGGTTCTACTGCTCGGCTTAAACTTGGCTGTAAGTATCTCTGAGAATGTTCATTACCTGCTGATGTAGACCTGACCAAATGTAAACTGTGTCAACTAAATTATTCGCACACCCTCCGTCATTATGTGAAGGAAAAGAAACGTGAATTCAGAGACAATTCTTCAATGTATGTTAAAGAAATGAAATAAATGTGTAAATATTCCATTCAAACTTATCTGCTACCAGCAATTTTAGCCAAATAGCCCCAGTTTGCCAACTACAGGTAGTAACTGGGTGATTGTAACTTTTCCACCGCTGCCCACTAGATGTGTGTATGTGGAGGGGGGGAGGTGAGGTGCAGGATTAACATATCTAGGATTTGTACTCACTGAATTTGTGCGCCCCTTGAGGGACTTGAAGTAGAGGGGAAGTTAGTTTAGTTCATTTATTATGCACCCCATACCCATCTTGTGGGCGGTAGTGGAAACGGTTACAGAGGCTGTTGTTGTTGTTGTTGTTTCAGATTTAGCTACTTGAACGAAGTGTCCATGTAGCACGGGCTATGGTGAGCCCGTAAATTACAGAGGCACATAATGGGCTCAGGTACTGAACCCCACAATTCATTTAGCTAAGCAAGTTACAATCTTGATGAGCTAGTTACAAAATTCAGTATAAGTCGTCACATCAACAATTGAAACTGAAATAAGTTTATTGATGTAAAATACACACAAAGGGATGAGGTAGCTCAAGCTATTCTCACCCCGTTCAGTACATCGTGTTAATACATACATAGACACACATCACAAACAATAAACATATTACCAAACATTCTGAGAGATAAACATATACATTTTCTGCGGTTGGAAGAAAACGCGCACAGAGTGGGGGACTTATTTTATTTTTATAATAATAATAATAATAATAATAATCAATTATTAATACAAATAATTAATTAGTAATAATAATTATAATAATAAATTATTAATTTTAATTGATAATCCTTAAATGAAGAAGCATAATAGCTAATTATAACGAATAAAATAGATAATTAAAGTGGATAATTAATTATGGTGACTAATAATGATTAGTAAATAACCATAAATTATTATACAGAAATAATATTAATGGATAGCTGTTATAATGATAATGTATTAATTCAATTACAGTTAATAGTTACATCTCTAATTAGTAATTGAAAGTTGCATTATTTGAATTTACACTAATTACAATTCTTGGTATTCTTGGCTTATCACTTTGGGGGTTCCGTCGGAGCACTCCCAAAGGTAACACAAATTCGTTGCAAGATGGAACAAATGTCCCCAGCAAACTGCTTTAGCGTCTTCCCTTGGAAAGTAAAACAGGGGATGCAGGGGATCCTGAGAGGAGGGTGGGCGTTTTGTAGTGTATCAGCCGAGGAGGCGGACAAGAGGTCGCCGAGTCCGGGGGCGCGCTCTTAAGTACCCCGCTTGATGCGCGCACAACTTGGGCGGTTAGACACAACTCACCGTAATACGTTTTCTTCCCACAGAAACTTCACCGCTTGAGAAGCAGTGTCTATTTCCTCCTTTACACAAGTAGGCATATGTGGAGAGCTAGTGTTACAATTGATATGTTTGTCCTGCACACCGCCCCCCCATCCAGTAGGCAGCAGAGGATAGGTTACAATTACTTAGTTACTACCTACAGTTAGCAAACTGGGAATATTTGGCTAAAATTTCTGGTAGCAGATCATTTTGAATGAAATATTAATAGTAAAAATAGCCTAAGTTACTCTATCCCTTTGAGATTTTCCTTGTCTCAATAAACATACTTGAATTTGAACCTAGCTTCACAAGATTGTTACTCTTACACTGTGGCTGCCTGTCCGCCTCCCCCCAACAATAAATTATTATTATTATTTGCTTAGCTAATTGAACTGTGGAGTTTATGCCCCGGTAACCCTTTTCACCACCGCCCTCGGAATGGGGATAGGATGCATAATAAATTACTAACTTAACCAATAGCAACGGCACCACCAATTCCTTTAATCAATAATTTCGTCCTCTATTCATTTTACACATACTTTATAATACAAATATCGGTATAATATTTAAGTATCACAAGTTCCCATATGTTGCATCTTCACTGAACAATAGCGGTGAGGAAATGTGTCCCTGAACCGCCGTGGACCACAAGACCACGTCGTGACTTGTAAATAACGGTTCAGACTTTCTCTACCTGCCCCACGCGTATCGTTGCACATCATAATGCCAGTTATAATAATATTTACTGTGTATCTGAAGTTGGGGTGTAAGGTGTAGGACCACTCTGCCCTTCCATCTGAGTGCTTGTGGGTCATACGCACAAACTTGTTAACCCTAAAAGTGAACTAAGTCGACTTAGTTCAGGAATGATTTTTGTTTCCTGGTGTTGAAGTTTCTCCAAAGCAGATACTGTATGTCGATCGGCCATACAATTAGTATGGTGTGCACAATAGCTACGCCTCAAAGGATGAGTATGGGATAAACAATAGCTAACCGTTCATATGATGAGTATGGGGTGGCACAATAGCTACTGCTCACAGGATGAGTATATGATGCACAATAGCTACCGCTCACAGGATGAGTATATGATGCACAATAGCTACCGCTCACAGGATGAGTATATGATGCACAATAGCTACCGCTCACAGGATGAGTATATGATGCACAATAGCTACCGCTCACAGGATGAGTATATGATGCACAATAGCTACCGCTCACAGGATGAGTATATGATACACAATAGCTACCGCTCACAGGATGAGTATATGATGCACAATAGCTACCGCTCACAGGATGAGTATATGATACACAATAGCTACCGCTCACAGGATGAGTATATGATGCACAATAGCTACCGCTCACAGGATGAGTATGGGATAAACAATAGCTAACAGCTCACATGATGAGCATGGGGTGCACAACAGTTACCCGCTCACATGATGAGTATGGGGTGGCACAATAGCTACCGCTCACAGGATGAGTATGGAGGGCACAATAACTACACTACCGCTCACAGGATGAGTATGGAGGGCACAATAACGTCACTACCGCTCACAGGATGAGTATGGAGGGCACAATAACTACACTACCGCTCACAGGATGAGTATGGAGGGCACAATAACTACACTACCGCTCACAGGATGAGTATGGAGGGCACAATAACTACACTACCGCTCACAGGATGAGTATGGAGGGCACAATAACTACACTACCGCTCACAGGATGAGTATGGAGGGCACAATAACTACACTACCGCTCACAGGATGAGTATGGAGGGCACAATAACGTCACTACCGCTCACAGGATGAGTATGGAGGGCACAATAACGTCACTACCGCTCACAGAATGAGTATGGAGGGCACAATAAAGTATACCTCGCAGGATAGGTGTGGGGGTCCACAGTAAACTACCGCGAGGATGAGTTTAAGGGGCACAGAAAACCACCAGTCACAGGATGAGTATGTGGTACAAAATAAATTAATGTTAACAGGATGATAAGAGATGCACAATAAACCACCGTTCACAAGATGAGTATGGGATGCACAATAGGACAGAAAACAGGAGTTGCTTTTTCACCCTAGAGCTTATGGAACCGCCTACCTACGCCAAATCCTTAAATGACAAAATATTGCTGAATTTTAAGATCCAGCTTGATAAAATCATCAGGACAAATGAGGAACCTTTGACAAGCCGCCGGCTTCCTGTCCTCATCGAGGCCACTAGAAAGATAGTGGCCCTCAGGTAAATTCAAGTAAACTACAGCTCTCAAGATGCGAATGAAATACACAATAATTAATAGCTATCGACTTGAGAATGGTTCAGGATGGACCGAAACGTCGTCGTCCCTTCACCTTCTAGTGTGTGGTCTGGTTAACTTACTTTAGCCACGTTATTGTGACTCATCGCCTGCATAATAGCTATCACTTTCCCACCCTGAAGACATTATTGGCGTCATAAAACCAAAACACCCAGAGTACGTGATAACAGTACCGGCGTCATGCATATTATTTGCGTAGTCTTATTATTAAGTATAAACATTGTAAGTTAAAGTGTTTGACAATGGGTTGTGTATTCACCGGCAAAGCTCAGCCTACCTTCCGGTGCCATGCGGGTTGCCCACCGGGACAGTGATAGTGGTGGATACCGCTCACAGGATGAGCATGGGGGTGATCATAGACGCTGCTGTTGGCAACATTAAATCTGTAGCGAGTAATCCTTATACTCGCTACACGTAACAAATCTATTTTGTCATCACAGGGCTCAGTGACGCTCCTGACAGTGATGGGCAGAGAAGTTGACAGGATTCTTGATGTCTATGTTGCCTAAGAATGAATTAATACTCGAGCTACCAGTTGGTGGTTCATGACACCCATGCCCGACCATGATTATAAGTGCTGACAGATATTGGCATACTGTAGCATTTCATTGTATACATACTGTAGCATTTCATTGTATATACACCCATTCATATATCAGGTTAAATCACTGTCTTACCACTATTATTGGCGAAATTATACCCAAAATAGAACTGATGGATTCACGGGGCTTCATTCATTATCAAAAAGTTCAATTCTAAGTGACTGCATGGTTTGAGTTACTCTCACATCCTGCAGCACCTACTGTGTGTTATGACAGCAAACACCAACGCTTTCCCCTACGTCAGAAAGTTTGTCTTTTCTGTATCATTCAGAGCGAATGTATCCTTTGATTCGTCAAAATTACTTGGAAGGTTTCCAAATATAGTTGTTACTTTATCGACTTCGTGTGTACTTTTATCGAATACTTTTAATTTGAGTAATATTATTATTATTATTAGAAATACAACTGTTTGTAACTCATTTTGTATGTATGTAGTTTGACTTGAATAAAATTATTATTATTATTATTATTATTATTATTATTATTATTATTATTATTATTATTAAGATAAGATAAGATGTTTATTCAGGTAAAGGTAAAGGTTCAGAGAATTGTACCAATTCATCTATGAGTTGTGATACAGCAGTAAACATTTGCTGACGACTATGATAGCACTATGTATTTTTTTTTCCATTTTCCTAGTTGGGATAAGACTAGTGAGTAAGGGTTTTTCTTAGGGAAGACTAATAGATGTGCCTAAAATTAGCACGATATCAAAAACGCTAATAAAAGACTAAAATTAGTAAAAAAGTGGCTTTAACGGTACAAAAAAATCCGAAAATATTAAATCAAATTCTTCACACATTCTATATGACACAAGAATATTACATAGCATGAATTAATATGATACCTATCGTGTATAATATAGAGGGACCTTAATTAGTATTCAAACAAACCGAGAATGCAGGTCCATAATTATTTTTACCTCAGACTAAGTGTAGCAAACACAGGTGTTTGCTACAAATTAGCTGGGAGAGTTCGCTAGTTAAAGAGTTCGCCGGGAGCGTTTGAGGTGGTGTGGTGATCGCTGGGGGCGGTCAGGGGCTGGGAAGTCTTGTTGTATGACACAGAGGGAAAGTGACGCTTCCTGTTCACTGTGTTTTGTATAGTCTGTGCTGTCTGAGGGTTGTAACTGGAAATTATGGCCAGGAGGAGGGACTACTCGTATATAAGTCCGTGTATTAAATGGACTTTGTTCTTCTTTAACTTCATATTCTGGGTGAGTGGTCGTATAATACGCTATGGGTGTGTGTGAATTCCAGGAAAGTGACATTGCTCCTTAATTATCTCTTAACTTTCTTTGGTCATTACCACTGCTAAATAGCTTGCACTCAAGCTGTAACGCTCTTATCTCTGAATACTGACAGATGTGCATGTATATCTAATAAAGGTTCCCCCATACACAACTACGGTACACCTTGGTGAAGTTGATGCCCTTGACAAGCTTACAGTAAACAACAACAATAATCAACATAATCTTGGGCTATCAAATAGAAATAAGAAAAGTGTTATTAGATGACAACTTGGATGAATTTGAAGAAAGCAGAGGAGTGCAAACCTGAATTTCTTTCACCTAATGCCTAGTAATAATAGATATGTACAGTACCTGAGGATTTTTTTCAGCTGAATTTGGAAGTCGATTATTGTCTTGACTTCTAGTGGTACTCGCCTAGTTATGCTTGCGGAGGTTGAGCTTTGGCTCTTTGGTCCCGCCTCTTAACTGACAATCAACTGGTAGGCAGTTCCGTGGGTTTATTACCTTGTGGGTAATCTGCTGCTCTTGTGTCTACATTGTGGCTTGTTGAGCTTGAAGGTTTTGTTTCTACGTGCATCCATCCCGGTGAGAACTGGAAGCGCTGTGAGAGGGAGTTGTAAGCCTGCTAATACGCACCACAAATCATCATCTGTCCCCACCTGTATTAAAATAATATCAGGCTAAAAAGTTACAGATTTAGTCATTAATAAAAATCGGCTGATATTATTGATATCAATACATCGGTACACCTCTGCTGCACAGTACGAGTCTACTGCACAGTGAAACCAAAGTTTCTATTGATGAGAACGAGGAATTTAATAACCAAATATTGAGTGTGCTGCCATCTGGTGGTAGTTGGGAATAGCAGGCAACTGGGTAACTGGTGATTTACAAAAGTGCTACTGAACTTGGGAATCTTTTTGATTTCAAGTACAGGTATTGTAAGCTTTAGAAGACTTTTGATTGTTTACTTAAACTTGCAATAGTCCCTTGGGGCTGCATTTACCTTTTCTCCTGTTACTACCTATTACCAGTGTGGTCTGATAGGGATTCAGTATTTAAAAAATCTCTTTTGTGCAAGCACAATTTAATATTGACTCAAGAATATTTATGGAAGCCTTTAGTGATCTTACCCTTAGGGAGCACCAGAGCTCAATTGACCAGAAAAAGACTCAATTCTCATCAGTTCTGTTGTAAACACAACTGACTTTATGCAGAGTATTTTTTGTTTCCTAAACCTATTGAAGTTTATATATCTAAAAGAATTTATAATTTAAAAGTTAGTCTTTGTACTGACAACCCACGAAGTGTAAAACAGAGTTATCAAGTTAAATGAAAAAGGGCGAGAGTTGTTACTGCATGAGTGGAGAGTATATAATTCCAGTGTAGAGCCATAAGTCTACTGTAGTTTTAAATGTTTTGTTTTAAAACTCACAATTTTTAACTTTCAAATTACAGTACTGTACTGGTATTTCTTTATGTACAGTATACCTTTGTCACTAGATTTTATACTTTAGGAATGTTCACCTTGTAACTATCATCGTAACTTACGTATCACTGCAAATTTCCAATGTACTGTATACCTCAACTAATTTGTTAGATTTTAAATGTCCCCTTATATGCTGTTTGCATTATTGGCTTTGCAAGATTGAACTGCCTGGTTTTTTTTACACCCACTCTACCTTTCCATAAATGATTAAATTGACAAATGTGTACTATACTGTACAGTATACAGTATGATTCAATACAGAAACCTCCTTTTGAGTGGCATAACAATATTTTAAAATATGTAAAATAGGAACAATTAATTGATGCTTTAATGATTTCATTTCTTAAACTATCACTCTACTGTTTATATTTTTGTTTTCATTTTTTGCAGTTATTTGGAATGCTTATCATAGCTATTGGTCTCTATGGCGTAGTGTTCACTGCTCAAGATTTGCATGGACTTAAGTCAGTGCAAGTTGCATACATTGTCATAACTGATCTCTCTGGAGTGATGGTGGCACTTGGCAGTATTATCTTCATAGTGTCGTTTGCTGGCTGTGTTGGAGCTCTCCGAGAAAATCTCTGTTTATTGAAACTTGTGAGTATGGAAAAACTTGAACTACTGTACAGTATATATAATGTTTTAATAATATAGCAAAGAGGAATCCTTTTTAATTGTACTGTAATCAGTTTAATTTACCCTTGAACGTGCCTACAGAATTTAGTTCCGACAGAATGGCAATGATTTTTCTTTTTTAAACCATTATACAGGTACAGTGCAGGTATTTTTTCTTAATTTTTTTTTAAAGAACATTTGCTTTTAAACAACCATTTATTTTCTTTTGTTATTTTCAAATTAGGATTTTTGTGGGAATTTTTGTAAAAAAAAAATTACTTTTAATTAATCCATTTTACCTACCTAGATTTTGTAAGATTTTTTCTTAATGTTTGAAACTAATTAGTTTATTTGTTAATGGGCTGTTTCTCTAGATGTTTATACAGTGGCACCTAGGTTTACGAATTTAATCCATTTCAAGAGACGGTTCATACACAAAGAATTCGAAAACCAAAAAAATTTTCCCATATGAAATAATGTAAATTTAATTAATCCATTCCACACACCCAAAAATATTAACTGAAAAATACATTTTATACAGAATACTAATCATATTTTTTACTCTACCTTACCTTTATTGAGAACTTTTTTTTTTGGCATATAGAAGATGGTGAGGAGGGGAGGAGAGGTGTTAGTGTTAGGGAGGGAAGTCCCCTTCCATTATAACATTAGGCAGTGATGCCATTTTTGGGGTACACTCTCTCCTACGTTTTGCAGGCATACCACTAGGACCTGGTTGTGGCTCACTGTTTGCTTGTCTTACTAAGAATCTGTCTATAGACACTTGTTTTTCCCCTATGTTTTAACACTTGTCTGTAGTGAGACATCACATTGTCATTAAAAAGGTTAGCAACGGCCTGCTAGAGCTTTATCTGAGTGAGTCTTTTCAGCAAAACTTTGTAGTTCTTCCCATACTGCACACATTTTCGTAATGGTGAAGAGACATCCTCTACTACTTCTACTCTCAACTATTTTCTTAGGATGAACTTTACCCCTGACTTTCTTGGGACCCATGGCATGATACATAATAAGAACTTTTATGTTCAGAAACCAAAAAAGCCAAAAACAATTGATTCTTCACAAAGAATTCAAGCTCACCGTGCACCCAGCATAACCATGTGCTCGACCCATACAAGTATCAACAGACCACTTGTATTCCAAGGCAAACTTCTTACACCAAGTCAAATTTTACGAGGAAATTAACTTCGTAGTACTAAAAAACTCTTAATCCATGGCATTAGTAAGCCAAGGTTCCACTGTATATCCATATTCATCTGATGGGTTTTTCTGTGTTTTGGCAGGAACATTTTTTAATGAAATAAAGGTATCTGTGATTTAAAGCATTTCCCTGTCATCCTCAATTTTAAATGTGTGTGCATATATATTGAATTTATTTTGTTAATGTAATTTATATTGTATAGTATAGTAATTAATTTTCTTACCATTTTTGCATACTATATTAAACTTTTTTTTTTCTTTTTAAGTACTTCTGGTGCCTGACCATCTTCCTCATTGCTGAACTGTTGTTTGCCATTGCCTGCATTATTTTCCCATGGAAGTCTCGGGAAATTATTGAAAGTGTCTTGTCCAAGCGCCTAATAAAAGACTACAGAGAAAGTCAAAACACACAGAATTTTGTGGATTTTCTTCAAAAAGAGGTACAGTACAGAACATTTACTAAAAAGTGTTAATCTTGATTCTAAGGCATATTGATTTTCTTTTATAAATTGTATTTTTAAGTAAGGCCTTTCTAGTTCTTACCCTGAGCCTTCCACCCTGGTCTTATTACACCAGGCCCTTATTGACTTAAGAGCTCTATCGAGAAACAAAACTTTTCAAATGATTGTAAGCACTAATTGTAAGGGCCAACAGCCACAGATATGTCACCTTTGAGGTTCAGTAATTTTAAATTTAGTCCAACTCAATTACTGGGACTGTCTGAAAACATTAAAAATGTATTCTCTGGAATGGAGACTTGAGAGAGATTAATTATTACAAGTACAGTATTATAGAATGTGACCGAAAGGATTAGATCAATGATTCTAGCATGACCTCTTTTTTTCTGTGCTTTTTCTTAAGAAGAAAGTTGAAAAATTAACTCCAAAGTTTATTTTTACAGTTTTATTTGGCCTGATAGTAAGAAATGCATTTCGTTAACTCTTGTTAACATTATCAGAGGAAGAGTTCAAATGATTACAAAGTTCCTTGCTGCATGATATATTCCCAATGATGAGGTGAAGGTGAAGCACCTCGCTTATAGGTCCATTGTATCTTGTCATATTCCTTTTCGCATGATGTCTGGGACAGTATGTTGTATGTTCTGTCGTGTTCTGGAAGTTGGCAGAGTGTAATTTAGTGCTAGTTGGCTACTGATACATAGCATAGTTTGCTTAATGGTTTGCATCAAACTAAATGACAGAATACACCCCCTTGGCAGCCAACCAAGGGAGTGTATTCTTCATTTCCGAGTAAATGACTAAGCTAACTATTGCCTGATTATGAGGGGTAAATGAATGAAACAAACATCGATGAAGGTGGTATCATTACTGTAACTGTATACTGAATCTTGTGCATGACCCTCTTTTGCATTTATGGAATTCTAATTTTGTTTATAGTGTGCAGGCCTATCTTAAAGAGAGCCAATCTGAAATTATGCTTACAGTGCTGTACAAGGGGATCAGATAAAATAAGCATACTGTATATAGAGAGAATTTACTAACATTTGAAATAATTCTAATTTGAGATATTATTTCAGTTTCAGTGCTGTGGCATCACAGCAGATGGCTACCTAGATTGGAATTCCAATGAATATTTTAACTGTTCAGAGAGCAGCCCAAGTGCTGAGAAGTGTGGTGTTCCTCCCTCCTGCTGCATCAAAAATAAGAACATGGTAATTGTAATGGAACATTATTCTTTTGAAAGGGTTTTAACAGTATTTGTTAATTATTGACCTAAATTAAAATGAATGGGAAAAGTTAACTTCTGAAACCAAAGTTAATAATTTGAATGATACAGCTCTATATTAGCTGCTCCATTAATTGTTGGCAAATTAGCTGCCCTGGAATATTTGCAAAGATCATTAAGTGCCCAAATCATAAATTATAATTACTGAACACACTTCAGATCCATAAAATTGTATTCCCTGAAGTACAGGTGAGTGAGTTACATGATAATTTGCAACTAGAAAATACTGGAAAAACTTTACAAATTTATATGTTGAGATTGCTCTACCTGGAGGCATGGTAGAATGTGCAAAACAGCTCCATTGGAAAGCAGGGATGTCCTAGATACATAAGGAAATCAAAGTAAAGAACAGTATTACAAATGTTTGCTGAATTATATCACTTGTGAACAGTATTTTATACTATTGTTGTTCTTAACATGAAATTTATTGATAATTTTTGTAGTTTTTTGATATACAATAAATAACATATGCTATGATGAAGTGGTGGTGTGAGTTTGTTAGCTAGAAGTCTTAGTTTTGTGTATGTATTACTTGACTGAAATTGCAAATTATTCCAATATGTACAGTACTGTAATTAGTTTTGTACAGTATATTATAACTGGCTTGTTTTGTCCATGACTCGTCTGTTGAGTGTACAGTGTATTTTTCTTTGCAGACTCATATGGACATCATGTGTGGGTATGGCATGCAGTCCAAAAAGGTTAGTCAAATGATTTTAGTTATTTTTTTTGGTGTTTAGTTTATTGTTTATTTATTTCTATTGTATATACTGATTTGAGAGAGAAATTCACATGTGCCTTTTGATGCTTTGGAATGATTATCAAATGTTCTGCTCATAATATGTAAATTGGAAGCTTTAAAAGAATAAAATCTTGGGAAAAGTAGATTTACCTGAGACTTACTAAAAATATGAATATTCTTGTATAATTAGCCATTGTGATAAATTTTCTGCTTGAACTTTTCCTTTTAACCTTATCAAGTTCGTTTTTTTCTTTTAAATAGTGCATCCCTGTGATCTGGGAGATAAAACATTCACAGAGGCATTAAGTAATTGTTGTATTTTTGGTTCCTCATTGCCATTCAGCATGAAGAATACGACTACAGTACATAGATGTACTATATTAGTTATGCCATTTTCCACACACTTCTAGTCTTGAATGTGTACCTCTGGTCACAGTGCAATTTCTAACACCTCTCAGGTTCCCACCAGTGTCTACATTAGTCATGGCAGTACAGTATATTATTGTGATTTACAGCCAAGAACCTTAGCATTTCCCTTTATGGCTACATAATGATAAGGTGCGTGTGCATTGCAGACTCACTGTAACGTAATAACTTATTCTTAGCCTGTTCCACTCCCCCCCCAAAAAAAGAAATACTTTTGTTTCATCTGTACTTGGCTAGGTATGGTGTATTTCTATTTTAAGCCCAGGATTTTTTTTCTTTTAGTGCAAATGATTGAACATGCTTTAGCATATACTGTATTTTGATGCTAGAATTATGTACTGTATTTGCAAATAAAACTTAAGACAATAAATATTACTGCATTTGTTTTTGGCACGGCATTCGGGTCCAACAAATACATGATCTTGCTGCACTGGAAGGCTATTATTATTTGTTGGTGCAACTAATCACAATCAGTTTACAACCTAATTAGAATCTTTCCTTTACATCTGAATTCTGGTGGACTGGGTTTTATTCAAGCAGGACTACTCTGTAGTACATTTGAGTTAAGCTAGTGTTAAGTATCTGTAGTCTTTTGTATTATCTTTTTGTGTTTTTATTTTTTTTAATGTGAATATTAATGTGTTTCAGCCTCATGAAGCGTCAGAAATAATCCACACGGGAAGTTGTGTGACATCCATAATTCAGTTCCTGGAGTCTAACCTCTACTGGGCAGCAGGAGTCATATTTGGTATTACATTGTTTCAGGTATGGTGTCAGCAATAGATTTTGTTGTAGTTTATCAATAGTTTTAACATTACTGTATTATGGCTCAGGGCTCAGCAGCTCAGATGTAAAGGGCTTCCTCTGATTTGTCATTAAATTTGTTAAACATTCATTTCCTTTCAGAAACTGATTCTATCTAACCATATTCTTTACTTGTGCACTGTTAAAACTCGGTACACACACACACACACGCACACACGCTGTATTTTCAAATTTTTCCTTTTTTTGTCTGTCCCTTCTTTTTAATTCAATGAAATACTTCTTACCACTCTTATCATACATTAATTATGATCTAATTACCTGTACACTTTCCTCAATTTTACAATTTATTAACTTGTGCACTTTATGTCTTTCAATGACATTTCATAACATAATGAACCATCTTCCTAACACACAATGAATATTAGATGGTTCATTTCTACCGACATAACTCTTATTTCTCCTATTCACACTGTACCAGCATTTAGCAACCATACATTAGGGTAGGCACACTCACTCTTTCATGCATCCCTCTTGCCACATCTCTTCTAATCTTGTATTTCCAGACCAGAGTTTTCATTGCATCAGCTGCTTTCGTTTCCTGATTTAGTCTCCTCTGAACTTGTGCAAAAATTTCTTCATTGTCTGAACAAATGCACTGTACTTGACAGATTTTTAAGAATATATTATCGAATTTAAGACACAGCTAGCCTAGCGCAGGTGCTGGTTGAAGTTATTTGAGTTAAAAGCATTGAGGTATAGCCAATAGATACAAAACGTACAAAAAATATATACTGTATTCACTCTTGTCATAAAAATCTGTCATAAAGCTTGGACATAAAAATTAGTAATTTATTTAATTTTTTGCAAAACAGATTCAGCAGATGTGTGTGAGGTTTGAAAATTTATAATAAACAGTTGTTACTTTTGTAAAGTTCATATTGTGTGCAGCACTTGAGACAAATGGCTATTTTGTTTTAAGATGTGCTCTAACAAAAGTACTGTAATGATATAAGTCATGCACAGTATTGTAGATGGATGTAGATAAGAATTAAAATTAATTTAAACAGCAAGGTAATTTTTGGTTCTTGCATTTGTTTAATAATGTGATGCATGGTAAAATATAAAATCCTGTAATGTACATGTACAATTAAAAAATGTTGACATTGTTTTATAGTATGATTACTTGTCATTTTTATATTTCAGATGTACGTGACTCACCAAGCTCGATCCTTGATGGACCAAATCTCCTTGCAGCGCTCTAGATGGTATTAACAGTGTTAAGCTAAGGAATTTGCTTTAATTCTGCTAGCTTGTAGAGTACAAACTGTCCCATAATAGCTGTAGTATCACTGCCTGCTCTTACAGTTGACACGTTTGTCTTGCAGTTGATGTGGCCCAAATATTCTTACGTATCGGTGATAAACATTGTGGAAGCTTGTCATAGCACAAAATAATAAATAGCTTTTTTGTATACCAAATATAACTGAATGGAAAATAATTTATTACATAGTAAATACTGCTGGGAATGTATGTACAGTATAACTAAACCATTATATGGAAGATAACTTTGGTTAACCTTCCAGTCACTATAGAGTATATATAACTTCTCTCCACTTGATAGTTTAGCAACACAATACTTCATAAATCCCATTGTTAAGGACAGGAAGCATGCATTCAGGCTTGTATCAATTTCCCCACTAGGTTGATCCACTGATTTTTCCCAGGACACAACCCACAATAGTTGCCTAACTCCCAGGTATCTATTTACTACTAGATGAACAAAGGCATCAGGTGAAAGGAAATGTGCCCAACCATTTCTGTCCCAGTTGTGGGTCAAACCCTGGATCCCTGATTGTGATTCAAGAATATAGACCACTGTACTTCAGGACATACAGATTTCAAGTTGGGTATTTTTCTATTGATTTTATTTTTTTCATAGGCACACAAATACCCCTTGAGACTTGAGTAATTTTTTTTTTACATGAATAGTTATTTGGGGCATGTCTATATGTAAGATATGTCTAATATGGCTCCTTACTATGCATCTTTGTAATAATTGTACTGTTTAGTAAAAGTTTTGTATCTGATCATGGGTGCAAAACCTGTTTATATTGTTGTCCAGTGTGGTATTTGTAGAAGACTTACTTCCTCTGACTTCAAGTTTGTAGTAGATCTGATAAATTTTAATTTTTTTGTATTAATGAAGATTCAGAGAGATGAAATACATAAATGCACATTTTGTCGTGAAGTACCTTTTTTCCTTATAGCTTTAACAGATTCATTAAATGTAGTAAGCTACATTTTCATATAATAACTGGTCAAAGGAAGTACCAAAATTGCTATGTTTGGTTGGAATCATGATTTATGCCACTGTACACACACACAGCCAAAACTATTTTTAATTATGTAGTTTGAAGCTTTTTTGGTTCTTTGATCAAATGATGTGGCCATGCATAACATAACATGCCTTGATTATGCATATATATATATATATATATATATATATATATATATATATATATATATATATAATAAAATTTATTTTGTCTTGGTGTAAATTATCAATTAGATGTGATATGCATTAATATTTGTTCTGAAGTGGTGTGCATATGTAATCACATCTCTCAGTTTGTGCTGCAGATCTGTTTTCCTATTTCAGGCATTAGTGAATTTTATATTTTAAAAAATGTTATTTAAATGTAGAGTCCAGATATTTGTATAATATAATGTGCTATATGGTGATAAGGAGCATAAGTCATTAGATACTTTCAAATCATTTATTTTTGTAATAAAAGTAGTTTATATTTTCCAAAGATATGATTGAATATATTGTATAAATACAATTAGTACTAAAATACACAAATACTTATTAAATATTTGGATACTGTATTAAATAAGTTGTTCAGCTCTTTACTCTAATGTTGATGGTAAATGAAAAAATAAATGAATTTGAAGGAACCAAGTAATAAAATCATAGCATTTAGAAGTACATAGATGGTTAATGGCACATACTATATTTAGCTCTAAAGAATTTATACAGATTTGTATGAAAATTTATATTTTTATACATAAGTATTCATCTTTTAACTTGTACATTTTCAGATAATGTGATTTATAAAGTATCACATACTTTAATGAAATCTATGTCAGCTGTGTGTTGTGTGTTCTTACCAAGTGTAGTTGTGTCGGGGTGGAGGAAGATCAAGCTATAGCCTAGCCTCGGTTAATGTACCTGGTGCATTCATACCTCCTGATGTTTGGCTACTCTCTCATATTTGTTCTTGAAGCTGTGAATGACTTGCCTCCATCATTTCTGCTTAAAGTTCATTCCACTTGATTATTGGCCTTGATGAAGATGAGTATTTCTTATGTCTCTGGCTCATTTGTTTCAAAATTGTTTCAAAATTCCACCTGTGCCCCCCCCCCTCACTCTGTTGTCTTTCACTTGGAGGTAAAACTTTCTGCTGTGTTTATTACCCTTGGTATCTCATCCATTGTGATCTTATTACCGTTTTTGTAATTTCCTTCTTTAATATCCTTAGATCGAACCCTTATATTTCTCAGTTTTGTATATGCTGCTTATGTTATTCTGTGTGTGTGTGTGTCTAGTGTTAAGGTTGGTTTTCTGTCCAATCCCAGGTGGTGCTCCATTTTTTATTTCTTGCAACTGCCACACCTATATACTGTATGGTCATCCTTGCCTCTTCTCCCATGCTTCACTACATTTGTTGGGATCAAAAACTATTTGTCCATCCATACATGCAGCCTGTCTAGCAGTATCATACAGTCTTCAGAATGTTTACCCTTTTAATCAGTTTTGCATACTATTTATTAGTTTTGCATCATCAGCAAACATTATCATGTAAGATTCTACCTCCTCCTGGAGGTCATTTACATTCATTAAGAATAGTAATGGTGGGAGTATCAAACTGTAGTACTTTGTTGGCCATTTTCTTCCTGCCTGACAGTTTCATTAAAGCCCTGTTTCTTGTTTTTGGATGATATATCTAACCCAGTCCAATTTTTCCAATTTACTCCAGCCTTCTTTTCAAGTTTGGGAATCGGGCTTTTATGTGGCATAGTGCCAAAGGATTTTTTGTGGGCAATGTTGGCTGTATTCTACTCATCCTTTTTTCTGTCGTGTCTCAGGATGTCATAAAATTCACTAGTGTGTGTGTGTGTGTGTGTGTGTGTGTGTGTGTGTGTGTGTGTGTGTGTGTGTGTGTGTGTGTGTGTGTGTGTGTGTGTGTGTGTGCGCGCGCGTGTTTAAGTGATGTACGAGTACAGTGAGAGTTGGAGAGGATTTATTATATATATATCTCCAGGTGTGATCATTACAGGATTTATCTCAGGTTGACTTCAAGTAAAGTAACCGATTCTCCTTCAAAATGTCGGGTTATTTGACTTTAAGGTTTCCTGTAAGTAATTGATGTTTGGCTGTACAGTATATCCTTATATAATGGAACATTTAATTTATTAAGGCAGTAATTATCCAAGAGTTGTATCTGAATCTCTCTGAACATTCAAATACTATATTTAGTATTACATACCTATATGACTGAAACACATTGCTGAATAGAAAATGGTAAGTATTAATACTTTATGCACCTTTAAGTTTTGTAAGGTTTATAAAAGGGGTTCTTGTAGGCTACACCAGTCCCTCTCATACGTTTTGTCATGCCTTCAGCCTACCAGGAACGGATACTAAATTCCTCTCTCCCCTCCCCATCCTCAAAGAGGCAGGAAAGCTAAGGAAGTCATAACACTCCACACACTAATGGCTGAAAAGAGGTCACAAAAATACCTAGCAAAAACTTGACTGTCCCCCTCAAAAATAAAGTATCATCTTGTCACTTTATACTGGGGCCTGAAATAGCCCCGAGAAACCACAGCAAAGCAGAGAAAATGGCAGGAAAATGAGTCACTGAGGGGGCCCCAGAAAAGAAACTTTGTCGTATAGTCATTATACATGGATCTTGTGCTCTGTGGTGCCTCTAATGAGAAATCCACTGCACATCAAATGACAGAGAAAAGTGAAATTAGAAACATGTTCTGTATAATTAAAACAAAAGGGGAATTTGCCTGTGAATGTCAACACCCTGGGTGGTGGACCAACTGAGATGTAGAGGAAGACTTGGATGCATTATCCTCCCCAAAGCCAAATACAGTAGTTGCACAGAGGACGAGGTGTAGCAAGAAGATGTTTCTGGCTGACATTAAAAAAATGATGGCTGGTGAAGTAGTTAAATGATTCCACCAGTACAGCAAACACATGGAGGTCAAGAAGCTGATAAAAGAAAGCCATTGAAAAAATCATAGAAAATGAGTGAAGGAACAGGGAAGCAGAAACCAAGGGTGAAATGGAGGAGCTATTTTACAAGAAGCTTGAGTCACATTCAGAAGCCATGATCAGCAGCCACCAAACAAGTCACAAAGACCAAAGATCTTCATTGAAAACGAGCAGAGCCATTCATAGAAAAAACAAAAGATGGCAGCTTCCAAAAATGAACTTAAGCCACTTGAGGAACAGCATTGTTGGCCACTAAACACAATGCCAAGATATACAAAGCAAAAGTCAGCAAAAAAACAAAATAAAAAAAATACTCCTCAAAGCACACCCCCTCTTAGTGGATGGTGCCTTGATGTGATTAGGGTGGGTTGTTGAGTGCCACCCTTTGGTAGGAGGAGGTGGCTCCTGCTCCTCTCTCCTGCCTGCAGTAGCAGTGCACGAGTGAAATACACCCCCGTATGTTAGCTGTGCATAGAGACCTATGCATTCATCTGGCAATTGGGCCTACCCAACAGCTGCCACCTCTGGGGGTTGGGCAATTCTCTAAAATGGTATGGGGACGGGGGTGAAATGGGAGGTTCGGTGAGGCCTACCCGAACTAATTGGCTTGTTTAGTTAGCCCATCTAGTTAGACATCGGGTCAAGTGGGCATTGTGAGGTTGGTGTTTCTATTGGTCCCCGAGGATACCATTCAGTCCTTAAAGAGTGATCCTCATACTGTATACTGTTAGTTACCTCAGAGGTTGCTTACCTATGTTGAACACCATAGTGGGTAGGGATTCTGGGCAGTGAAGCCTTTCTCTGCTATTTGTATGTTTTATTTTGACCATATTTCCCCTTCTCAGACTCAAGATGGGTGACCAGTCCCCCCAAGTTAGAATGTCTTGAAAGATCAGGCTCCATAGCTCTGGCTACGGTGGACCCAGGCTTTTTTTTATCACTCCTTCAGATCATCTCCCTTCTGCAGACTTTTCCATTGGCAAGGTCAATCCCAAGGTTAAAAGTTCCTGGTGGTGTCTGCCACATCTCCCAAGTCACTCAAACCTTGATGGTTACAATGGCACATTTTGCTCTCTCCTTCCAGGTCTGAGGCAACATACATTCCGCTAGCTCTGCATGTTTCCTGCAGCAACTACATTTCAGGACCTGTTTGACCCTTGCTACATGGCCCAAATACTTTGATATCTCATGATGACCATATCTGCTCTGATGACTTGTGCACACACAAGTTTGTGTTCAAAATACTCCCACTCAGACTAGTACCCACATTGTCGAGGCCGCCTCTGAGTAGCTGGCTGATCTTGCATTGGTGAGGCCTCAGTTAGGGTCTCGAAGAATATCTTATCGAATACCAATGTTGGCACAGTCTTTCTTCCACCTCATGTTGGGACGGGACTGAAAACTCAAGGACTGCCATGATGATATCAAGAATATCCTCGAGTCTCAGGGTTGTCCTATACTCAAGGTTGATACATTCACTCGGCACCCTCACAGTCATCATCATCATTCCCTTAAGGTCATCAAAGTTAACCCTTTGATAATTGAACCCTTCTGTCCTCAGTTGTTTTTGCTGGTGCCAGGTGCTCCATTCAGGAATACATCCGTTCTCCACGCCTCTGCAATAGGTGTTGAAAATTCGGGCATGGAGCCTCTTTTGTCGATTGTCCCAATTTTGAGGATGTTTGACTGTTGCTCCTAATGTCCCCAAGGAGTCATTTCTCATTAAAATCCTTACTGAATCCACTAGCTTTGATATCATTTGCCATGCATTCTTTTGTTCTTGTATTGTCATCTTGAGTGATACTTAGTACCTTTTGAATACTGTATCTTTCAGCAGAGATAGTGCTTCACAGTCTTCCTGGCATTGTACCTTCTTTGATAATGACATTCCTCAAAGCACAGAATTATAATTACACACTAACCCTGTTGTCATGTGCAGTAGTCAAGCAGAGGAGCAGACAAATTAGCCAGCAAACACCCAGTTCCTAATCAATGACTACTGCCGTGGGTCACCACCATAACAACAATATTAGAACAAGCCCCTTCCCACCATGATCATCCCAGGTAATGTTGCATGACACACAAATTAGCTTTTAAACTAGTGGAGTAAGTTAACCCAGAACAATGCACAGGACTAGAAATCTCCCTGACCCTCCCCACTGAGTTCATAACCAAATGCTTGTGCAAACATTACAGACTGCAAACCCACGTCAGCAAATATGCATGACATTAGATGCCACTCACTAAGCACAACGTAACCAGAAGCTCGCACCTGTTGAGTAGAGCCTCTAGCACAATACTATACTATTTCTGTCACCCTTCTATTCCAAAAGGGTGGAAACCAAATCCCATAGTGCCATCTGAGATATGGAAAAACTCGTGAATAGTCCATCTTGGGGAGGAACTGTGTCAAATGATTTTTGCTAAAAAGCATGCCAGGGAAGGTAATCCTGAAACCACAGCTGAAGCAGGCTTTAAAAACATGATACACAAGACTAGCATATACAGTATGCTCATAAACTGCATTAACAGACATGAAGCCCTACAATAAACCAAAAACATGTAGAAAATCCAGTCACTTAGCTGCAAAATGCAGGTCTTATGAGCCAATGTATGTTGGAAAGGACACCAAGTAAGAGTGACAGTTGTGGGCACAGAGGACCACTAGCACAGACCATCTAGTGGAGAGAAGTTGAAACATTAAGGTGATATTTGGTCTTACAGGTACTTTGTTTGGCCCAAACATTTCTCAGTCCATATTGAGTTTGTGAGTCCTTTGTAGTCATTTAGGCTGGGTTTCCTCAGTGTGTAGTCTAATGACTCTGCTCTACTGCTTCTTTGAGGGGGGGGGGGCAGGATTCTAATACCAGTTCTTTGTAGGATATGAGATGGTCCCAGATACAGGGTGTTGAAAATGACCCAGGGGGTACTAGTACATAAAGCTCTGGGGAGCCACTGAGTGGGCCACCCCAGAAAAGTGAGAGTACGTATGTTATTAAAATAAAAATTCTTAGCTTGGAAAGTGTGAAGGCTAATGCTCGGAAAAAATTTGTTTCATATGAAAAAGATTTACATGTTCCGAGTAAATACTTAGAAGTATTTAAATACAAAAGTGCAAGCCCCTTCTCCATCTATGTTTAATTAGAAGTTATAGTACACTATTAAAATGTGTAGTCAAAAATTAGGAGACAATATGTAGTGCTGTAATTATTTATTTTATGCATACAGTACTTTTATACCTGCAGTGTCTTTAAATGCAGTGCAGTTCTGTATTTTGATACAGTATTTATTTGTCTGTATTTTCATGTCGTCAAGGCTGTCTATGAGGTACAGTATATGTAAGCTTTACAAGGTACAGTATTGCATTGGGCTCAAGTGTACTAAAAGAATACATTATTTTTCTAGTTTTATTTATCTTTTATCTAGAGGAGCATGTTTGATTATAATGCAGCATCAAATTCAATTCATTAATATGATTGTGGTTGGTCTGTAAAAATACTAAATAAATTCAGCCATTTATTTGTTAAACATGAGGTGCTTTTGTAGTAACTCGAGTTAGTGTTGTTACATGATTGTATGCCTAGAAGTCGTAATTGGGTAGACATTATATGTGATATCATTTTATTTTCATTATACTTTACCTAGAAACATGATTATTGTAATTGTATCTAACTTGTCTGTTATTTAGGTTATACCTGTACCTAAATTTACTTGATGTATTAAAATTATTCAGTCCATCCTCCTAAAATGAAAGTGCTTCTAGTAAATGACTCTTTGGTTGACAGTACAATGTGTAGTGATGGACCACCAAAAAGTTGACTTTTGTATTATTGAATTTGGTCAAATGGGGATATTTTTTTTTTTTTTAACTCTAACATAAATATAGGACCTAACCTCTAGTAATCCTATGCTTAGAATGCTATCTTAGGCCTAATGTAGTTCATATATGTGCTATTCTAGGCCTAGAAATGTTTTAAGTTTGATTTTTTAGCTATATTTTCTGTATTAAATCAAAAGTACAAAAAGTGAAATTATTCATAGTCCAATATTCCATACTGGTACTTTGAACCAATTAGTTACTATAAGTACTGTATTATCATTTCCAGAAGATGGGTAGAAATTATTGTTCTTAGGGAATTCTGGTTTATGAGTTTATAATTTGCCTTTTTATTATTTCCATGCTTGAGAATGCATTGAACTTAACTATTTAGATGCCAGAAGATGCTAAAATGTCAAACATTAAGGGAGGAAGTTCTAATCCTTCGGGAGTCATCTTTGTGTATCTTTCAGCTCTCGTATCTTTGTGCACATTTTTGTTTTAAACTTAAGATACAGCATCAGAGGTTTAGTCATGAAACTGAATCATGGTGCAGTATTATAGGTCCCATTATAATGTGATCTGGACTGGCAGCAAAGGCTTCTAGTAAAATGAGAAGGCATGCTAATAAGTAAAATTTAAATCATTTGAATGTTTTCCTGGTCTATGACAAAAATATATATATATATTTTTTTTAAGATTGATTTGCCTTTTTAATTATAAAAAGCATAAATGTATTACCTTGACCAATATGTTGGATACTATTTTGTGTGGTATTAATGCTGCCATGGGTCTCCAAAAAGATGGCCTGACAATTCTTGGATTAAAAAAAAAATAATTGCCACTGAAAATTTTGAATATTATATCTAAAAATTTGTTTGCTATTTTATCCCAATTTATTAGGTTATTTTAATATTACCTGTAAGTATTTCAGTGCTGCTATATAAGACATGAAAATTTATTTAGTAGTGAAATAGATCATGATATAGATCACGTGATGATAATGTTTCAGATGCACGGAGAATAATGAAAGTTTGGAATGTGCTAGAAAGTAATATTTACATAATTAGATGGGGGGATTTTCTCTCTCTTGGCTATCCACTCGAAAGTTCTCACAAGAATCAATTTTTTGGTGCATCATCATTTAATGGATATAGCCCTATTCCCCTTCCATTGTAATCTTTTCAGACCTGAAAAAGAAATACAAAGATATCGTCTTTGAAGTCGGAACTCTTAACTACAACAGCTGTAATACAAATTATAAATTTCTGTACTTCATGTTCTGTAATTTCAATACAGGTGTGTAAATTAAAGGAAATTCAGTTGCTATGATGCCTCAACTTATGCCAGAAAGTTTTTATTTTCTGAAAGTAAATGGAAATGTATTTTTGTAGAATTATAATTTGCAAGATTTGGGGTTATTGTAGCAGTACTGTAATTAGTTTTATACATTATGACTAGTACTCTACAGTATTATAACCACATTTAATACAATTTATTACCCCCACACCATATAATTAGAAGGGAAATGTTAGTGGGTAAGTACGTAAATAGGTAAGACTTTGCTGCTACTTAGATGGCGTAACTATAAAGCCACTGCAGTAGTGGGCAATATATATTTTTTAAAGTTACCATGAAGGAAATACTGTACTGTATACAGTACATTCAGTTTGTGTGCTTGTTGCACATTTTTGTAATTCCATGATATAGTTTGAACAAAATGTTGAAAACAAATATTTAGTGCACTTAATTGTCACATTATATGAATTAATAAATATATTGTAATTGCTGTTTTATCAGTATACCACTCTACTTGTACCTGCAACTGGTTAATTTATATGATAGAATAAAAAAGACTAGCATTGTATTCATATTATTTAGGAGATTGTCTGCTATTTAGGAGGATATTGATATCTTGTACCAAAACCAGGAAGCAGACCTGAACTGAGATGAGCACGGATCTATTTAAATTGCACGATTTCAAAGACACAGCAGGAGTACTAGTATGGTAATAGTAAGTCCCACTAACCCATGGAGGAAGAAAGGCAGAACTGCAACATCCATTTAACATAGCTGGATAAATCTAATTATAACTAGATCAGTTGGCTGTATGTAATTTTTCTGTGCAAATCCTGTACTGTAATTTATACTGAGTTCAGTATTTTTATGAATCTTGTACTGTACAGTATTTTAAATCAAATCAGCTGGAATTATCCCAAGATAGTATTCAGTCAGTAGTATAATTTCTATTCAGAGTACAGTATATATAATTAACATGAATGTGGAAACACCAGCCTAAGAAACATCTTTATGACAGCAAAAATTTTGATTAAGAAAAGTTGATGCTCGTTTAAGCATTCCATAAAACCCACCATTGATAGTTTGCTGGAAGTAGCTTTTGTGGGTGCCTAAAAATTACAAAATAGTTCAGTTCCTGGATTTAAGCATGGAGGATTCATAATTAATTGGTAATTAATTTTGTGTATTTTTTATTTCTTTTTTTCAACCATTTGCTACAGTAGCAAATAGAATCACGTATCACAAAAATAAACTATTCATAAATTCATCTTTACAGTACTGTATTGTTTTAAACCCAAGTGATTCAGTGTTATACTCTGCATTTCTAATACCATTCTCCATACCAGACCACACAGTAGATTCTAGATCCAGTGTTCTGCAGTATTTTGCATGTATGACCACTTATTTGATTACTGTTGCCTTAAAAATGCAGATTTTATTAATATTTTCATTTATTATTATTATTATGATTATCATTAATAATAATAATGATTATTATAAGATTGCATGACTGATGCAGTATGAGGTGGATTACACACAATCATTGACTGCTGAGGGATTTACTGGAACTGGTAATTGTACAAAAAATGGCTGCTACTTGATTTTACAGTACATTAAATATGATGATAATATTATTTATATATTTGTTGAAAAATATTGCAGAAGGGTTTCAGAATAAGATTAAAGAGATGTTAAAGTTTAATGGCATTACTATTTTTGAGAGTTGCCATTGTACTCTTGCCTGTGTCTTGTTAATGATATGATGGGGCATAGATTTGTTAATTTTGTCTTATCTGCTTGCTTTGGTTAATGAAAGCATACTATTGATATTTGTTTCCACTTCATAAATATATATACCTGTATATAATTACACACATGTGTAATTACCTAAGTGTAGTTACAGGATGAGATCTCTGCTCGTGGTGTACCGTCATTTCAGCACTCTTTGTCATATGATGATTTGAAACTTATGATAGTTTTGGCCTCCACAACTTTCTCACCTAACATGTTCCAACCGTCTACTATGCTTGCAAAAGAAAACTTTTTAATATTTTTTGGCACATTTGTTTCTTTAGCCTATGACCTCTTGTTCTTTAGGTTACTAGTTTCAGGAATTCCTCTTTGTCAATTTGGTTAATTCTCATAATTATTTTGTAAATGGTGATCATGTCTCCTCTCTTTCTTCTATTTTGTAGCATTAGCATATTTAACACCTCTAGCCTCTCTTCATAACTCTTATTTTTCAGTTCTGAAAGTCATTTTGTAGCGTGCCTTTGCACTTTTTCCAATTTATATATGTGCTTCTTGAGATGAGATGATTTCGAGGCTTGGCGTCCCTGTAGCCCGGTCCTTGACCAGGCCTCCTTTTTGTTACCCACCCCCCAGGAAGCAGCCCGTAGCAGCTGTCTAACTCCCAGGTACCTATTGACTGCTAAGTGAACCCAGGTACCTATTGACTGCATCAGGGTGAAAGAAACTCTGCCAATTTGTTTCCGCCTCCACCGGGGATTGAACCTGGAACCTCAGGACTACGAATCCCGAGCGCTGTCCACTCAGCTGTCAGGTCCATACCATACAACCATACAACTGCTGCATATTTCAATTTTTGTTTCACAAAAGTCATGAACAGTTTCCTTAGTATTTCACCATTCATGTAATTAAAATGATTCTGAAGTTGGAAAATACAGCATGTGCTCCTTGCACAATGTCCTTTATGCATTCTTCTGATGGCAGTCTTATCCTGAACTATCCCTAGATTCTTTGTTAAGAGTTCTTTTAAGTCCTTTCCACATAATTTGTAGGTTATGTGGTCTGTTTTCTCCTATTTAACATTCTATAATGTGGCATTTATTCACATTAAATTCCATTTGTCAAATGTTGCTCCATACACTTATTTTGTCCAAGTCATAGAAAATATACAAATAAAAAGAACATTTAAATAAAAAAAACTATATTTTTCCTGCCAGATTCTATCTGGAAATCACCTTGATTGATGTGAGAGATCTCTTAGCATTATATGTGTGTGTACTTACCTATTTGTACTCATCTATTTATGCCTGCAGGATCAAGCTCTAGCTCTTGAACCCCACTTTTCTAGCCGTTGGTTGTCTAATGAAATGCAATGACGCAATAAAAAGCAATGCAATGACTTCTGGCCAATTTCCCCATCATACCTGCTTTTAAAGTTATGAATGAAGTTTGCCTCTACAACCTGCTCCCTTAGGTCATTCCATTTACTCACTAGGAGTGAAATTACCCAAGTGTAGTTATAGGATGTGGTGCCCAGTCTTCTCATTACTGTCACATAACGCATTGAAACTACTGACGGTTTTGACATTCATCGCCCTCTCATCATATTTCAACCGTCTTCCTCTGTTTGCAAAAAGTGACCTTTCTAATATTTTTTCCATATGCTCGCATTTCAACCATCGGATGTCTTATATATTGATTTCTAACCTATTTTTCTCAGTCATATACAGTATACTATATATATTTTACACCCTCCATCTCATCACTCCTCCCCTCTCTCTCCCTCCCTCACTACCTCTCCCCTCCCCCCCATCATTTTTGTTTTTTGTTTTTGTTTCATATTCAAGAGTTCTTACATTCTTGTAAAATGTAGTGTTTCGAGCAGGTCCATAATCCTATTTTTTCCCCGGAATATGACCTGCCATATCGTTTAACAACCAGGTACCCATCACTGCTGGGTGAACAGAGGCTACAGTTAAGGATTGGCACCCAGTCAATCCTCCCCGGCCAGGATACGAACTCAGGCCAAAGCACTTGTGAAGCGCTGGGCGAGTGCTTTACCACTGCACCACGGGGACTGTTAAATAAATTATGATAAATGATAAGTTAAAATGGTAAATTTATTAAAAATAATAAATGATAAATTTAAATTTCCTCTCTTCTCTCTCTCCCGCTCCTCATTCCCCCACCCTCACACTTCCTCTCCCCTCCCCCCCACCTTCACTCCTCTCTCTCACCCCCTCCCTGCGCACTCCTGAGAGAGTACTTGAAAGATGGCGGCTACAAATAGAGCTCAACCTGTAACTATACTTAGGTAATTACACGCTCATACCACCCTCCATCCACCTACCTACACAGTACACTGACGTTCCCAGAATACAGCCCACAACAGCTGATTATCTGCCATGTACCGTTTTACTGTTGAGTGAATAGTGGCATCAGGTTACAGAAACTGTTTATTTGCTTCCACCTGGGCCAAGAATCGAACCTGGGTCGGTGGATTGCAAATATCAAACGCTGCCTGTGTGTCAGCATCTTTTAGAACAGGAATAACATAAATTAAAATGCTGCCCCCAATTGTTCTTTTATTTTGAGATGTGTGGGTTAGAAAACTGGGCCAGACATAAGTATTTTATTATTTCTTGTGTTAACAGCAAAATGGTTAATTTTTCGTGTAAACTGCTTACACTTAATACTGTTATGATGTTCTTCTAAATGCAGTACTGTGTAGGTAAAAATACGAATAATCAGCTGTAATTTTTCTGTTATTTAGCTTAGAGCAGGAGGCCAGGTCGATGAAAGTACTGGAGTACTTCTACTCCAGACCTGGTCAAGGACCGGGCCGCAGGAACGTTGAGCCCCGAAATCATCGCAAGGTAAGGGTAAGGTTGACACTTGTGTGACAATGGAAATTCAGGAGAAATTTATCCCATTTCTTCATTTCAGGTATAGAACTTCTGGAGAACAACTTGGGACTCATCAGTGCCTCATGAATAAAGCGTCTATCTATTACCAGTGAAGAGTCATATTTTGCTTTTACAAAACCAAGTCCTCCCTGGATTTCCTCCTAATCCAATTAACAAGATGATTACTGAACATTTTAAGACATGTAATTTTCCACTATTGTATACTGTAATCACCATATAGTAAGCATATATAAAATCTTTGCAATTCATATGTATACTTATTATATTTTTTCTAATAAGCCAATAGCGTTTCATACCTTACCTACTACATATAAATATTATTGATATACTATATCTTGCTGTCAGAATTTCAGAAATCATTTGAAGCCACTGTAATGTTTTTTGCTCCCCCTCCCGGACACGTTCTGGGACGTCCCTCCCGGACACAGGTGTTCCGGGACGTCTCTCCCGGACACTGGTGTTCCGGGACGTCCCTCCCGGACACTGGTGTTCCCAGACGTCCCTCCCAGACACTGGTGTTCCGGGACGTCTCTCCCAGACACTGGTGTTCCGGGACGTCTCTCCCAGACACTGGTGTTCCGGGACGTCCCTCCCGGACACTGGTGTTCCGGGACGTCCCTCCCGGACACTGGTGTTCCGGGACGTTGAAGGCGGCACCTGCTGCTCTCGTTGTACACTGTACTATATATTAACGTGAGGTTGTTTATGCTTTGACTAGTTTCACAATTCAAATGAGATTGAGTGGCCAAAGATGCACTCAAAAGTATGTAGGAGTCAGTAGCATACTAATGGAGCGCCTGCATGATGAATGTAGCCTTTAGAGGACTGCAAATATTCAAGCAACCATGAGTCTCTTATTACTGCATAAATACAGAATGGCAGTATGGACAATAGAAGCCCATGCAGGATGAGGCGATGAAATTGGTTAATTTGATTATAGCCCATCCTTTAAATTTATGTATTTTCAGTGTTATTCAAATAATAATAAATAATATTAATCATTAATAATAAATAATTAGTTAGGAGTTTGAAAATGGTTTTGAACAATTTCTCTTAAATTCTCGAGTGTGAAGGCCTCTGTTCACCACAGACAGCCATTAACAGACTTCAGGGGTGTCTCTTCTGTTTATTCACATAAAGAATATGGGAATGTCTTCAGGCTGATCAACCAGGCTGTGACTTACCTGATCAACCAGGCTGTGACTTACCTGATCAACCAGGCTGTGACTCATACGTCAGGCTGCGAGCAGCCGCGTCTAACAGCCTGGTTGATCAGTCCAGCAACCAGGAGGCCTGGTCGACGACCGGGCCGCGGGGACACTAAGCCCCGGAAGCACCTCAAGGTAGCCAAGGTAGGTAGGCTTTAAGGTTAATGGGCTATATGCGGGACCGTGTTATTGTTCCACGATGACTGTTGTGGTGAATTAACTGTATAATTCTCTGGTGCTCCCCACTTAGATTATTTTATCCAAGCTTGGAGACCTCATCTTCTGAAGGAAATATAGCTGCTCTGGAGAAAGTACAACACCGGGCGACAAAAATAATTCCAGAACTGTCAACTTTCGTACTATAGAGGAATGATTGCTTTCGTGCCTTTGAAAAGCCGTCAGCTTCCGAGCCTCTTCGAGGCCACTAGTGTTAATGACCCTAAGGTAAATTCAGGTAAACTATTGGTCCTTGTTCGTGTTACATCTGACCTTTCCTGAGTAGCAAAATCTGGGTAAAACACAAGAATATCTTCCAATATTCGTGAGTGTATAAAGTAGTTCAAAGTACCTCGTACCATTTCATCTGAAATCATTGATAACAGGGCAGTCACAGATATAGTGATGGAGAGTATGGCATAGCTCTTGTTCACATAGTTTACAATTGGAGTGTTTACCAGTGGGAGATTCGAAAGCGCTCAAGTCCATTCTGATTTCATTTTTCACACACACTTTTTACGTTTGGAAAATGAATTATATCATCTCGGGAGATGTATACGAGTTGGAAAATGGGTATTGTGCGAAGTGGTGGACGAAATAGTATGAGGTACTTTGAGCTCTGTAATTACTTCATACACTCAGGAATATTGGAAGATATTCTTGCGCTGTACCTAGATTTTGTTAGTGGAAGCTAATAGATCAGCTTTACATTTCATGTTCTCTCCTAATTCCATGTATGACTGGCCGTCTTGTGAGGTGGAGATGTTGGATGAGCTTATAGCTGGTTTTCTATCTACAGTGTGGTCCTTCAAACAGAATGGGGATAGCATCACATTTCTGTGTACTTGAGCTTGTTAAAAAAATATATATTGTTTGAGAGGAGTCTTGTAGAAACTGGTAAGAGTAATTATAATATAATGTTTCCATGATTCAGTGCAACCATCCTATGAGGTGGGAATATTAGATGAACTTATAAATATTTTTTTTATCTACACTGTGTAATCTTCATATAGAATAGGGTAGCAGCACATTGCTGTGCACACCTAAGCTTGTTAATAAAAAAAAAATGTGGAGATACAAGATACGTTACGCTGTCTGAAGTAACACCAGATCATACCTCAAGCTTCTTGCAGCCTCACCACCTCCACAGGTGAAAGGTTTGTGAACACAAAAATTAGCTATATTACCTTTAAATACATACATGGATAGATACTTCTTGAAAAGATTTTAATTATTACGTTCAAATATTTTAAATACCTTAACTTCAGATACTTCGCATTAAATATCTGCTACAGCAAATATACGATTGCACTTCTTCCATATACAGTATTTATTAAACAATATATAAGGTAACTTATTCACGTGTATTTTAATCCATAAACCTGCGTGCAATATTACTTGGCTGTCACGAAAATATGGCATAAATTAAATTATTATAACTATCTGCTGTGTTTTGGCGGCTCCACATATTGCTCTCATGCTTTCAGTTTTCAATCAAACATCTTTTATAACAAAATATGTCAATAAAACTCAAATATTTCAAATAGGAGCCAAGTTTATAGCCACAAATAATAATCGTAAATATTATAACGAATATAAAACTGAATGAACATACAACTACGACTTATAGGGCTAATATTGAGTGTATAGATAAATGTAAAGATGTATGGACGGGGGAGGCGAGAGAGTGTTGGAACTGGAGAGCGACTCGTCCCTGTCCGCCACCACGCGAGGTCACCGCCGAGATGGCCAAGAAAAACAAATCCAAGATGCTCGACAACGAAGACGATGGAGGTGCTGAAGAGGAGGAGCCGGACTTCAGCGATCCTGAAGACTTCGTGGAAGACATTACGGAGGAAGGTTGGTGTTGTGGGGTAACTAGGGAGGAGTGCAAGCGGGAGGGAAGAGGCATAGGGCCGCCTACCGGTACACTGCCCATGACAGCTGGACACGGGGTTTTATGACGTAGTCTCCTCGTGGGGCTGCAAGGGAATGTATTCAGGCTTTAAGGTAACTAATAAAAGACTGGCCTATATATGGGAGTGTGTTATTGCTCCACGATAAGCGCAGAGTACATCGGTCACAATTCCTTCAGGCAGTACACACATCCTAATCAATAAGAGATCAGATTTGTCCCAAATATCATGGGGTTACGCCACAGTTGTCGCAAATCACGCTTTTGTGGTGGTTTCACGATGATGGATAACCTTACCCAGAACTTGCATGTCCAAGAAATGCAGTGCCACATGGCATTGTTGTGTGCTATATGTAGGTCAAGTCTCGATGAAATGATTCAATATAAATACACATTAACAGATTGAATCATGCAAGACACAATCTGTTGAAACTGGAGATCCATTTCAAAGACTTGAAAAAGTCAGCATGTAATCGTAATCATTTTTGGCTCCATAGTCATACTTGCTTAGTGCATTCCTTGCCTCTCTTTTTGGCATCAAGTATTTTGTGTATATTAATTCTATATACGTACAGTATGTAGTCATACTGGCTTAGTGCTTTTTCCTTGTAATTACCTTACCTTAGTTGACAGAAAAGAACGGGCTTCTCCATATGGTACTATAGTTTTATAACAAAATCACTTGAATTTTTTTTTTCAAAATATATTGTTTACATTTATCAGAACGATATTCTTGAAAAAGTTATTTAAGAAATCTTTATTTATTTTAAAGCACTTCATTAGTTCTCAGCTATAGTATCCTATGCCTACTGCAATCAGATATGCCTAAAATTGGAATCATACAGTACATAATGGTAAAACTGTGTTGAAGAAATATGAGGGAAGACCTATGACTAGCTGCTAGCTTCCTGTCCCCCATTGTCTCTAAAAAGGTGGGTAGCCCTTGGGTAAAAACCAAGTTTTCAGCCTCAGAAATATATTTAATTGGAACTTTGGGTACAGAATAGGCAGAAAAGTCGTCGTAGCCAAGATGGTATGGTTTGCTAATGAATTTTAAAATGTACCTAACTTTACCCAACCCAACATTATAGACCATATCACAGATTATGCATGGCCATCTTTTTAAATTTGTTTATTTATTTATATATACAAGACATTTCTATAGTCCTAATTTTTTCCAGAATATGATATGCCAAATAGTTTAACAACCAGGTACGCATTCACTGCTGGGTGAACAGAGGCTACAGTTAAGGATTGGCGCCCAGTCAATTTTCCCCGGCCAGGATACAAACCCAGGCCGAAGTGCTCGCAAAACACTGTGCGAGTGCTTTACCACAGTGCCACATAGTGAATGTGTCCTGCGTCCATCATTAACCTTATGGTAGACCACTGGCCACCCTGGTAACTGAACATTCATCAACCAAGTGTATTTTAGGTGTGTTGGCTAAAAGTATTAAAGTGAATAAGATGGGCCATAATTAACACTTTCGTTCGGGAGGGACATATACATTGTCTGTAATTAACTCCAAAAGCTGTGGATGTTCGGGAGGTACGTCTACAACGTCCAATTTTAATGTACAGTTTTTGTTAAAATTTCATTTTTTATCTGAATGCCAGGCTTTTGGGCTTTATCTGTATATATCCATGTAGAGCATTCTATTGCAAACAAATTGATACCAAAATTAACGACCTAGCAAAACATTTGACGTTATCAAACTAAATAAAAAAGATTATACACATTTGTGTGCAGGTGTAGTAGGTGTACAAATGCGTGCTCATTCATGGCAAACGCTTGGCTGACTTTCACCTTTGCTGCACGGAGGGGGGGGGGGCTCTGATTTTGGACTTTATATTCATATACCCCTGTAGGAATTCTATTGTGAGCAATTTGATACCTTATTGAAAGATGTAGGATGAGAATTGAGGTGAGAATCCCACAAAGAGTAGGCACATTTTGGTGGTGGTTCACACTCGCGGGTAACTCTTGGCCGTTTTGTGAGTTTGGTGCGGGTGGCACGCCAGACTTTTGGACTTCATATGTATATATCCCTGTAGGGGATATATACATATCAAGATATATGCATTACTATTGTGAACAAAAAGATACCAAAATTAATGCAGTAAGACAAAAATTGAGGTGAGAAAACTTAAAAAGAGTATACATATTTGCGTCTGGCTGTTCGCTCACATGCAACGTGTGGTGCACCTTAAGGTGGTCTAGTAAGCGTGCAGTGGGGATGGGAAAGTGTTAATATGGGTATTCTGGCAGACTTGCGGTTATACAAGTACGGGCAAATTTCCTTACAAATGTATGATACATCTAGGTGCCTGGCAACAGTTAGGCAGGACAACTCTTGTAGCACTACCTACTTGCCTACATTTTTGGTTACTGCTTTAACCACTGCACTATGCACCTGGTTTGGCAAAAACTTCATAATGCAACTGTTAACCACTGCCCTCCACATCTGGTTTTGGCAAAAACTTCATAATGCGGCTGTTAACCTTTGTACTGCACATCTGGTTTTGGCTAAAACTTTATAGTGCAATTGTCAAGGACATATTTTTGTTTTTATAAATGTTCAACTAAAGTTAGTCAAAATGTTTCCAAATGCCACCATTTTCATTTGAAAACACAGTGATGAAAACATTAAAACCATTAAAATCTAGCATAATTAAAAAAAAATAGCACAACTCACAGAGCACCCGTGCAGTACAGTGGTTAAGGACATATTTTTGTTGTTTTTATAAACATTCAGGTAAAGTTAATGTCAAAATATGTCCAAACTCAACCATTTTCATTTCAAAACAGTAATGAAAACATTAAAAAATGTTTTTTTTTTTTTTTTTTTTTCGAGATATATACAAGAGTTGTTTCATTCTTGTACATGTTAAAATATATCCCAATTGAAAAAAATAACACAACTCTCAGAGTGCCTTAGGGCTCACTGCACAGTACAGTGGTTAATGAGTATTGCATCTGTGCATGTAGATTTTGGTGTCATTTACAAGCCTATACATTCCATTAGCATATTCTTCTTTTTAATTCCGATTTCATGAACCAATAATTCACCTATGAGGGCTGAATTCTAGTGACTACACTACAATATTAATGAAGAATCAAATGTCCCTTAAATTGCTAGTATGTATTGTTAACAATTTTAAGATGACATACTGTACTGTACAAATGTTTAGGACATGTCCTTCACAATTAGCTACATTTGTAATGAGTTTTTAAACAATTAGCTTTTATGTTAGGGGATATCCCTTTCATTACTTTGCTTATATTTAGTCAAGGATGCAAAAGCTTCCTGGAGCCATATGCCAATGTGACTACTTTAAAATAGTGTTCAACTTTTCCGTGAATGAGGTGGCATAGGCCTCGATGGCCTATACATATGCATTGTATTGTTTTTATTATTCTGTATATGGTGTATATAAAAAATAGCTAAAATTTTAGGGCATCATTTCACTGTTCTTTTAAGAGTACATTACATTGAAATCTGTTTGGGTAAATCATGATGGATAATATGTTTATTTGTTTGAGAATTAAGTATTATTGGATTCAAAATACTAAAAGTAATATAATCAACAGAAATAGAACACACATGAAAATAAAAGAAACTAGCATTAACAGATGAGTATTTACTTGGATTGGGTACATTAAATGTATTTAACTTTAAATTGATTGAAAACTGGATTTTAGAAGGTTACCATGTATTTGGTACTGCACATTATCAGTCTTATTAAAATACATACCTTAGTCTTTTGAGAAATGTTTAAAGCCAATTTGGTGCACTGTAATACGCTATGATTAAATTCGTGGTGTAGGTTTTTGTTGTAGTTTTGTTCATTAAACAAAAACACCTGCTATAGCTTTAAATGACAGATAAAATGCAATACACTACACAAATGCAAGTACAGTTCTGTTTTTGTGTAGATAATTTGGTTTTATTAATTTGTATAAAGCTACTTGAACTTGATATTTAATGGATGTGCTGATAAATTTTCATTATAGGTTGTCTTCACTTGTTTTACAAGTTTATTAATATAATTTGGTACAGTAGTGTTATACATTTAATATATAAATTTTTATTCAGAACTTTTAGGAGATTTGCTTCGCCAAAAACCGAAGGAAACTGATGGCGTAGAGTCTGTCATCATTGTTGATGGTGTGCCATCAGTTGGCGCTGAGAGACTAGAGAAGTTGAAGAATGTTGTTCGTAAAATCTTCAAAGAATTTGGTGCCATTATCAATGAATTCTACCCCACAAATGAAGATGGAAAGACTAAAGGGTAGGTGTTGATTTATATTATAGCTCACGGACTGAAATGTTAAAATTTTTAACTACTGTGTACAGTTATTTGATTTTCTTCATTCTTAGCAAGTATTTGCTATTGGATTTTACACTGCAAGCATCCATGTAATATCTAATGTTAAAAAGTATCTAAAATCTTGCCTAAATGACATTTCTCCAATATGTAATGTTATATTGTACAGCATTTTAGTTGGAGTGCAAGCAGTGGGAGACTGATTAAGGCTATTTGTACAATTATTCACAGAAGAGTACAGTGTGAACAAGAAACTAGCCATCTCTGGCAGCCAAAAAAAAATTACTGTATGACCTAAGCAAATGCTGATTAATATCAGTATATGAGCACTGTTGAGTGGGCAGCTTTACTTTTGAAATGACGTTCTAAAAAGTTTGCACAATTGATAGTTACTGCATGTATTTTTCTTGTTTTTTGTTACCCATCTGCTTTGTATGCATGTGTATGTGAAGGTGTGTATGTCTTCGTATGATGGGGCTGCAGGAATAGTAGTTGCTGTATTTGTGCTTTATTGGGTTATGGCCAAAATATGAACATTTAAAACATTGTTAATTTTCTCAACATCACTGTAGCATGTTGCATATTAAAGAGAAAAGAATTGATTTGAATTTTTGTTTTCAAAACATTTACAGAAATTAGCTGGCAGCCAGTGCCAAAAATTGTCATGGGGGTCTGAATGTATTCTGGTGACCCTAATCTCCCTATGTGTTCATCCCAGACCCCAGATCCATTATTTCTGTCAGTTTGGGTGACACCAGTCCTACGTGTCTGGCCTCCAACTTTGAACACGTACACTTATAGTATAGATATACTGTACTATGGTCTTCTTTTTATAACTCATATACTTGGGCTGCTTTTTTATCATATAGCAGTGTTGGATATATATAATTTTGTTACTGTTACTCCCTTTTTGTATTACCCTTTGATATATTCTTAGGAAAAAGTTCTTGTTTACAGATACATCTTCCTTGAGTTCAAGGATCGAGCTGCTGCCGAGGAAGCAGTGAGACAGCGCAACAACTACAAATTGGACAAACAGCACACTTTCCTATGCAATCTTTTCACTGATTTTGAAAAGTATGAAGACATTCCTGAAGAATTTGTTGCACCTGTACCTCAGCCATACAAAGTATGTAGTTTTTTTATACCATGGTGGAATTAATTTTTTAACAATTATTGTTGGAGCTGTAAATACTATTATTTAGCTAATACCAGCATACTAAATTTTATGGTGGTATGTGTAAGGAAGGAAGCTATTCATGGAGATTTAATTTTAAAGAATTGTAGTTGAAGCATTTACTTAAGACTATATTTAGTTAAGTTTGGTTGAATATGTAAAACATTAACATATCTTTATATATAACTTGTCATTTTCAGGATATGGGAAATATGAGCTATTATCTGCTTGATGAAAACTGCTTTGACCAGTTCTCAATTATCTATGACGGAGGCACAACCACTGCTATCTACCTAAATGTTGTCCCAGAAGCTGTAGAGGTCGCCAAAAGAGAGGTGATTGAGATTGGTTTGTTTTAAAAATTGTTCCATTGGTATTTGAAATACAGTAGTCATTACTTTGAATTTGCTAATGATTTAGTTTTTCATTCTTTCATAGAGATGGACAGAGACGTATGTACGTTGGTCACCAAGGGGAACTTACCTAGCTACATTCCATGGCAAAGGTATCGCTCTTTGGGGTGGGGAAGAGTTTCGTCAAGTTCAAAAATTCAGCCATCCAGGTGTTCAATTTATTGACTTTTCTCCTTGTGAAAAGTGAGTATAACCTTTGAATATTAGTGCAATATTACTTTCTAGATGATGAAAAACTTTGTCCAGAAAGAAAATGTTGGTTACAAGGCTTAATCTTTTCTGAAAAAAAATAAATAAATAAATTCATTGGTAAAGCTGCAATTCGGATAATAATAATAACTATTCATCAAAGGTACATTGTGACTTTCTCACCACACGTTGACCAACGATCTGAAGAGCCTCAGTCTATTATTGTTTGGGATGTTCGTTCTGGGCTGAAGAAACGAGCCTTCAATGCTGAAAGACCTCCAGTTTGGCCAGTGTTCAAATGGTCTAATGATGACAAGTATTTTGCAAGAATTGGTGAAGATTGTCTTAGCGTGTACGAAACTCCAGTAAGAATTATTGATTTTTTTGTTACAGGTGCTATGTGCTTATGTACGTACATGCCTATGTTGTATTTTAAACATCTTGTTCTATATATTGGATGGTTTTACACTACTATATGTATAATTATAAAGTATAACTTTTAAACTTGTAATTTTGTTGGGTATTTGTTTTAATCTTAATCTCTATTTTTCCTCCAATTAAGTTAAAGTTTTTATCATATTAATGAAACAAGGAAAGAGTTATTATATAAATTATGTTTTCCAGTCATTTGGTTTATTGGACAAGAAGAGTATCAAAGTTATGGGAATCAAAGACTTCAGCTGGTCTCCAACAGACAATATATTGGCTTACTGGATTGCTGAGGATAAGGATGTGCCTGCAAAGGTGTCCCTTGTCTCTATTCCAAGTCGAGAAGAAGTAAGTGATGTAACTAAGGTTAAGTGGTTAAAGCATTATCCATCTGTATTGATTTTTTTTTTTTTTTTTTTGCATAGAGGAGGGTTTGCTGTACTTAACCAGGCAGAATGGCCATAATCGAGGCTCTAGAATTGTTGAAGTTCACATCTGAGAAGGAAATTGTCAAAGGAAAAGTACAAGTTTGGCAGATTAATTGCATTCTATTGAAATGTTATTTGTTTATTCAGTTTATTATACAAATTAGTTCTTATATTGATGAAAATAATTTATGTAACATAATTTTTACATATTAGATGTACAGTAATCTAGAGTTGAAACTAAAAGAATTAGGCAGTCAAAGTTTACAATTAATGTTCTCTTTAAGATGTACTATGTAAGCTTCCCAATTACCTGCTTGACATATTACTTCAAATTTATTAATCTAGTTTAATAAATATACATTTTTACCCTGGATGCTTTATTGGCATGTTGAGGATTACTGTGTTAACATAAATTAAATTTATATTTTAAGGAAAATTGCTAAAATTTCTTGTATAATTGAATTTCATCCTAGTTCAATTTTTGGTAAATTCCAGTATTCCAGTAGGAAAACTAAATATTGGGTGGTAAAAAACTTGCATAAGTACATTTATATTCTTTTATTGACACTTAATTCATTTACCAGGTCAGTAACAGAAGTGACAACCAGATTACAGGTTTTCAACCCTGTGGTCTAATGTTGAGGGTGTACCTTGGGCCAGATCTTAGCCTGACAAAAACTTAGTTTTAAAAGTATTAAAATAAGGTAATTGTGTGATAGGAAGGAAGGGGGTGGAATTGTTTGTATATTAGGTAAATTCTCATAGCAAAATAGTCTTCCTAGCTTTGTGCTTTCTTTCGATACTTACTCATAGGTATGTTATGAAAATAGACGTAGGGGATTTTGATGCATAGGTACCTTGTTAGTTTGTCAGGAAATAATGTAAGTTTCATATTGTAGGCATCAGTATGATTTGAAAAATGTTCATATACCCTGTAAGATACAAAAGCTGTTTATGGTTCGTCTCCAGACCTCTTATACAGTACCTCTTGTGATAATTACCTTTCTACATTCAAGTTCTTGTCATACTGATTCTTGAAGTTGTGGATGGATGTAATTTCAACAACTTCCTCTTCCAATACATTCCAATTGCTATCACCCTCATAGGATATGAAGACTTCCAAACATCTCTGATACTTGAATGCATATCCAGCTTCCACTGCTGTTCCTTTGTCCTACTTCCTTTCAATTTAAATAGGCTGCTATTGACCACATTGTCTATTCTCAGTATCTTGTATGTAGTTATAATATTCCCCCTCTTCTTTTTTGCTTCACGAAGTTGGAGTTCCATGCCAGTGCTGTATATTCTGGTAATGGTTTCACACAAGTGTATATGCAGTTCTTATGTTTACTAACTTCCCATAAACCACTGAAGTTATCTTGTTCACGAGCTGGTGATAGCGCTGGGATTATATTTATCTCCAGGTCTTTTTCTCTTTGTGTATTGTTTCTTAGTTGCCTTTCCATCCGTTATGGTGTAAGTTTCTACAATATCTATCTCCCTTTCAAATCTTCTTTACTGTATACGTATTTGGATTGAATTCCAGCAGTCATTTATTGGCTCACTCCTGAAGTTTGTCAAAAAAAATTTTAGCATCTTAGTTTAAAGTTCCTATTAACTTTGCATCATCAGCATAGAGTACATTGATATGAATGGGCAAACTCCCTCTGGTTTATAGAGGGAGATTTTTTTGTTTACATATTTTTGTTTACATAAATTAGAAAGTGTACTTTTTAATTTGAATATTACACTAGAGTGTACTTTTGCAAAATGTTTCACTATTCTTCTCCAAATAAGTAATGTAAAATCTCTGTAGTTTCCTTTACTAATCATGGTGATACCTGGTCTGGACTTGCTACATTTAGTTCTTCTAGTTTTTGTTTTTATTTTTTATTTTTAACTTCCTCAATAACTTCAGTTCTGTTTAGTGCTGTTTGTGGCTATCTCTTATTGGACATCACTGGTACAGGCTTGTAGGTCTGGAATGTTTTGTTAAGTTCTTTATTCACTTTATCATTCTCCAAATGTAACTGTCCCAAGTCTAATCACATGATTTTGTACACTTTTTTCTCCATATATGGCTATGCAGCAGTTGAGGCTAATTTTTTTGTTGTTGCAATGTAGTTTTCAACTGATGCTCTGCTGCCCTTCTGATTCTGGTGTAATTGTTTCCGGTGCTCTTAAGTACCTCCCTATTTTCTTCCATACCCTTATAATTTGTCCATTACTTTTTTCTTCTCCTTTTCCTTGTTACTCTGTCTATTGAACCTTAGGTATGCTGTTCTTATCATCCACTTACTACCTGAAAGGTGATCTTTCTTGTTGCTTCTATGCATTTGCTGTAAATTCCATCTCCTCAGTATTGCATACTTTTTTTCACTCAGTCTTGCATTATTAATGTGTTTTATTTTCATAGATCCGTACCAAGAACTTGTTTAATGTGGCAGACTGCAAGATGCACTGGCAGAAGTGTGGTGATTATCTTTGCGTCAAGGTTGCCAGGTATGCCAAGGCCAAGCGTGAAAAAAATGAAGTGAAGTATTCTGGTATCTACTACAACTTTGAGATTTTCCATATGAGAGAGAAAGGCATTCCAGTGGATAGCTTGGAAATCAAGGAAAATATACAGGTATTTAATATTCTAAGTCTTTTTACTTAATGGGTGTAAATTTAGTAATATATTTCTGTTGAATGTAGAGTTTAGAAATTGATCAACTAGGTTCTGTTGTGGCTTGTATTCATATATTAAATAATAAATTTGATGTTAAAGGGAGTTGATCAGTTGTCCAATGATGATCTGTGGTCTGTGTCCTCAGCTTACAACTGAGGGTCCCAAATTCAATCTCCAAGTGGGACAAGTGATTGGGTACATTTCCTTTCACCTAAGAGTTAGACAATTGTTGTGGGCCTGGAGAAGATCAGTAGTTGGACTAGAGTAACCATGATAAGTATAAGTACTTGTATCTTCTCCCTGACAACAGAAATTATAAATTAAGAATACTGTAGTTCTGTAGTAAAGTGCCAAACCCTGCAGGATTGTTGTTGCACTTTCCACCATCTTGACCTCTCATTAGTAGCTGGCATGTTTAATCTTTGCATCAGAAATATTTGGAAAAAATGAAATTAGTGGTATTTCCATTTACAAATTTAATTCGTTCCCAGAGATAACTCTAAGTGAATTTTCCCATAAGAAATAATGTAAATTCAATTAATCCATACCACACTCCAAAAAATATTAACTTTAAAATACATTTTATTCATAATACACACATTCTGTACTATAGTATGTACAAGTTTTAGCTTACCTTTATTGATGACTTTTGTTGGTGTATGGAAGATGGTGAGGAGGGGGAGAGGACGTGAGATGTTACTGTTTGGAACGGGGGCCCCCTTCCACTATAACATCAGGCAGTGATGACTTCTCTGGGGTGTACTCTTCTACATTTTGCCTGCATACCACTAGAACCTGGTTGTGGCTCATTGTCTGTTTTTCTCACTAAGAACCTTTCCATAGAGACTTGTTTCCCTATGTTTTAATATTTGTCTGCAGTGAGGCTTCACAGTTGAAAAGGTTAAGGCAATGGCCTACTGCAGCTTGATTTGGGCGAGTCGTTTCAACAAAACTGCATTTCTTCCCTTACCACACACCACTCCTTAATTGTTGAGGAACCCATGGCATGGTATATAATAATTTAATGTTTAGAAAGCAAAAAAGCTGAAAAAAAAAGAAATTTTTTACAAAGAATTCAAGCGCGATTGTCACTAAGCGGGTGATCTAGTAAACTGAAGCAGGGTCTCGCCCATGCCACTAGGAGCCACGTGCGCCATCGACCCATACGTGTATCAACAAAAGGTCGCAAGTCAAGGCAAAGGTCGTAAGTAGAGTTGAATTTTCCAATGAAATTGGGGTCGTAAGTTGAGGTTCCACTGCACCTGTATTAAAATACTACGTATAATGAAATAATTTTTTAGATCTTTGTCAGAAGAGAATTCTGGTGGAAAAGAAAATTAAACAAAATTGAGATGTTCAGTTAAAGCAGTTGACAAGGATATATATATATATATATATATATATATATATATATATATATATATATATATATATATATATATATATAATGTGTATGTGTGTGTGTGTGTGTGTGTGTGTGTCGTACCTAATAGCCAGAACGCACTTCTCAGCCAACTATGCATGGCCCAATTTGCCTAATAAGCCAAGTTTTCATGAATTAATGTTTTTTCGACTACCTAACCTACCTAACCTAACCTAACCTAACTTTTTCTGCTACCTAACCTAACCTAACCTAACCGATAGAGATAGGTTAGGTTAGGTTAGGTAGGGTTGGTTAGGTTCGGTCATATATCTACGTTAATTTTAACTCCAATAACAGAACATTGACCTCATACATAATGAAATGGGTAGCTTTATCATTTCATAAGAAAAAATTTAGAAGAAATATATTAATTCAAGAAAACTTGGCTTATTAGGCAAATCGGGCCTTGCATAGTAGGCTGAGAAGTGCGTTCTGGCTATTAGGTACGACATATATATATATATATATATATATATATATATATATATATATATATATATATATATATATATATATATATATATATATATATATATATATATATATATATATATATATATATATATATATATATATATATATATATATATATATAATTTATTTTTAGTCTTCAAAAATAAAATTGAAAATTAAGTTTTATTGTATACCATAATTGAAATTTTGACTACATAATTTTTTATATTGTATGCAATAATGAAAAAAAAATAATGTGAGATCTCAAAATATGTAACTTGGATAATCTGGAATGGGTTTTGAACAATGGTCTGGATTTTGGAGATTTTATATATACTGTATATGTATATATATACTATAATCACAAGAGCATCCCAGGAGTTAAGTGAGACTGGCTTGTACATACTTTTATTCATTTTTGGTTACAGAAATTTTGTCATTAGCATGGAAATAGGCAATATTAGTTTATCAGTTTGAAACTTTTTGACAGCTAAATCAGTGGATTGTAACTTGCATCCTAAGCAAATTTGCCCTTCTGAGTTAATTCAACCTGGAAAGTGTGTTGTAACTGATAATTTGTCGATTTGCAGTTGCACTTTTTCAGTCATTAGTAAGAGTCAGAATTCAACTTGTGTTATATATATTGCAAACTTCTTTCAGCTTTCTGGTCAGATTGACCAGATTTCTATTTAAGACAGTATCATATTCTACTTTGAGTAGCCTGTTATTTTGTATCCCTCTCTTCCATCCACCATCTTCACCTTGTTCTCTTCCTTTTGCCATTGTCACCTTGTTCTGTTCCCTCTGCTGCTGCCATTGCATTATTTTCTTCCTGCCCCTACCACCACCACCACCACCACCACATTATTCTTTTTTCTCTGCCCTCATCACCTTATTTTACCATGAGGTGACTACATCATTTCATTTTCTTCCCCCTCTGCCCCCAGCCACCATCACCTCATTCTCTTTCCCTGCCGCCACCACCTCGTTTTCTTTCCTTGCCGCTACCACCTCTATGCTAGCTGCAACCTCATTCTCTTCCCCTATGCCATCTCCTCCAACACTCGCTTCCCTGCATTACCACCACCTCGTTCTTTTCATCTTTGCAGTGCCACCAGGTAATTTTCTTCACTCTGCCACCACTCTCGTGTAATTAAACTATCCAGTATTTACATTTGTTGCATACACAATTGTCAATGCATCATAGGACAAGATCTTTTTCTTGGAATTTATTTATTGTTCCCCTTTTGGGTGAGCAGATAACTTCCTTGAGTGACCTTGCCTTATGACCTAACCTAGGTTTCTATTTACCTAAATTATTTAGGTTTCTAAGGATCTAATGTTGCTGAACAAGATTAGATTGTATTGACAATGAACCCCCTTGCTAACCGGACCACACAGTTTTCACTTCAGTTGATGGTGCTTCTGTACTTCGGTCCAGCGGCGTCTCCTGCTAGTGGGTGTGTTGTGGATTGGTTACCAAGTCTGTTTAATATGCTAGAGTATTATGCCAGATGGGCACTGTTTTCCTTCTGAAATCATGCATTTCAGAGAGGGCTTTGTCTTGGCAAACAAATTACTAACTGAAGGGTATTAGTATGCCATCTTAGACATGAAACTAATCTTTTTATTTTTATTTATAACTATATTATAAAATTAAGAAAAAGCCTTATTGTTTTATCCTTAAGTTTCTATTGATTCCAGAGGATAATTTTAACACAGGAAATGGTAGTCAAGGATTTGCCTCTTAACCCTCAACTTTGGTCATAATTATTTATCACACCTGGTTCACTGTGGTTATAGTTTTTTTATTTATGATTTTTATTATTGTCTTGTTTGTATACTAATGGTAATGTTATAACTGTATACATGTAATAGTTAACCAAAATCATAATGGAAAGAATTAGGCTGTTATAATGGCTTGCTTTGCAATGAGGTTATGTACTAGGAGCCTATAGCTGTCAAATAACAGTTTGATCTTTGTTTCCAGTGTTTGAATCCATTCCTAGATGATATTCCTAGACAGAATCACAGAAAAGGAGTGGGTTGCAAGGCACTTCCTTCATGTGGTGCCTTTTGATGCTTTGTTCACCAATGGGTGTGTAGATTTAAATGTTCTTATTTACATAAATGCATGACAAATACAATTTGTTTACAGGCCTTTGCATGGGAGCCAGTAAACAACAAGTTTGGTATCATCAGTGGTGAGCCTCCAACTGTAAATGTAACTTTCTTCCAAGTCAACAAAGGCCAAGCTCCTACAGAACTCAAGAAACTGGAAAAGCGGCCTTGCAACAACCTCTTCTGGTCGCCTCAGGGTCAGTTTGTTGTGCTGGCTGGCTTGCGTAACATGAGTGGAGCTTTGGAATTCATTGATACTAAAGATTTCCAGGTAAGGATTGTACATTGAACTGATGTACATATTTAATTGAAATTAATTTATCTTTGCGATCATTAAAAAAAATAATTCGGTGCTGCTTTTAGTGTTTTACAAGGAAGGTTGGGACTGTGCCAATGAAATCGTAAAATGTTCTGGTTCAGGCAGGCAAGGTGGGAATTTGATAGTCAGTATTTTGGTCATATAGAAAACTAGCCCGGACGGTTTTTTCCAACATTATTTATGTGGAACCCTTCTTTCCTTCTCTGTTTTGTACTAAAAAATTAGGTACATTTTGGATTTGAGGAAAGGTATTAGAATGTTATATGTTACAAAAAATTAAACATTGATTAAAATCATTACAAGAATAACTGGATAATGCACAGTAAATGAGATTTAGGTAAGTGCAGCATTATAAGCATTTATGAATCTGTATAATGAGCAAGGTGAAGTCATGTGGGATATTTGGTCATGAACAAGGGTGTCACTACATACATATAATAAGTCGTTCTATATAATTGGCACTATATAATCCCTACACCTTTTGGTGTAGGGATTATACCTTTACTTGCCTCATAAGCAAGAACACTTGTATTTGTACCCTGGGCCCTTTATGCACCCAGCAGTAATTTAGAACTATTGGCAGATTGTATTCTGGAAAAACCCATTGGTAAATCTTTTAAATACATGTAGTTGTGAAAGAGAGAGGTCATAGTCGGCAACTAATCAAATCTTCTGAACCTTTAAATGTGTGTACAAAAATATAACTGAGTATAGTTAAATTATAAATTTTAATTTGCCAAATACATCTCATTGTTCATATTTTAATTATACATATACAGTGTATGTTTTTTCCTTACATAAATACTTTCACGTGGATTTGGAGGTACTGTATTAATTATTAATATTCAGTGAAAGTTATATGTATTTGTAAAGTGGAGGGGAACGGAAGGGAAGGGAAGGGAAGGGAAGGGAAGACAAGTAGTGTATTGTCTCAAGGAAGATGTTAAATATATTGAGGTAGACAATTTATAACTATTTTCCACATTGGTACATCCGTATACTTGTATTGCTTTGATATTTGTTCCATGTGGACATTTTTTTTTTTTCGTTAGGATGCAGGAATGGCTGGGATTTACTAAAGAATGCTTTTAGTGGAAAATATGCTTGTTTATTCTTGTGATCTCTATTTGGTTTACCTCCAAAATTTAGTTCAATGATAGGTTAGCCAGACTAAATTAACAAGTGGGTTAAGGGATACTTTTTTTTTTTTTTACTCATGTTATCAAATTTAAATGTCCCCCTGAAGGTTATGATGAGCACAGAGCACTTCATGGCCACTGACATAGAGTGGGACCCCACGGGCCGATATGTTGCATCTTGTGTGTCTTGGTGGGGACACAAGGTAGGTTAATGTTCCATATTTATGAGACTTTAAAAATATGTGTATATTTTTATATTGAACTATAATATTGTGGTCTTCTAAGTACAAAGTTGGTTGGAAAATATTATACTCAATAGTGTAGTTCATGTCTCGATTTGCAGTCTGTGTTACTTGTACTTATTTGGTGTGTTTTATAATTAACTCATTATGAAAAACAGGTGGACAATGCATACTGGTTGTGGTCTTTCCAAGGCAAAATTTTGAAACGGCAAACTGTGGACAAGTTTTGCCAGCTGTTGTGGAGACCAAGACCGCCACCTCTTCTTACAACGCAAGATATAAAGGTACCATACATAGCAATTGTTACCTCTTACTTAAAATTATTGCTGTATGTGTGATTTTTCTTAATTACATTACAGTATTTGACATGTTTTCCCACCTTATTCTAAGTCCTTGTTCTACTCATCCATCTCATGAACACTTCAATAATATTTCTTCTTTGTATGCATATCTTTTAGTTTTTTCTTGTAATTTCCTTTCCCCTTCACTATACAAGTAGATGCATCTGCAATGTCATTTGGTCCCTCTTTCTGTCCCATTATTATTTCATGGTAATATATTTTTAATTATTTTTAATTGCCTACTAGGAGAGTTAGAACAGAAGGATAGCTTTTTTTCCCTTGATATAGATAATAGAGATAATGGCTAAATTTCTGAGTGATGGTGGATTACACTGATTATATTTTAGGGAGATGTATATACTCATAGTAATGTACCTTGTGTTTGCAGGATATTAAGAAGAACATGAAGAAATATGCAGCCAGCTTTGAGGTACAAGATAAAATGAGATACAGCAAGGCCAGTCGTGAAATTATTGAAAAACGTCAAAAACAGATGCTTACTTTCACTGAATACCGACAGAAGATGATAGAGAAGTTTGAAGAAGATAAAGATACACGGCTTGCTCTTCGTGACGGTGAGTCATTTCTACAAAATATTTTAGAATTAATTCTGGGCACGAGTTAAACTATAAACATGTATTTTGTGTTTTTGTATTGTGTTTGTTTGTATTATTTGTAAACATGTGTTTTTGTATTGTGTCCTTGTGAGTTAGAGGCCATCTCTTCCATTTCAGATATCTGTTGCAACACTAAAAATTTCTTATAATACTGTCATTGCTATATTTCAAGCTGTGGATTAAGCTGTCCGTCCAAGTGGGTGGGCACTTTCCCCTTCGGTTTTATCTCAAATTCTTACCTTCACATCCCTTCTAAGTGCTATATAGTCATTATGACTTAGAGCTCTCTCCTCATAATTACTTCAGTTTATACCAAGTGTTTACTATTCGTACATTGAAAATATAAATGCTTTACCTCTCCACCTATGTCCTAGTTCTACTTTTTCATTTAGATGTCTCTCCACTTTCTCTGTATCTTGCACATTGTGACCATTAAGTTTCTTTCTAGTGTTTGGAGATTTAAATAGTAGATGTATATTGTAATATTTCATAGCACAAAATACATGCTAGAGTTAAACTTTCCTCTAAAGAAGTTGGTGGGCTTTTGCAGGCAGGTATGTGTAACATCTCTAAATCATTGAAATGTATACAAAAAATATGTACACATAAATAACATTAATGTGATGTTTCAATGAGAAAATCATTAGAGGCCATGAGGAGGATTTGAACCTGCACATGGTTACTCCCAAGCACACCTTAGACTATTTAGAGCCTATCCATATAAAAAGGGGGAGTGGCACGAAGCCCTAAACTACAGGCCGGTGTCCTTAACGTTTATACCATGCAAAGGGATTTTTTTTTTAATTATTATTATTATTAGGTGGGCATTCTATGCTGGTTCAGCCTCCTCCAGTACTAGTCCAACATAAGAGTAGTGTGTATTTTAAGATAGATTCTGTAAGGCTGCATCAGCTGCTAATCTAGCATTCGCTTCTGGTATGATCCACTCTTAGGGCAGTTTCTCTAGCAAAGCATTTAGTTGCTTCTTTGTGTATTTTGTTTTTTCTCCCCTTTTCCATTTTCATAACTGCATTTATTAGGGTTGAATGTTAACAGCCATTTGTCAGTATTCCTCCAGGCTGTTTAGGTCCTGCAATATTTTGCAGTACTCGCATGCTTTTACTCATATTAACTTAGTAAACAAATCAAATGAAGTGGGTTCGTATATCAAGAGAAACTTTTCTGACCAAAACTTTTTAAACTACAAATGAGGTTATGGAGGTATTAGAATCAAAGCAGAGAACGAGAGCTTCATTATTATTCTTAATATATAAACCTCAAGATGCAACAGTTGAGAAATTCACAACAGATTTAATAAAATTTTCTCAGTTATTTTGAAAATTTGGTTACAGATATTATCTTGGAGACTTGACTACTCAGTTTAAGATAGATTATAAATACAATAACATAACATATAATCAATCTGGAAATTGCCAAACACAAACCAGATTGCCTTAGATTTGATTTTTTCTTAATCAGCCATTAACACAATTAAGAGTGCTGTATTTAGAAAGGAAAATACTCCAGATTCCATTTACAGTGTCAATGAACCAATAATCAGGGACAATATATACAAATGCCAGTACTATGCATTCAGATCACAAGCTCATGGAAGACCAATCAAAAAGTAATAGACATGTCAACAAATTAAATGACACACATGAAGTGCTTCTCGGTAAATACATTTTTAACAAAGAGGATTGGGAAAATAAAGGTTGTTTTTCAACTGAGTGTGTAGTTCTAAGTGCCAAAACTCAGAGAATACAAAAACACTGCAGCAGCAGGAAAAGAATAACTGAAATACTCAAGTGAGATTTTTTTCTCTGGAAAAGTAGCTGGTGAAAGATGAATACGGTATACCAGTAAATACTGTTAGAGAGGAAGATAGGAGAGAATGAGATGGAGAATTGTAGAGTGGGTGAAGTTCACTACACTAAGTGGTTTGGACATGTAAGTAGGATGCCTGAGAATTATGTAGTGACTATAATGTATAAGGGTGAAAGAATAGAACACTGTAAAAGAAAGGATAAGAGTTAAATTGCATGAAAGAATGAAAGGGTTGTGTGGTGATAGCCTCCTTGGAGAATCTTCTGCTGTGGGCCACCCCGTAATATGGAGATCAAATATTATGTGGATTTTACATATGCATGTATGTATGTATTTACATGCACATTCAGTTGATTTTTTTTTTTACAAGTAATTCTGCATTTCTACTTTATTTTTTCTTCTTCACAGGACAAGACACTGACACACTAACTTCAAATGAAAATGACTTCGAGGAAGAAACTGTAGAGTTCTTAGTCAAGAAGGAAACGGTTGTAATTGACGAGTAATCCCCAGGAGTCTTAAGTCCCTTGGCTATCTTTGGTGTGGCCTCGACGATTGGTGGTGGTGGTAACGGAACCTGAAAAAGATCGAAGGACGTTGTCACAATTTGTTAAATAACTTTCTGCACATTGGTGCCTGACTAAGGGTAAAAAGACTACACAGGGATCTGAGTGTTCCACAAAGAGTTCATCTAGTGTGAGGACATTATAACCAGTTTGCAATATCTGATATTGTTTTTAGTGACACCTGTTACTGTTCATAAGGTACATGCATCAGTGACATTGCCATAGCTTTTATATAAAAGGACTTTAACCATGTCATTTTGGGCTTTTTGGTGTGTCTTACTGACTACTTTATTGTATTACAGTGGGTTATTTCATATCCCATTCAGGAAAAATATTGGCTTGGTTATTAAATTATGTATGAATATTTTTGTATCATTTTACATTTTATATTGATGCTTCTATGTTGATGAAAATTGAAATCTAGTTTATTGAGGTAAAATACACACGAAGGGATGAGGTAGCTCAAGCTATTCTCACCCCGTTCAGTACAACGTGTTCATACATATATAGACACACATCACAAACAATAAACATATTGCTGAACATTCTGAGAGATAAACATGAACAATTCCTCCTTTACACAAGTATATGGTATCAGACGTACACACAAATACTTTTATGACTTGGGTATACTGTATAGACAATTTGCAAGAGACATGCAGATCATTCAACAAAAGATTAGTCTTGGTGCAAAATTCTTATATCTCTCCAGAATATCATCAACCTTTCTGTTGACACATCCAGGCTATTTGTTCAGGAACAGTCCTTATCTCAGTGTTTCTATATACATTAATCAACGGACAATCAAGAATATAATTTCAAGGTTGAGAGACATTTTGATGAAAATGTGTTCTTTAAACAGCACATATGTGTGTGGTGTTGTATTGGACATACTGTACTGGACGAATTAATGGCTAGTGTATTGTGAGAATGTTTTAAGATATAAGGTAAACAGATTGTGAATGCTTATTGAAAAAATAACATAGTTCAGCTAAGGCTTAAGAGAGGTAAATAATAAATCTGAAAATTTAATACAAAAAACTATTACTGTACAGTATTTAAATACATTTGACAATTTTTTTTTTAATTACTGTATTGGACTTAAACAATTGAGGCCAGACACTTGGGGCAAGCCTAACTAAACTTTGCAGGGTGACAGGTGGTCGTTTGGGGATGGTCATATGTGGGTCAGGGTCGAACTGCAAGTCCTCTCTTTGCATGAAATGGCAAATGATACCAATTTCCAATCTTGATAAATGCCAAATTCCATCCTCATTAAGATTCATCCAGCATATTATTTTCTACGTGATTAAATGTTAGTTTGTCTTGTCGTTTGTTTACTGAAGACAATGATGTGTTATTGTGGCAAATGTGAAGAAAAGGAAAAGTGAAGGAGAGGGAAGGTTAGAGTGATGATGGTTGCAGATGGAGTACCAGGTTTTGCGTGAGAAGTGATAACGTATTGTAGTGGAAATGGATACATAGGTGATGGTTGTGCAGTAAACGTGGTTAGTGATGAATAGTGAAGATGTGGACTCTTATTACCCAAGCAACACCGTGTGTTGCTTGGTGTTTACTGTATGTGTGTGTGTGTGTGTGTGTAAAGTAAGAGATTCTGTAACAGCCAAATATTCTATATGGTTCCAGTAACAGGGACTAGCCAAACCCCATTATAACCATTTAATTTATAATAATTTAAACTTGAAAGAACAGTGGAAATCATTTTAATTTAAAGGATTTTTTTTAATACCCCCAAATAATAAATGCATGTTACACACGCCCTTTAGTGACGTTGATGTCATTTAATAATAGAAAAAATAACATTGCCTATTAAGTTTTTAAATTCAAATTAATTACAAATTACTTATAAGGTAATAGCTGCTAACAGGGTGGGGGCAGCCGACGTAGGGTAAGGGGTGGTTGAGATGGTGAGAAGTCTCAATACAAGGTCCCAGGTGTGGTCTTTCAGTTTCTTAATTTGTTACATTTCTCAAGTCTTCTTGAGAGGTCTGCTTACCCATCCTCAGTGTCCAAATATCAAGCAAAGTACATCATGCTTGGATCTACAGTAATTACAAAATACATTTTTAATCCGTACAGAATTCTTAAAAATATCAAGTCAACTTTTACTTGGGTGCTAATAGCTTCTTAATTTTAGATAAGAATTTAGTAAGAGGGCCTGGTCAGAGACTTGGTTGAGAAACTAGTGATTCTGGAACGACTTTTAACTAGGTCAGTTATTTCCATACTAAGGTTGTATTCTAATTGGGTATTATTATATCAGTGTACGGTGCTACAGTCTCCTTGGCTTGGTGCCTTTTGACAATTACTGTACTTATATTGTTCTTTTGGGTTGGTCAGCTATCACTGCTGGGCCAGTTAAGTATGGCAGTATCCTCAGGTGTTGACGTTCTAAAGAGAGCATTATCCTAGTCTGTTACCTGCATATGCCAATCAAAAACTATTTTAATCTAGACAATTTTAGTTGTGGAGACGAGTTTAATGTAGATATGGATGGGTATAAATTAAAGTACTTTGGCCTAGCACGCTACTTTTTTTAGTTATTCAGTGCTGCTTACAGATTATACAGTATACTGTACATGTATGCATACAAATGAATTTTTTTTAGACTTCATTAAATATTTGTTCATTCTGATCTTATAAAGTGTACTTTTTTATGGCAATAATTATGTACCTAATTTAAATAGACAACATTATTTTTCGTTTCTTTAGGACTACGCTGAAACTATATCTTAATCAGATACTGCAATTTTATCAGGAGCCATAGTATCTTGGCCAGAGCTTATTTTCTCACCAGGTGACATTCTCTTTAATTGGTTCACAAAATAAAGATGATGTAATCGACGTCATTGCACTGGTAGTAAGGTGGGGGAGAATGCAGCAGGAGGTGCGCATGACTCGCCAGGATGAAGCTGGCAGATTACACAGCCTCTTGCAGTTAAGCCAGCCAGTTCGCTCTACCGAAGGTGCTGTTGGCCATGGTAAGGTCTGTTCTACAGTTCATGGTATGAAATGTCTTTATTTCCCCAGAGCTCTGAGAGCTGCCTTGATTCCAGTGCTTGCACAATTTTGTTTAATTTAGGTTACCAAATACGTATGATGGAGCAATGATTTACTTCTCCCATCGCCCTCAGGGGATAAGGCATCGGTGTGCAAATCGCCTGCTCCACCAATTGTGTATGGAAGCTAATGGACACTTTGAGACCTTTGACAATCATTTGCCATCTTGGAAACAACCTGAAACAACAACCTTAGTTTCCTTTCTGGGCCTTAGTAAAGTGATGGGCACCAAGTTTGGTGCATCACCGCCTATTTGATACCATGCAAAATTTCAAGGACTTTAATGGATCTGGAAAATCTTGGTGGTGATGAATCTATTACAAATTGTTAACTTTAAAATTATCCCTCAATGTTCAACTTTCTTCACCAAACTAAACTAACTTTGGTCACTATGACCAAACTAAAATGAATGTATTTTTTATATTTTTCCCAACATCAGTAAGCAATGTTTTTCTATTTTAAATTTTTCTGATCAAAGGGAAATTGACCTAACTTTAGATAGGCATTTAATGAGTTGAGGCTTGACTTTGTGAACGAGAATCTGCTGCAAAGAAATTTTGCAGTGGCCAAACCCTTGAGATAAATTATTCTTTCAGTGTAACAAGTCTTGCATAAAAGTATGTCCCTCTGAAAGACAGTAACTGTTCATTCCAAAACTGCCAACAAAGCGTCTTGAGTAAATTGACTTGTTCGGCAGAGCTTTCTATTTAATCGCCATCGAATGCAAAATTCTAACTTAGTTTTTGACAGGAACATCATAGCCCAAATTGGAAGTCATCTGGAGTCTAGCTCACTAGGGCAGTGATTCGCAACTGTATTACCTTGGCAGAATCCCCCTAAAATATCTGAGGAACCCTACCAATGTAACCATACCTGTATATCAATAGTTTGTTTATACGTTTGCTGGGGTTAATAGCAATGTTTTCTGGGGCTGTAGCCTATTTCCAAGCTAATTTTAGAATAAGTAGAGCATTTTAAACAACAGTGATGACAACCTGGATAGAATAATGTCTTGCATACGTATTTACTGTTCCAATATTGACAAGAATTATACATGCATATAAAACTGCCAACGAGAACTGGAATATAGAATTGTATAGAGAGTACAAAAAAATGGTTATATAGTTTATTTTAAGGAGATTCAACAAATTGGTAAGTACAATAGACCCATTCTGAGGTGGAGACTTTCAGGGCGGCTGGTGGATGAGAGTTGTGGGTGTGGTGGTGGTCCTGGTGCAGAGGCCGTCACCCAGCACTACTCTGGACGTCACTTGGGCTCGGCCTCCTGCAGGTCAGCAGCAACAGGAAGAGGATGTGGTGGGTCTCCTGAGCGAGGTGGCTAGCGGGCGCCTCACTGTCTGCCACACTATCATCCTCACACCAACCATCGCTTCACCTCGCCTCCACAACGTCATTCTTGCAGTAAGCGTTGTAATACACAGCTAGTGATAGGTTTATATTACAATGTTTTGGTAATAGTGAGTTGGGATTCACCAATACTCTTGTAACTAGAAACCAATACAGTACTATTAGTTCCTAGTTATAAGTTGTGTGGATGGTGCGCCGGTGGGAAAAGCCTAATGGTGTGAAATATTTAAAATATATAATAGTTTACCTTTGAGAAAAGGGCGGGACTTGAAAAATACTCTGAAGCTGTGGTAGAATCCTCTGTTTTTTGTTACTGTGAGCATATTAGGATATAAAATTTATGTTAATTTCGCCAAGATCAGCGTATAATTTTTCTTATTACTGTAAAAAAAAAGTTTTTTGAGATTTTTATTTGTCAAATATTTACCTAAAGGGCAGTGCCAAATCAGCCACGGGATGATCAATGTGACTATGGTACTCTCTCTCAGTTTGAAATATGTTTACCCCTGTATAGAAATATGTATAGGGCGCCTAACAGCTGGGTGGACAGCGCTTCGGATTCGTAGTCCTGAGGTTCCGGGTTCGATCCCCGGTGGGGCGGAGACAAATGGGCAAAATGTTTCTTTCACCCTGATGTCCCTGTTACCTAGCAGTATATAGCAGTAAATAGGTACCTGGAAGTTAGACAGCTGCTACGGGCTACTTCCTGGGGGTGTGTGTGTAACAAAAAGGAGGCCTGATCGAGGACCGGGCCGCGGGGACGCTAAGTCCCGAAATTATCTCAAGATAACCCTGACCAACTTATGTCTGTTTCTCTGCCATAATAACTTCTGATGATTGAAAGGCCTTTCATCCAACTCCAAACCTTTACGTCAATTCAGTGTTCCTCCGGCAGCTGCAGCACATCTTGACCAACACCTTCCTGACCTACGATGTGGAGGCCTTCCTGGAGAACACCTCGCCGCCGCGACAGATCGTCCGTCACCGCCCACCACTGTCTGACGGCACCTACTGCGTCACCTATTTCATCCTGGCTCCGCTCACCCTCCTCCCTCTCGCTCTCACCGCCATACCTAAGACAAGTAAACGTCCATTTGGATTAAACATTTTAACATTTCTTGAATGCCAGTGTTTATTATTTTCGCGTTAAATTCACAGCGAGTTGAGTTTACATTGGGTAATACCTATATCAGGGAAGTGTAAACTCAAGAAAATTATTTCCCAGGATAAGCTGGGCAGTATAATTGTATTAATTATTATGTTATCCGGCAATTTGTTCCTTAAATCAACAACCATGTTTAAAGACCTGCTTGTCAAGGTTGGAAATTAAGCTTTTAAAATCTTATTCATACGGAAGGTTTCTAAGTTTTGGAATTAACTTTGTCATCCTTTTCTGTGCACATTAAAGTGAAAGGATATTTAAGTACGGCGCCCAAAACTGAACTGCATAATCTAAATGAGGCCTAAGAAGGGAGGATAAAGTTGATAAAGCATGTTTGATGCTGAGTACGCCTACACATAGTAAGGGTTGATGTATTTATGTAGCTAATGTGTACTTTTGTCCTAAAGATGTTTTCAAATCAAGACAAGCCAAAATTTACCTGATTAAAAAAGCCTTTAAAACGGAAAAAAATATTATACGCTGTTTGCCCAGTTTTTCCCTGGGTATAGCTTTATACTTGAGATATCTTTGAGCATTCATATATTCCCATACAGTTTAATACACACAATAACACACTCAAATGCTCCTGTTGCCGAGTTAATAGTTTAATATGGTTTTTCTCCTCCCGCTCTCTTACCAACTCTTCTCCGTCATCATGGTGGGCAGACTGGTTTCCGGGTGCTACGAGGTACTTCGTGTGCTACACAGGAAGGAGTTTAGCTATAAGGACCCTGCAGGAAGATCCGTTTCTTCTCGCGTCCTACAACACCCTCTACGTGAGCCACAATGAACATCATGATCCCAAGAACACCAGGTCCTGGGCTCTTGACCTCTTCTGTACGTTGCCTTATCTAAAGTATGTCTGTCTGTCTCTGACTGACTGACTGACTGACTGACTGACTGACTGACTGACTGACTGACTGACTGACTGACTGACTGACTGACTGACTGACTGACTGACTGACTGACTGACTGACGGACGGACGGACGGACGGATTGACGGACGGACGGACGGACGGACTGACTGACTGACTGACTGACTGACTGACTGACTGACTGACTGACTGACTGACTGACTGACTGACTGACTGACTGACTGACTGACTGACTGACTGACTGACTGACTGACTGACTGACTGACTGACTGACTGACTGACTGACTGACTGACTGACTGACTGACTGACTGACTGACTGACTGACTGACTGACTGACTGACTGACTGACTGACTGACTGACTGACTGACTGACTGACTGACTGACTGACTGACTGACTGACTGACCTGACTGACTGACTGACTGACTGACTGACTGACTGACTGACTGACTGACTGACTGACTGACTGACTGACTGACTGACTGACTGACTGACTGACTGACTGACTGACTGACTGACTGACTGACTGACTGACTGACTGACTGACTGACTGACTGACTGACTGACTGACTGACTGACTGACTGACTGACTGACTGACTGACAACACTGACTGACTGACTGACTGACTGACAACACTGACTGACTGACTGACTGACTGACAACACTGACGAGTTGTAATTTTTTTTAGTAATTTAAAGGGGTTTAGTAATTGTTACAATATACATTTAATGAGGCTGCTAATACGCAAAGCATTTTGGACATAAGTCTTCAACTGAAGAGGGTGCCGGTGAGCACCACATCTGAAGAGTTCGCCATTTGTGTTCATATTAGGAACTTATAGATCATGTAAAGGAATTAAGACATCTTGAAACCATAGCATTCCTAGCAGTCACTCTTTATTGTACTTCTTGCAGCTAACTGTCCATTTTGTCGAGGCGGGGAGCCCGAAGTCATCCATCGCAACCGGTGGAGTCCTAGACGTGGCCTTCAGGAACGTTCTGACCTCTTCCCTGACCTCTTCACGGACTTTAACGGCCACATCTTCAGGTGGGTAGGTGGTGAGAGGTGGCCATGGTAATGATACAGATAATACTGACGATGTTGTGAGTATAGTTCCAACAGTTGCTGTTTGTAAAGGCTTCCATGGCATTTTTATGAATTTTAACACACCAAGCATTTTAGAGAATTGATAAACAAAGGGTATGTCTTTAATGACTAGATATCTGAAGTATATACATTTTAACAGGCGTGCAAAGTGTCTGAAATGTAGTAATATTTTCTCTGAACATTCCTTGAAAAAATGGGGTTAAACAATGAACTCTGTTTAGTCCTTTATTATTTCTTGTCTTTCTTGATTCACTGTTGCAAGAGTAAAGATAGATGGTCCACTGAAGTGCTGACTGTCACATACTAATGTTTTATTGCTTTGCTTATAATTTTCTTCTATTAATAGCAGCCAAAGATGGTCCTGACACATCTATAAAATGATGTAAATATAATCTCACGTTCAATCCTAGTTCATGTAATTTGCTTATTTTTAACTCAATGAACTCGTATTGTCCAACTTTTCAACTCATGCTACTAGGTAGTCCTGTACATGGCATTTGGATCACATTATATCCTGCAAGTGCCAACTCGCCAGTGTTACAGTGCCATCAGAAACCTGAAAGTTTAAGCAAATATTATACTGAGTTTGGTCATCTTGACGCCTACTCGTAAGAATTGTTACTTTATATTCGGTGTCTCAGTTTGTGTTGCTGTGGATTACGAGACCTGAGAAATTGTGTCCATAGTAAGATCAACTGGAGGAAATGCTCGAGGTGTATCTTAGGTGTCCATACTCGCACTCATTGCTACCCAGCGGGCACACCATCCAAATATAACGTTAATTCGCCGTTCAGTTGACGTTGATTCAATGTTGAATTAACGTCACTCTTGGATAGCGAGCCTATGGGTGCTAGCTACCTGGCCTGATGTTCACATCTACCCTTGGAAAAATAACTCACAGACGAATGATCTGTTTTGATTTTTTCAGGTATTGCCATTATTACAGGCCACTATATCTTTGGTATAGATGGTTCAATTATTATAAGGAAGTACAGCTTGAGGACTTATGTACAGATTGGTGTGACGGTTATATAGGACAGAAGAGAACAATTAGTCATCAGGGGAAATAAAGCTTTAGAAATGTACACTTTAAGTGCTATACTTATACTGGTTTAGCATTTCCTCCACATAATTATCTTATCTTGGGTCTAATCAGTATCTGCCACGATAGTTTAGATGAGTTATTCTAGGATCATACGCTTATAGCTAATCAAAGGCACGCAAATTAAACGCCTGTAAAAATCACTCAAAATCGTGAGGAAAAGCTGGGGAAAGCAGCAGGAATGCCCCCTATGAATGCTTGATATTATTAAGAAATTACCGTTATAAGGAAATGGCTTACCAACTAACACTGTAAATGTTGTCTAAGTCAGATCCTGTTACAGGAGGTGTGGGCTCGGTGACTGATCTGGGCTTTCCCCTAAACTGCTGATGACGTAGTCGTTAACATTATGTAGGCTAACTGTGGCTCTGAGAAGGGGCTCTCTTACATAATTTATGTAAATCAACTCATCAGAATTTAAGCTATATGTTTTGTCTACTGTTACAAACAACATGTTATTGGAATTTTGAAACTTGAAACATATGGCTATAGAATTTATGAATTCTGTCAGAACTGTAACGGTTTGCATAATGAGTTACGAATAAACTTTCTGATCAAGGTTATCCTAATGATGTTGATGATACTGATGGCAATATAATTGATGATGAAAGTATAGATAGATGATAATGATAGTGCAAATATCGGCAACAACTGCGATAGCGAATATACTATATATAATCATCTTCCCAATGATGACGATTATCTCTGTTTATAGCTTTTCTCCTTCTAGTGATCCCTTCCTGCCCCTATAATTTCCTCATTCTCTCCTACCTGTCCATAGGGCGGTGACCCTCAACTTCCCTCCCTTCAGCCACTACTCCGCTGGAAACTCCACCTACCCTCTCGTCATGGAGGATTGCCTCGATAAACGGATTGTTGACACTATAGCCAAGATCCACAACTTTACCTACCTGGTCAGTGCTATTATTATTATTATTATTATTCACACTATATCTTTTGGAGGTTTGGAAATTACTCAAGAAAGCCTCAACTGATTTTTTAAAATTTAATAGTGTACTCGTAAGTGCTTAAGTATTGTCGTAATAGGCAGCTGACTTGTCACTGTTCGGTGTGGCTTTGTCTTAATGACACTGGACGCTAATTTTGCTTCGATGTCAGTGGTAGCCTGATTCATGACAATATCCTCCCACCAAAATGTTCCTAGAAATGTACAGCTGTCAGGTTTTAGTACCAGCATATATACTGAGGAGTCAGATCCTAGTACAGTACAAAGAATTTACAGTGTAGTCAGATGCTAACACAGTACAAAGAATATACTGAGTAGTCAGATGCGTGTCATGGATTATACTAAGTAATCAGATCTTGTACCAAGGAATATACTGAGTAAATTAAATAATTTTGTTAAAGCCATTTGTTGTCTAAATTCTGGACGTTTCATGAGTTCTTTATGTAAAGCAGTGTACGTTTTACGGACCCACGAATAATAATTTTTTTTTACGAATTAAAAGTTTAATTTAAATTGGGATATATTTGGTTTACATCAGTGGCTGAACAATGCTTGAAACTGTCTTAAACTTGGTGAACCTTTTGATCCTATAATGCCCTTAGATTAGTGCTTTGTTATTTCTTGTAGTAGTTCAAAGTGTCAGTATTCTCAGATCATTATTAGTGGTTATCATAATATTAATCTTTGAGTTGCAAATCTGGTATATCGTCAATATCTGGCTCTGGGAGTCTATAATTTTATATTTCTTGGGATCTTTGTGCTTGGTGGCAACCTTAGTTATGTTTCATCTCATGGTAACTATAGAGTTAATTTCTCATCAGTATCTAAACAAAATGATATTGGGACAGGAATATTATATGCAATGTATTTTGAAATGAAAATATAATTTCTTTAGTACAGTAATTTTAAAGTGAGAGAAGCGGGATACATTTATAACAGAACGAACTTCTAGAGTGAAATGGAATGGCGGCGGCTGGTGGTGGCCGCGTCCGCCGTGTGAATACTGCTCGGCTGGAGTTCTCTGCACCGGTGGATTGGGAACTAGTGGCGGCTGCGCTTTTGGATGTCCTTCAGGTGGATGTTAAAGATCTCCTTGGTCTCGAGAAATTTTCTCCCACTCGCGTGGCGGTGACGTTTGCCACGTCACCTGGATACGAGCGGTTTGTGGGGTGTTGGAACGAGCGGACGACTCCCCTTCCTCATTCGGCTGTGTCTGTGACTGTCTCTGATCCGTGGGGTCCACTGACCTTTGTGAGCGTGCACGGGGTACCTGTTACGTTTCCAGAGGTGGAGCTTTCTTCTGTGTTTACGAGGTATGGTATGGTGTTGCGTCATCGGTACAACTTGTTTAGTGCCGGGCGGCTGCGGGGCCTCCGGCTGGGTACTCGCACGCTGCATATGCGCCTCAAGGAGCCCATCCCCTCCAAGGTTATGTGCTGTGGTCTTCCGTTCCGGGTTTTCTATCCAGGGCAGGCCCGCACGTGCTTCCGCTGTGGGGAGGAGGGCCATGACGCTGCCCAGTGTGAGATTCCTCGACTGGAGACTGCTTCTGTATTCAGTGTGGGGGATTTTCCCCCCCTCCGTGAGGATGGTGCATCCCTGGCTGGTCCTCGGCGTGGGGGTGTGAATGGTGGGGCACCTGTGACTGTTGTGCCTGGTGGTGCACCTGCGACTGTTGTGCCTGGTGGTGCACCTGCGACTGGTGTGCCTGGTGGTGCACCTGCGACTGTTGTGCCTGGTGGTGCACCTGCGACTGCTGTGCCTGGTGGTGCACCTGCGACTGCTGTGCCTGGTGGTGCACCTGCGACTGCTGTGCCTGGTGGTGCACCTGCGACTGCTGTGCCTGGTGGTGCACCTGCGTCTGCTGTGCCTGGTGGTGCACCTGCGTCGGCTGTGCCTGGTGGTGCACTTGCGACTGCTGTGCCTGGTGGTGCACCTGCGACTGCTGTGCCTGGTGGTGCACCTGCGACTGCTGTACCTGGTGGTGCACCTGCGCCTGTTGTGCCTGGTGGTGCACCTGCGACTGCTGTGCCTGGTGGTGCACCTGCGACTGCTGTGCCTGGTGGTGCACCTGCGACTGCTGTGCCTGGTGGTGCACCTGCGACTGCTGTGCCTGGTGGTGCACCTGCGACTGTTGTGCCTGGTGGTGCACCTGCGACTGATGTGCCTGCTGGTTCGTCTGTGCCTATCGTGTCTTCTGTGCCAGCTGTGGTGGAGGACGTGGCTGCTCCTGATTCCCGTCTTCTCCTTCCGGTGGATGTGGAGGTGCATCCTGTTCCTGGTGCTTCATTGGTGCATGGGCGAGGTGTTGGGAGTGTCGTCTCGGTGCCTCCCGTTGTAGGCGATGCTTTCACTGAGGGTGATGGGAGCGTCGTCGTTGGTGCCGGCGTTCCTGTTGCATGCATTGCGAGTCCGCCTTCTGCTCCCCCTGCGGGTGCGTGCCATGAGGGGGCGTTGACCTCCCATGCTCCTCGCCGGAAGCGCGTTGCGGGGGCGCGCTCACGCAGTCGAGAGCCCCCTGGCAAACGGATTGAGGCTTCGCGGAGTTGTGCCTTGGGTGGTGCCCCCCCTCCTCCTCCTAATTCTCCTGTGTCTGATATGGATTCCGGAAGTGATGCAGTGCCGGTTGGCAGCAAGAATTCCTCGTCGGTGGTGGACGTTGGTGTTACCTGGTCAGTGGCAGCGGGGTCTCGGCGTGCTTCGCTGGGTGATGCCGGCACTGTCCGCCTCCTGCGGGATCAGAGGCCAGGCATTATGGTGGATTCCCCGACGGTGGAACGGCGGCAGTTTGAGCCTCAGGATGCTGACGGCGCCTCTGCAGTGGGTAGCTCTGTGCCCTCTGGTGGTCCTGGAGAGGCTGGGGGTCATTAATAGGTTCGATGGCGCCTGCTATTGTTTGTGCGTCTTTGAATGTTCGTGGTCTGAATGCTTTGGCGGTCCAATTGGGCCTTGTGGATGTGCTTCGGGAGCAGCGGGTGGATGTGGCTCTGATCCAAGAGCACAATGTTCGGGATGTGTCTGTGTTGCAGGGGTTGTGTGCTGAGTATCATGTTGTGCTGAACCCGCCGAGGACGTCCTTTGGGGGAACGCTGATGTTGTTTTCGCGGAGGGCATCCATTTCCGTGCTTCACACGGAAATGGATGAAGATGGGCGGGTCTTGTTTGTTCGGGCTGAGTATTTGGGGGTTGTGATTCCGTTCTTGACAGTGTACGCCCCTTCTGGGGTGGCGCATCGTCAGGACCGGGAGCTGTTTTTTCGGGAGGGGCTTTTGCCCTACCTGCGGCATGATACGCGGGATTTGATTTTTGGGGGGGATTTTAATTGTGTTACGAGTGTGAGGGATTGCTCTAGTGCTCACCCTCGGAATGTTTCGGCCGCTTTAATTGAGGTTTTGCGTGCGTGCGGGTTTCGCGATGCGGCTGTTTTGTGTGGCGGCTCGTTGGAGTATACCTTCGCTGCGCGTGGGGCGAGTTCTAGGTTGGATAGGTTCTATGTTTCTGGTGGGGAGTGTTCGGTTTTTGATTTTCGCACGGTCCCGGTGGCTTTCTCGGATCATTGTATGGTGGTTGTACGGGTTGGTGTCCGGAGTCAGGTGCGGGTGGGGCCTGGGTGGTGGAAACTCAATTGTCGGTTATTGCGTTGTCCACGTATTTGTGCGCAGTTTCGGGCCTGGTGGGTTGGCATCGTTGCCCGGAAGGCTGATTTCTCCTCTTTGTTCGTTTGGTGGGAGTGGTGTAAGGTGGAGTGTCGGAGGTTTTTTGGGATTGTTGCTAAGCGGGAGGCTGCCGGGAGGTTTGGTCTGCTGCGGTTCCTTCAGGCGCGTTTGTCTTCTTTATATGTGCGGTTGAATGCTGGGGTTGACTGCTTTAGTGAGATTGCTGAGTGTAAGGAGCGTATTTGTGATTTGCGTGCGGTGTTGGCTGACGGTGTTCGCGTGCGTGCTCGTGTAGCTGAGCGGGTGGATGGGGAGAGGCTCTCTCCCTTTCTTTTAGGGAGGGAGAAGGCTGCTAGGGGTTCCGTTCTTCTCCAGGGCCTTCGGCGGCCTGATGGGTCTGTGCTTTCTAGCACAGAGGGTGTTCTGCTTACCGCACGGCGGGAGTTGGAGGCCCTCTATGGGGAGGTGCATGGTGATAGTGTGCTCGCGGGTTCCTTTTTGGACAGGTGCTTCCCCGGTTTGTCGCGCTCGGAGTGTGCCCGGTTGGTGCAGGATGTTTCCACGGTGGAGCTCCTGGAGGTGGTTCGGTCGTTTCGTTCTGGGAGAGTGCCGGGTGCGGATGGCCTGCCCATTGAGTTCTACCTTACCTTTTGGGATGTGCTGGGGGGGGTGCTTTTGGAAGTGGTGCAGGCGTGTTTGCGTTTGGGTGCTCTGCCTGATTCCTTCTGTGACGGGATCGTGCGGCTACTCCCGAAGCCGGGCGATTTGCAGTTGTTTTCCAATTGGAGGCCTATTACGCTCTTAAATGTTGATTATAAAATTCTTTCTAAGGTTTTAGCGCGTCGATGTCGGGGTGTCGTTGCGTCGGTGGTCTCTATGGAGCAATTTTGTGGTGTGCCTGGCCGTGCCCTGATGCATTGCAATGCCTTACTTCGTGACGTGCTTCTCTATGCGTCCGAGTATCGGCTTTCGGCGGCTATGATCAGCTTGGACTGGTCCAAGGCCTTTGATCGGGTGTCTTTAGAGTTTGTTTTTAGTGCTATGGAGAGGCTTGGGTTTCCGGTGGTGTTTGTGGGGTGGATCCGTTTGTTGTATGTCCGGAGTCGCAGTCGCGTTTGTGTGAATGGGTTTTTTAGCTCATTTTTTCCTATTTGCCGTTCCGTTCGTCAGGGGTGTCCCATGTCCATGCTTTTGTATGTGATTTTTCAGGAACCTCTTTTTCGGGCGGTGAAAGCGTGTTCCTTGATCGTGCCTCCTTGTCTGCCGTCCGGTCTCCGGCTACCCGTTTGCGGGTATGCTGACGACACCATTCTATTTGTAGCTTCGGAGGGTTCTGTTGAAGCTGTCCAGGACGTTCTCCTGCGGTTTGAGTCCGCTACGGGGGCCGTTCTTAATCGGGCGAAGTCGGGGTTGATGGGGATCGGTGAGTGGGCCTCCCGCCTGGTGTGGGATAGGTCGTGGTTTCCGGTGGTCTCCTCGATTCGGGTTCTTGGGATTACTTGGTTTGCCTCCTATGACCGCTCCTTGGAGTGGAATTGGGGTGCTGTCTCTCGGTCGGTTGGTGTTGCAGTTGGCCTTTTGTCGCGTCGTCCCTTGACGATTTATCAGAGGGGACTGCTTGTTGCGTGTAAGGTCTTGTCGCGTGTCTGGTTTGTGGCTCGATGTTTCCCGTTGGATCGTCGGAAGGCCTTGAGTTTGGAGAGTGTGGTGTATAGATATGTATGGTGTGGGCGTTATCAACCGGTGCGCCGTTCGACGTTGGTGTTAGGGGTGAGAGAGGGGGGTGTTGGCATTCCTGACGTTTTCACGAAGGCCAAGGCCCTCTTCTGGGTCTCGTTGCGTCGGGGGCTGGCTCTCGGTGGGGGGTTGAATACGCTGGGTGTGTTTTTCTGCTCGCTTCGCTTCAGTTTTTTGGTTGATTTGGGGGTTTGTCAGGAGGTGGCCTTGGTTACCCCCCCTGTTTATTCTTGGGCCGTGGGGATTCTTCGGGAGCTCTGCCGCCATCCTGGGTTTCTGTCTTTCTCGTGCAAGGCTGTGTATGGGGTGTTGTTGCCCCGGGTGCGGCCTCGAGTGGAGGGCTTGTTCCCGTGTTGGGATTGGGGTGGTATCTGGTCGTGTTTGGGGGCACGGTTCTTGGCGCCTCAGCAGCGTGAATTGCTGTTTCGGGTTCTGCATTTGTCGCTGGCGACAAATGAGCGGTTGTGTATGCTTGGCTTGCGTGATTCTGGGGCGTGTGTTCACTGTGGTTTATGTGAATCGCAGGTGCATGTATTTTATTTTTGTGTCCGGTTACAGGGGTTGGTGGACTGGTTTCGGGATGTCCTGGAGGTGTTTTGTGGTCCGGGTTGTCGGGGTGATGTTTTGCAGTTTTTGTTTTTGTATTTTCCGGCTTATCCGCAGCGGGTGCGTAATACATTGTGTGTTTTGGTTGCTGATTATGTGTTTTGTGTGTGGGTTGGGAGGCGGGAGGGTTTTGGGATTGCCCGAATTTTAGGATTTTTACGGGGGCGCATGCGGTTTACCTGGTGGTGGTTGCAGCGCGCTTTTCCGGAGGAGTTTGGTCGGTGGTTCACAGATGCCTATGTTCGTGGGGTTGCCTTTGGGTCGGCGGGTGCCTTGGTGGCAAGGTGAGGTTCTCGTCTTGGGTGGGGTTGGGGTGTTGATGGGGGGGGGTTTAGAGGGGTTGGGGGGTTTCGGGGTTTGCTTTGCTATGCGCTCCCTTTCCGCTTCTTGGGGTGTCCTTGGCGGGGGTTGCGTGTGTTTGTGTGTCTCCCCCCTTGAGATGCTGCTGCTCCTGTGTGTGTGTGGTGTGTTTTCCGTACCTCCGGGTGCCGGTTGTGTCCGTATGCGTGTGGGTGTGTGCTTTTGAGGGGGGTTTTGGCTCCTGCGTGGGCCTGGGTTTTTCTGCTGTACTGTTTTCTACTGTTCCTTTTGTGGCCGTGTTTCGCTTTGGCCTGTAACCCTTTATTTTGCGTGCTTGGGTGCAGTGTGGTGTGCCGTGGTGGTGTGGGTGGTATGAGTGTGTTTGTCTTGTTGTTTGGAGTGTGTTTAGTGTGCGTGTACATAATTTCTTCTTATTTAGTGTATATCATTTTCCTGGGTAGCGCGTGTATGATCCTATGCTCCTTTGTTCTTCTGTGTGTGTGGTAGGCGTGGTTTTGTGTACGTGATTCTATATCCACGTCTGTGTATGTTTATGTTATTGGTTCCAGGTGTGTTTCAATGTTATTTATGTACTTTATTGTTAATTTATTTTTCATGTAATTTTCTTGGCCATGTTCTGTGTTGCTATGTAGATATGAACTGTTTAGCCTATTGTTTCCATGTACTGTTTTAGCACTTATTCCCTGTACTGTTTAGCCCAGTGCTTCAATGCGTTTTCATTTTGTTCAGCGCTTGTGTTTGTTTTGCGGTTACTGTTATTGTTTAGTGTACAGACTGTTTATTCCTGTGTACTGTTACTTCATTGGTGTACTTGATGTGTACAGGTTTGCGTTGTTTTGTGTGTTCTTGTAATTTGTGTAATTTATAAAAAATAAAAAAAAAAAAAAAAAAAATTGAAATGATTTCTGTAGTGGGACATGTGATCTTAATAAAGCGGACTGAAGTTGTCTAGTAGGGCCCTTATAGGAGGGAAGACATATCTGTATGTAGTAAAGATATCATAGTTATAGTAAAAAGAACAATCATGAACCGTTGACATAACTAAAACAAAAATACAGTGAGTGCCATCCATATGTACGGGTGACCATCCATGTATGGGGTGACCACCCATGTATGGGAGAGCATGCATACGTGAACGAGAGACACCAACGACTCTACAACAACCTACACAGGTGTTTGAACCAGCAGACGGAAAGTGGGGCTACCAGCTGGACAACGGGAGCTTCACTGGGGTGCTGGGCGAGATACAGACAAACAAGAAAGACTTCTCGCTTGATCTCTCCATCACGGCGGAGAGGGAGGAGGTGATCGACTTCACCATCGGGTACCACTGGGAGCCCCTAACCTTTGTCACCAGCAAGCCAAAGGTGAGCTGTAGATTCTTGGGGTGGGGGGGGGGGGAATGTGTAGGGTCATGGAGTGAATTGTGACGTTATTGTGAGCCGTTGTCCTGGGAGTAAGGTGCAGGATCATGGGGTGAGTTGTGGGGTAATGGGGGATAAACTGTGGGTTCATGGGGGTAAGCTGTGGGTTTATGGGATGAGCTATGTTGTTGTAGGGTGAGCTATGGGGTCATGGGGGGAGTTGTGCGGTTATGGGTTATAACCGACACTGTTTGGTTGTGAAGCAGTCGGGCTGACTGCTGCGCTATGTACAGTACAGACATGACAGATTTACTTGGCAAGAATTACCCTAGCGTGAGGCCCCATAGGCACAAGGCTCAGTTGGTAGCAATTGGTTTAAAATCGGCCCAACTAATTTGTTATTCGGTCACCTATCATAGACCTTTTACATGGCACTATTTCCTTGTACATACGGGTGACACCAGTGCCTTTTCCTGCTCAGGGGAACTACCTCCTTCAGAGTGGCACCACCTCCTTCTGCTCTGTGTCACACAACTCTCTTTCTTCTGAATAGTTCTACCTCTTGTTCTGCATTACACCATAATACAGCTGTTGTCATTATTGTTCCAGCCTCTGCCGCAGTGGTTGGCTCTAGTGCGTCCCTTCCAGAGCTACGTGTGGCTGTGTCTGCTGCTTGTGACGGCTGCTGGCGGACCTGTTCTGTGGCTTCTTCAGCGGCTCTCAGGCAATTCCTTCCCCCTCCCCAGTGCCGTCTTCCTCGTGTTTGCCTCAATGATGGCACAGGTGAGGAAATCAGTTCTTCCGCTGTTTGTTGTACTATATATCCTGTTTTTGTGTGTGTGCTCTAGTATCTACAGTGGGGTATTGTGTGTGCTCTAGTATCTACAGTGGGGTATTGTGTGTACTCTAGTAACTATGTGTGTGTTCTTCTGTGTGCTCTGCTGCAAGGAAGGGGTCGTTTTGTAAGGCGGAAATAAGGTGTGAAATAGTGTTGTAATGGCAGTGAAGAGTTGAATCTATTTGTTTGAAAATGAAAATAGGCGCAGAGAGTCAAAATTCGGCTCAAAAATCTCAAATGGGAGTCAAGTTTCTGACATTTCAGATATTTTGAAAACTGCAGGGGGGTTTGTGCAAAATATGACCCATCGCCGTTTTCAATAATTGGCATATTTTCGGTATAAAAATCGTAATTTGAAAATGAAAATAAGTGCAGAGAGTCAGAATGTAGCTCAAAAGTCACGCCCAGGAGTCAAGTTTCTGACATTTCAGATATTTTGAAAACTGCAGGGGGGTTTGTGCAAAATATGACCCATCGCCGTTTTCAATAATTGGCATATTTTCGGTATAAAAATTTGTAATTTGAAAATTAAAATAGGTGCAGAGAGTCAGAATTCGGCTCAAAAATCACCCTCAGGAGTCAAATTTCCGACTTTTCAGATATTTGGAAACTGCAGGGGGGTTTGGGCAAAATACGACCCATTGTAGTTTTCAGTAATTGACATATTTACAATATAAAAATCGTAATTCGAAAATGAAAATAGGTCCAGAGAGTCATAATTTGGCTCAAAAATCACGCTCAGGTATCAAATTTCCGACATTTCAGATATTTTGAAAAATGCAGGGGGGTTTAAGCAAAATATGACCCAACGCCGTTTTCGATAATTGGCATATTTTCGATATTAAAAGTCATAATTTGAAAATGAAAATAGGTGCACAGAGTCAGAATTCGGCTCAAAAATCACGCCCAGGAGTCAAATTTCCGACATTTCAGATATTTTGAAAACTGCAGGGGGGTTTGGGCAAAATATGACCCATCGCCGTTTTCAATATTTGGCATATTTTCGGTATATAAATTCGTAATTTGAAAATGAAAATAGGCGCAGAGAGTCAGAATTCGACTCAAAAATCACGCTCAGGAGTCAAATTGCCGAATTTTCAAATATTTTGAAAACTGCAGGGGGGTTTGGGCAAATTATGACCCATCGCATTTTTCAATTTTTGGCATATTTTTGGTATAAAAAGTCGTAATATGAAATTTAAAATAGGTGCAGAGAGTCAGAATTCGACTCAAAAATCACGCTCAAGAGTCAAATTTCCGACATTTCAGATATTTTGAAAACTGCAGAGGGGTTTAGGCAAAATACGACCCATCGCAGTTTTCAGTAATTGGCATATTTACAGTATAAAAAGTTGTAAATTGAAAATATAAATAGGTGCAGAGAGTCAGAATTTGGCTCAAAAATCACGCTCAGGAGTCAAATTTCCGACTTTTCAGATATTTTGAAAACTGCAGGGGGGTTTGGGCAAAATATGACCCATCGCCGTTTTCTGTAATTGGCATATTTTCTGTATAAAAAGTTGTAATTTGAAAATAAAATGGGTGCAGAGAGTCAGAATTCGGCTCAAAAATCACGCTCAGGAGTCAAATTTCCGACTTTTCAGATATTATGAAAACTGCAGGGGGGTTTGGGCAAATTATGACCCATCGCCGTTTTCAGTTATTGGCATATTTTTTGTATAAAAAGTCGTAATTTGAAAATGTAAATAGGTGCAGAGAGTCAGAATTTGGCTCAAAAATCACGCTCAGGAGTCAAATTTCCGACATTTCAGATATTTTGAAAGCTGCAGAGAGGTTTGGGCAAAATATGACCTATCGCAGTTTTCAGTAATAAGCATATTTACAGTATTAAAAGTCGTAATTCGAGAATGAAAATAGGTGCAGTGAGTCAGAATTCGGCTCAAAAATTACGCCCAGGAATCAAATTTCCGACATTTCAGATATTTTGAAAACTGCAGGGGGGTTTGGGCAAATTATGACCAATCGCCGTTTTCTGTATTTGGCATATTTTCGGTATAAAAAGTAGTAATTTGAATTTGAAAACAGGTGTAGAGAGTTAGAATTCGCCTCAAAAATCACGCTCAGGAGTCAAATTTCCGAAATTTTAGGTATTTTGAGAACTACAGGGGGGATTTTGGGCAAAATATGACCCATCGCCGTTTTCAGTAATTGGCATATTTTTGGTATAAAAAGTCGTAATTTGAAAATTAAAATAGCTGCAGAGAGTCAGAATTCGGCTCAAAAATCTCGCTCAAGAGTCAAATTTCGGACATTTCAGATATTTTGAAAACTGCAGGGGGGTTTGGCTAAAATATGACCTATTGCCGTTTTCAGTAGTTGGCATATTTTCGATAAAAAAAGTCGTAATCTGAAAATTAAAATAGGTGCAGAGAGTCAGAATTCGGCTCAAAAATCACGCTCAGGAGTCAAATTATCGACATTTCAGATATTTTGAAAACTGCAGGGGGGTTTGAGCGAAATATGACCCACCGTTTAAGGTGTGTAAATTATGTAGTATGCCGCACGCCCACACCTTAGAATATTATGTATTAGAGTGTCAACTTATTGATAACTATAGAAATAAGGAAATAAATAGTGTACCACATCAAGTTGTTTGGATGTGTGATAATGGTATGATAGACAGAATACTTAGGAGCTACAAGAATTTTGCCCCAAGAGTGTAACAATTATATGCTGTACTTACTATATTAACCTGCAATGTTAAATGGGATTCTTGTAATGTTATTTGTCTATTTGTACTCACTGAATTTGTGCGCCCCTTGAGGGACTTGATGTAGAGGGGGGGGAGGGGGGTAGAAATAGCCTAAGCTACTCTATCCCTTTGAGATGTATTTTTTGCTTATCTCAATAAACATACTTGAACTTGAACTAATTAACCTTAAAATCTATATGTCAGAAGGAAGGAAGATGTAGACGTTAATATGACAACATTTCAAGAAATATCTCTCTCTTTAAAGTTAAATAATACAATCCTATCGCCGGTGTCCGGACACATGAAAGCTACTTAGGTATCAGTGGCCAGCCAGGTGGAGATCACAGGCTGTACAATACTGATAAATTATGTAATTCACAGAGATACGTTGATAAATATTAATGTTTTATATTTTATTAAAAATACAGATATATACTTTGTTTCATACGTTAAATGTAACAATATTTCAGTATATATTATATAAGCATAGTATATATAATTCAGTATATACAATATATAATAAGAGTGTCAGACCACGGAGGAAGAATTGAAACAGGAATTTCCTTTAGTACTTTCTTATATTAATACATCTTCAGAGCGAACCATTCCTTCTGAAGATGTATTAATATACGAAAGTACTTAGAGCATTCTATTGTGGTTTTAATATTGAACAATTATACATATACGAAACAGACAAATCTGGTGTCCGAAATAGTAAAAATATTAGTGTGCGATGTGATCAATGTAAGGGGGATATTGGGTGTGCCTCGTATCCCCTACAACAACAAGAAGTTCGAGAGCGATGAGGCCGCCACCTACTAGCTTCAGAATGTCGTCGAATCTAAATCAACAATATACTACCGCCGCTACTTTCTCGGAAACGTAAGTACCTGTCGCTTTACTTCTCTCACCCTGCCTAGCCTGGCCTGGCCTGACCTGGCCTAGCCAGACCTGGCCTAGCCAGACCTGGCCTAGCCAGACCTGACCAGACCTGACCTGGCCTAGCCTTACCTAGCCTAGTCTGACCTGACCTGGCCTAGCCTTACCCAACACTAATCACCACACGTGACAGCCCAAACGAATCGCAAATAAGTACACGTAACAAGTCATATGCCCGGACACTTTCACCTTGGGGACTGAATGGTAACTATTGTATAGAAGAGCCGGCTCCCTGAGAGTGGTAAGAGGGCGTGATAAGAGGCTAACGTGTGGTCTTGAAGGAAGTCGATAAAGCAGACAATTTTCAAAAGGAAGGGCAGCATAACGAGCAGACAGGAATGGACAGACAGTCGGTTATCCCATAATGTGTAATACGCCCCGCACAGCATGGGTGGAGTGGGGGGGGGGGTTGTAGCAGGGCACAGTATGGTGATGGTGCGGGTGAAGTACACACCCACTGAATTCCTGCCATCAATAATTGTTTTCATAACCATTAGAACAATGGCATCCCTCCAGCCACCATCCTTCCACTGACCCCCTCCTCTTGTCCTCCACCTCAGACAATAACCCCCCTCACCCCCTCTCCCTTCCAGACATCAGCATGTCAAAATCAGTACTATAATGTGTTTAAACTATTTAAACTAAGTCATTGTGTATCTCAAGGTATCTTAATTCATTTGAAAGTGTACATGTGCATTCGTTCATATACTCGCCTAATTGTGCTTGCTGGGGTTGAGCTCTGGCTCTTTAGTTCCACCTCTCAACCATCAATCAACAGGTGTACAGGTTTCTGAGCCTATTGGGCTCTATCATATCTACACTTGAACCTGTGTATGGAGTCAGCCTCCACCACATCACTTACTAATGCATTCCATTAGATATAATCATATATGATTACACATAATCATAATCATTCTATACACATAATCATATATGTGTACGTCAACGTATACATACATGCGTATATATACCTCATATTAAAATACTGATAAATGAATGACCACGAACAAATTAATTTATAATTGTAGCATTATATATAATTTTAATAGACTAATTACATGTTTATACATTTGAATGGTCCAGACAGGTGGCCAGCCTTGGACATATACACTTCTGGTAGGCACAATGACCTCATGTTAGACCCTTGATAGATTATGTGAGAGAGAGAGCTGGGGCAGGGAGGTGCGTGCCCCAGGGAGATAATCCATGCCCATGCCACGCCTCGAGGTCAGTTCTCGAGTCACACCAAGAATAACAATCGAGCAAGTTGTCCTGACCAGGATGTGGCATATT